AAAAATGGTACTTCTGCTAAAGAGTTTAATTAAATACTTTGACACTGTCAAATTGACAATAATATTTATCACTGCCACTCAAAAGCGAAAAGCGTTACCATAGAAACCAACTGTCGCGTTTTTTTAATTCAGGTAGTTTGACACTGTCAAAACAAATAACATAGCCTCACTTTTATTTGGAGAAAATTAAAAAAACAAAACAGGCGAAACAAATAATTAAAATAGAGGGAAAACTCAGTTTCATAACTGCCAACGCAAAAAGTCATCACATGATGGAGAAATATAATTAAAAACAGTAGATACGGACAGTCATTGTGAATTTAGATGGGACCAATTGGTTTTATTGTTTATTCATGTAGACAACGTAGTAGGTAACGGATGTTTACGAGGAAGTTCAAGAACCACGACGAATTTTTATTTCTTGAGAAATTTAAGAATGCGCTAATGGTTTATCAGCAAAATTGATATAGAAATTGGGGCGACTCCTACACAATGGCTAAAGAGGAAGAGCCTAATATGGCGTGCACAACAATTCATTAATTTAAATAAGGACATCGTTTGACATCGAAATTAACAAAATTCAAAACATGAAATGTTTTAACTGTTTTTTGTCTGCAAACCTAATTATGTTTAAAATATAAATGGTGTCTCACGTTATTATTAAGGCACAATTGTATTTGTTAAACGATACATAAAACATAAAATTATAATAGTAATTAATAAAAGTAGATTTGACAGTTAATGTACTAGAATTTTTGTATTTTTTCTAACGGTTTTTTTACAGACTAGGAGGCAAAACAAAATTATTTTTACAGATTTGATGATAATTAATCACTTTAGTAATGTACATATATGTATGTGTTGACAATAATATAGTTTAAATAATAGAACTCTTAAAGAAAAATAGTTAAATCGTTAATCAAAAAACCTCTTAACCTGTAAAAATAATTCAGACCAATCCGGTACAGTTTTTTATCTCCTAGTCTATAAATAGCTCTCTTCAAAAGTCAGCTTGATTAAAAAAATTGTAGGGGTCGCTCAATAAATTTGAAAATTATTTTTTTTTTAATTTTGTTTTAAAAGACCTTTAAAAATTCATATTCTGTGTCTACAGAAATACTTATCAAAAGAAGTATATGAGAATTTTAAAATTGCGATTTAGATCAGAATTCTGAAAAACAGCAGTGAAAAAAATATTTTTTTTGATCATTATATGGAAATAAACTCATTTATCTTGACAAAACTTGTTTTTTTTTTAATTTTATTTTTAAGTTATGGTAAAATGATTTTTACATGATCACAAAAAGCAATTTAAAAAAAAAATTTTCGTTACTTTCACCTTTAATTTTCTTACATGTTTCCATGACACATTGACAAGTTTATTTATAGCGCTTTAGTCACGGGCTGAAGTTAGCAACAAGTTTTTAGTCACGGGCTGAAGTTAGTTTTAAGTTATTTGACAGTTAAAATAAAGTGCCTTTCTTGTAAAATAATACTAAATGTTAAAATTATTTTATTATCTCAACACAAAAATAAAATGGTATTAAATAGTATATTGACGCCAATTTTTGAAAAGATTATATGAACGTTTGTACTGACCTTTTGATTTGGCCGTAGTAGTGCAGTTAACTAGATTTAACTGATAAAGCGTTAAAATTTTGCGTACAGTGCCCATAAAACATTCTCTTCTCTTTTACTGTTAAAAACCGCTTCTATATCGATTGTTAGTCTATTTTTAAGGGATAAATTTTCATTTACACAGACAAATTTTTAGAGATTTTAACGCCGGTAGATTCCCAAGTTAGAAATTCTAACAGGAATTCCAAAATACACAACTGTCACTTTTTGTAGCTTTAACATTTCCTGCGTAAGAATTTTTAATACTTTGTAATAATATTTTGCAATTATAGTAATAACAAAAATCAAAGGATAAAATATTTTAAAATTTAAGTTTAATTAAAATAATAACGGGCAATGTTAATGGTAAAAATTACGTCAAAAATGTTTCAAAAATTTCATGCGAACGAAGTCGCGGGTACAGCCAGTTTTAATATAAATTAAAAAATATGGTGTTACTATAATTTGATTGATTTATAGTTATCCTCTAATCCCCACATTAAAATACAATGTTCCACCTACCTATAGGTAGAAAAAGCAATGGGCAAAAGTAATATAGAGTGGCTGCTGAAAGGTAGCTAAATAAGACATTTAGGATTATATAGTAAATAAGGGTTGGGATTTTTGCTTTGATAGGGTTTGTCAATGTTTTATTATGTAACGGTTTTTCTGCATCTGTCCAGTAGGTATTGCTTAAATTTATTAAAACTTAGTCATTAGTTAAAAATATTTTGTTATTAAAGAACCTAATTTTTAATAAAAATAAGTAATTTACTCGATTGCTTGTAATAAATTTACTGCTCGTTCTTCCCACTGTTATTCCCGTTTTACATCAATAAGGAATTTCCGGAGCTATTTTATTAAAGAGAACGTGACTTATTGTTATGCGGTTTTCAGTGAGCTTTTGTTAAGAGAAAATTATCAGACGTTTCATTCCTTTTCCAGCTTTAACCACTATAAAGAAACCCTTCAAAAAAATAATAAAAAATCGATTATTAACAATACATTGATCAATTATCTAAAGTGAAATGACGTGGTGGTTATTACGTAATTTTCTATTGGCTATACACAAATTCCAGTAATTCTGGCAAAGGGTGTGAAATTCCATTCAACAAATTTAATGGGATATTGCCATTTCGACGAACCTTTAAGCAATAATTAACGTTTAATTAACTGACAAACATTTATTCGGTTTCTATTAAATTAGTTATTATAGTAACAGTCGTATTGTGTAAAGTTTAATTATTTTATTAAGGTTTTGATAATTTCCAAGGTTATAAAAGGCAAATTAAATTTTAAATATTTTATTTTTATAACAATAAAATTAATTTTACACAAGGTTTATAAAAATTACATTCAATTAAAATTAAAAAAATAAACACAAATGTTAAGAATATTGTGAGTTGAGTTTTTACCGGTTTCCTAATAAACAGTGGAAATCCGAATGAAGAAATAAATTGCTCCCTGTAAATATAAATTGTACCTATTAGAAACAATAAATACACATTTTAGTAATGATTGACGTGTAAATCGTAAACATTTCAATTCAGTAAAAATCATAATACAAATTAGTCGTCTAAATTCAAACGGCGTTATGCATTATTAAAAGCCTTGATATTAATTTTCTTTTACACATTCTGTTGTGTTACAAATTAACATAAGTAATAAAAATCAAAAGAACTAAAAAATTTGAGTGGGACACAAGAAAAATGTTAAATTTTTTACTGTGTAGGTACCGAATTGGATCCTTTGGCAACACTTAGATAAAATACACACTTTAAAGTAACTATATAAGCATATAAGCGGCGAGTTTCTTAATCAATAATATAAGGAATACTAAATTGAAATTGAGTACTAAACCAAAGATAATCATTTTTACTTGCAACGCGAAACACAAATAACGTGCGCGATTTGGGTAATTGAAAACTGCACATTAAAATTAATGTTTCGGGTAATTGAAAACTGCCCATATTCCAACAAAATTGGATAATTAAAAACTGCCCTCACATTTATTATATAATTTATAAATTTTATAAAACCGGGTAATTGAAAACTGCCCAATTGTATTTCATAAAAGAATTTTTCACCACTCTTAAACTAGGCAAACGTAACGTTTGATAAAACCTTTTAGCTTTTTTGCTTTGGTTGCCGGTTTATCACCGACAATTCTTTGGTAAAACGACAATTGCCATTTGCATTGCGAGAGATATTATTGTTCTTCGGCACCGTGTTGTTTTGTTCAGATTATTGATCGAGCATAACCACCGTATATGAAACGTCTGAATACCTGCATTTTGCATGCATTACAATTATGTGCAAATGAAACTATGCAAATGCGACAAACCTTTTGCTGTAACTAAGCGCAAAAACCGACTGCAAAGTCTGTTTTTAAGGCACACTTTAATATGATAACGGTAAGGATCCGCTTCATAAAAAACATTCGGGAAAACATTAAATAAAGTTTTTACTTTCTTAGCCAAGAATCCATGAGTTTTACAATGTGTAGATAATGCTCTTTTTTGAAGAGCAATCTTAATCTATCCAAGTATTACAATGTTTGTCCGGGTTAATCTCCGAATCTACGACAAATACTTTATAAAAAATTATTTAAATTAAATAAATATTTATAAAAAGCTACATCTATACGAAAATAAAGTAACCATCCCAATAAACATTTTTGACTTGGAAACCTCAGAAAATTGAAAAAAAAACAATTGAAAATTTATATTTTAAAAAAGTCATAAAAAAATTGAGTGTGATTTTCTTTGTAGTTAATTTTAAATAACACTGCATAAAGAAATGTCACTGCCACTGTCAAAAGCGAAACGCGTTACCATAGAAACCAAAAAACATAAAATCAGTTAGAAAATTGTCCGTTTTTTAAATTCTAAATAAAACTCGAAATAAAATACAGTAATGTTTATTTTTATTGTCGTTCGTAATATCTAAGGCAATTATTTATGATTAACAAATAAATCGATTTAGCCAACGTAAACAAAACTTTGCAGTAAGTTAGTTTGCAAAAGTAAATAATTATAATTAAGTCGTAAATTAGTCAGTCGATAGCACCGGATGGTTTTAGAAATCATTATTGATGTATTTTATAGGAAATTTAAAAAAACAATAATGAGAGAAAATACAATTATTTAAATTAAATTTACCAGCTGTCAGTTTTTTTAAATAATTTTTTGTTTAATGTTTTGAACATAAATAAATACTGTATTTTGACTTTTTGGATTTATTCCAATTATTGTTAATTTAGTGTTATATTGACATTGAAAACATGAAGAATATTTTGTCTCATGTTTCAAAAATACTTTGTAGTGGGCTGATATTTTAAATATTTTTATAATTATAACTAGAAATATAAAAAGTGTCCTTACGTTTCCAAATATTGAAAAATCCTGTAGACCGGCTTACGATACATGAGAAATCCTTCGACTTTTTCAACCATCATTGTAAAATAACACTAAACCATAATCGAAACATTTATTTGACAACCAAACTAACACTCGACCACCTCTACGAAAAACGCACTGTAGACACGCACTTCTTCATTTTAGTTATGTCAAATTTCGCGCGTCAAATTACCCACTATTAATCACGAAATATTCGCCTCTGCAAGGCTATTTTTAAAAGCGTCGGCCGGTCTTCGTGGGGAGCAAACACAATATTTTCGTTTTTTACGCGCGGAGAGCGCACGACAGACACTACGCGGCTTATCGCATACGCAACGCTACAATGCGCGGCGGTAATTTTGATAGCAACATCCACGTCGAGTCGGCTGCGATTCGGTGGCGCAAGCGCCGCTACAATATCAACCCCAATCGTTAAAATCTAACCCCACATTTTGCCACCGCGGCCTGCTACCATATTGCCCGAGGAAAATAAACAAATGCCTGGCGTGAGACGCAAAATACATTTTTAAGATTGTAGTACCTACTATAAAAAATGTATAGAATGTATTAGTTCTAATTTTGTATGGATGTATGTTTGTTAACATGAAACAAAAGTTAGTCATATTTTAGTTAGTTTTTTATAAAATATACATATATAGAAAACGCACGAGAGAGCTTGCATCTACGAGCCCTAACACAAAAATGTTCGGACACTTCATAATTTATACAGAAATATTTTTCGTGAATACTATCTCAAAATTATTAGAAGTTATGAAAAATTCAGCTCATTTTAGCATATACCCCTCGAAGCGATTTTTATTTTTAAAAATGTTAACCTTTTATTTTTAGCTTTTAAAAAAAGGCTAACTTTTCTTATTTAAATTGCAGATTTGTATCAGGTCATGCAAATTCTTAAAGTAACTTATCAGCTTTTTTTTTGCGGATGGCCACCTCCCCTCTTGTTTGACCTCCCCTGTCTGTCCAGTGAAAATCCTCCAATGACAGGTGGCACTTAAATCATTCATATCACTCAACACTTCACTCCTCAATGACCGTTACACCATTTTAGTTTGCACTCTATGAAAATGTTTGTTTCACTTATTAGTTTGCACTTTTTTTTTTATAATTATTGTTGGTTTTATCTTTAAACTCTTACGTTTCAAGAGCTTTCCCGCACGCGACGTGTCTTCTGAAGCGCTGGAACCGAACTGATTAAAATCTCAAATTTGTCTGTGTAAAACAAAATTTATTCCTTGAAAATGGACTAACAATCGATATAGAAGCATTTTTTCACAGTAAAGGGAAGAGATTGTTTTATGATCACTGTACGCAAAATTTTTAACGCTTTATCAGTTAAATCTAGTTAACTGCACTACTACGGCGAAATCAAAAGGTCAGTACAAACGTTCATATAATCTTTTCAAATATTGGCGTCAAGACACTATTTAATACTTTTGTATTTTTGTATTGAGATAATAAAATAATTTTTACATTTAGTATTATTTTACAAGAAATGCACTTTATTTTAACGATTGTATATATGGCATTTGACAACTGTCAACTAACTTCAGCCCGTGATTAAAAACCTGTTGTTAACTTCGGCCCGTGACTAAAGCGCCATAAAGCCACAACTTGTCGATGTGTATTTAAAAGGTTACTTAGTGTACACATGGAAACATGTACGATAATGGCCGTTTGAAAGGTGAGATGTGGAAAATTAAATAAAAATTTAAAAAACATATTTTTGAGAAATCCGCTAGCTATGAACATTTCGTAGTGTGACTTGACTTTAAGGTTAATGTTGACAGATAAATGTTTTATGACTACATGAAAACTACAATTTCCTAAAACAATTGCCAATTTAATGCATCAGAAATTCTGAATAAAAACATATTTATCTGAAGACATAAAATTGAGGTGCATACTGAGTATATTTTTAAATTCCCCCTATTATAGTTCTTACAGATGGCCAACTAATTTTGGACTGTGGTATCCTTAGTATATACTACTTAGTATGTTTAATATGAGCATGATAATAGTTATTTTAAAAGTTAATACTAAAACCATTTTTGGACAAAAGTACGTTTGGACTATTAGGTATTTTACATATTTTACAATATTAAAAACTTATAAACTAATACATAATATACCATGTATTATCTACTCCTATTGCATAATATTGTTTTTTAATGATAAACATTATATATTCCCTGCCTAACAACGGGAACAATCAACTCATTATTCACGTTGTTAGGCATCAGTGATTGGCCGATTTCAATATTCACTGTGATTTGAAACAATCAAGTTTTAAATTGGGAGAACGCTACTAAGTATAATAACATTTAAAATTTGTAAAAAGTGAGGTTAACCATTTGACAGATGTCAGATTTTATTTAATTATTTTTTTAAATCATTTAATTATCTACTTATTGGAGTAGATAAAGTATAGTATTACACTCGAGATTATGCGCATTATCTCTGGTATAATAATATACTATTTATTTAAGATATTACGTAGTTCCTTAGAAACAGTAGAATATTAAAAATAACATTTTACCTTATGCAATATGCCTGATTTTAATATTAATTATAATAATTATTGTACTAATAAAATTTAATGTTCGATTTTGTTCCTAAGGAAATAAATATAATAAACTCATTATAGATTATTTTTAATTGCAAAAATATTAGCATAGTTTTATTATTATTCATAAGTAGGTATTGTTTAATTAAAATTATTATACTAAAATTACTCACGCACTACCAGATTTTTCAAATTGGTTACTGGGTAATGGTATGGAATAAATGGAAAGCGTCAAATCAAATAATTTTGATGGGTTTTCAGAATAACCCCAGGGTAAAATTATAACCGCTAAATAAAATTTCTCTGCTAGTCCTGGGAGTATTTTTATCTAAAAAATAATATCGGCATCAAAATAATCTAAGAATCATTTTTATTTTCATATTATGGGGATTTAAATTAACCATGAATTCGATTTATTTTCGACACGGCTGTTTCGCAAGATTATAGGTTTAAAAATAATATTTTAGCGAAGATATGTTAAGTTTTGTAACATTTATTAAACTGTCTACAAAATATGTCTCAACTAAATTTTAAATACCTTACAAGTTTATTTTTGGATTGTCTTACAGGATCACATAAGGGCTAAAATATTAATATAAATTTAAGTCCATAAATATAAGTCCATTAAGCCTCTCCTTTGCGAACAAAAAGATATATAAGGTATTCTAGCACACCCTGTATCTACACCAACAATTTTTATTCGTAAATGATTGTAATAATTATTTAACAGATTTTTGGACACACTATTTATTATTGAAGTATGATAAATGCATCAAGTCAGGTGCATAAATTCGGTGTCATTTATTAAGGTCAAGTGGACACTATAATTAAATTATTACCTATATTTTGCGGTTTGATAAATTGTAGAATGTCAGACGAAAGAAAAATAACGATTTAGGCAACTAAAGAAAAAATCTTTAAATCAAAAATTCTGAAAAGATAATTTACAATACAAAAACGATTATCCACGCTGTGAGGCAAAAAAGGTTTGAGTGGAATTTTAAATAGTGTTTTTAAACATCGGGTTATAATACAAATTATAAAATGCCTAAGAGTTTAATGTTTTAAAAAAATACTGTAAATTAAGTTTTAAATCAATTTTGTAGTTTTTAGTATTTTAAAGAAAACAACACTGCATAAAATACAAGTACCTACTAGTATTTTATATAACCTTCGACAATATGTTACAGGACAATGCTTCACTTGGATTTCAAAACTTGGATTTTTAATAACATTTTTAGGCTTTTATTTACACATTTATAATTAGACAATAAAATTTCTTGGCATGTGTCGTTCGCTGGTAAAATGTCATTTCCGGCAAAAAATGATGCGACGTTATGCGAGTGGCACCACGTTGTTACCGGAAAGCTGACCGGAATTTTTAATTCCAGACAAAAGATGACCGGTACCTTGATGTCGTTAACATGGACAATTATGCATGCACTTTTATCCTTTCATATGATAAATATAGTAATATAGGTAAGTAATAAACTTATTATAATATATATATTCAAGTGCATTTAAAGATTGGTAACTAAATAAAAAAATCCATTAATCTAATCTTTAAAAATTAAATAATAACAATATCAAATACTTAGTAATTATTTAAAAATGACAAACCAAAACTTTCTTGCAATAAACTATAGTTTATAAACAGCTAAAAATCATTAAAAATTGTTTACAAATAACCCAAAAAGTGATCAATTTCTCCACAGAAGTTAGGTATAACTTGTATGGAAAAATTTAATTACTTCAATTAAATTTAGGAACCATTCTGGGTTTTGTGCTCTTGTAAAATATAAATTATATAATATAGGTTATTATATTATAATATAATAATAATATATTTTACTGTTTTCAGCGGTGCCAATGTAGAAAAAATTAAACGTTGTATTTTAATTAACAATGTACCTACTACTTTATTAGTAGGCACAACATAAAAAATAAATATAAATAGGTATAAAAAATAATATATATAATAAAGTATATATAAAGTATATCCCAAGTAGCACATAAATTTTGTTATTCGACTAAATAGTTATATATTTGCTTTATTGTTACTTCCTTTAAGAGCGAATAGTCGAATAAAGCTCGCCAAGGTCACCAATATGCTTTGGAAACTGATATATTTCATTAAAGTGTTTTATAGTTGTTGTTCAGACTGATTAATAAAACATTTTTAAAGGCTTCGAATCAAATGTGTTATACATGGTTATAAATCAATAGTTATAAATCTATTTACGCTTGAGTTAAATTTATTTTATAAATGTTTTAAAATGATTTTATTGGGGTGCAGGGTACCATAACAAAAATAAAATTTTATTTTTTGTAAGAGCTTTATAACAAGATTTTATAGCTGTTTTGGAGATTTACTTTTAAAACAATTTGCAAATTGCGACATTTTTGCGTTCAAAACCACTTTAATAAAAGTATTTTATTATTATATTTAATGACGCTTGTATAAAATAATTAAAAGTAGCTAATAAAATAAAAAGCGCTTTAAAATCGCAATTTTATCTTATGCGATATTCCTATATAGCTTCATTAATACTTACCTAACTTTTTATGCTAATTCAGAATTCATCAGTCTATTGCAAAGCTATAAAATGTCGAGAAGTCAAATTTCTAATTGGAAAAAGCTTAAACGTAGTGGTAATTTCAGAAAAAGAGTGAAAGATAGCTATCAACTAATTATAAATTTATCTAAAGATACAGATAATCAAATAGTCGCGACATCATCATCTACTGCTAAGTTGGAATCTATTAGCACAGATTTGGAACATCAAAATGTAAATTCAAGTTCTTCTGAAAGCCATGGCTTGCAACTAAAGCTTGGAACTTATGATAAAGGAAGTGCCAATGTAGAACTTGTGGATTCAAGTGACGAAGAAGATACCACAGAGCTGTCCGAAATCAGTACAAATATTAAGGTGAATCAGCGCATCCGAGTATGGGCTACTTCCTGTAATATTAGTCATTTTGCATTAAGGGAGCTTTTTAGTATTTTGAATGACAGAATTCCTAATCTTCTTCCAAAACATTATTACAAACTGCTAGAGAAATTAACCTAATTAAAATGAGTAATGGATACTACTGGCATTTCAGGTTTAAAATTAATTTATTACGATTACTAGAAAACGTGTCAACGTCTTTGAATTCAATATCACTTAATATAAATATGGATGGCCTCCCTATTTTTAAAAGTTCCAAAAACGAATTTTGGCCGATACTATGCAATGTTCATGAAATCACGCAAATAAAACCAATTATAGTAGGAATATATAGTGGTTCTGGAAAACCCACCGATCTTGCATCACACAGTCGTTTGCAAAATACTATTTTTAAAATAGCACTGACAAAAATAACCGTAAACGTAATAAACACCTGTGGTGATCATCAAAACCTCATTAAATAACAGATTTACATGAACTTGGACAAAATTATCGAATAACATTATCCTAACAAGTACTTTATAACAAAAGTGTTATTTAAGGTAATAGACCTATCCCATAAAACAGACTTTTGGATAGCGCGTGCCTGAAGAAGAGTGGTATCTCTTTCTCTTTTATGTAATTAAAAAAAGACGACGTGCCTTTTCACGCACGCGCTATCCAAAAGTCCGTTTTATGGGATAGGTCTATTGCAGTGAGTTTTAAAAAACAATATTGTTTTATTACCTCTTTATTAATGTCATAATAAAACATTCGATATTCTACGACACATCCCTGCCAACAATAACGATTATAAACTCTACAGGGATTGATGGATTCTAAATTTTTCGAAAAAAATGATTATAAAAACAAACAGGCAATAATATCTATACAAAATATAATTTGGTAGGTATCTTGAACATTTTGACAACATTGTAGCTGCTAAAATAGGTGAGAAACAATTTTGTTTTCGCGACGACTTTTATATAGATAAATTTTATATCAGAATTGTGTTATAAAACTAATTTCAAACACAGTTTAATTTTATAGGTACGTCGTAAGGGATAAAAATGATTTAATTCAAATCGCCATGTTTTTCATTGTTCAAATCAAAATGAACTTTATATTTAAGGCAACCATATTGTTATAAATTCGAAAAATCACATTAATATCGATAAAGTCTATTGAAAGTTTTGATTGTAACATCGGATTTGACATTCAGAGTGCAACAGAATGCAATGCAATATTTTTTTAATTTTATTAGAAACAAAAAAAAATTAAAAAATAATAATCTTTTTTTTTTTAATTTGGTAAATATGGGCAAAATTGGAAGCGCTTTAAAATTTCACCACAAATATATATGTATAATGTCAGTAAAGTTGACGTGGTAAGACTATTTTACATCAGAGCCGTTAATATTGTTCATGAAGTTATTATATACTATCCAAAGCCTGTGAAATTCATCAAGCCGCCATCAACCAAATAATTTAGGAGAGCATCATGAGAGCATTTAACAAATCAATGTCGCCATTATTATCGTATAAAAATAAAAATATTGTTTTTTGTGATTCTTACAAAATCAAAATGTCATCGCTAAGTTGTTAAAGTCCTATGCAACACATATTGTTTTTAAATGAAACGTTTTTAATGCTGCTATAAAATTATTTTATAAGTATTCTGTAATGGTGTTTTACCACTAATAACCTTTTGAAACGATACTTATAAAATATTTTTATAGTATTGTCAAAGAACACAAAAATGTTGTTTAGGATCATCCGGGACCTCACTTACAGCTCTATTAAAAAACTGTTATGTAACGTTTTTATAAAATGCTAAATATTGTTATATAACGTCTATCGGATACAATTGTTTTATAAACTTGCGCCTTTTCCATGTTTATAAGCGCCATATTAAAGGTTACCAGTTATTTTTAAAATAAAAGTGTTATATTAAAAATTGTTATATAGTAAGGTATATGACAATTTTCAGCGCGTTTGTGCTACTTGGGATATGTCGCCGACGGTGGACGAGTGGTTAGTGCTGCTGACTACAAGCCGGAGGTCGTGGGTTCGAATCCCATGGCTGTTTATTTGTGTTTGTCCTATTGTGTAATAGTCCTTCGGAAGGGACTTTAAGCCCGCGGTCCGTTCCTACCCCTAACCCGCACAAGCCATTCAGTTGGCTTATGGGACTTCTTAAGAAGTAAGGGTGGAACTAAAAGAGCACTTTTTTTTGTATATACACTCACAGGCAAAATAATCGATCCACACAAATTTTCGATGAATTTCAATCGCAAATAACTTTTTTATTTGTTTTCGGATTTAACCAAATATTAAAAAATATTGTAGACACATTCATGGAGAATCGCTCACATTTTAAAAATAACTAAAAAATATACGTACGTTTATAATATACAGGTTTAAACAAAAAGATGTTTTTTACCATAAGTTTAAAACCTGTATATTATAAACGTACTTCTATTTTTTAATAATTTTTTAAATTGTGAGCGATTGTCCTTTAATTTATCTACAATATTCTTTAATATTTGTTTAAATCCGACATCAAATAAAAAAGTTATTTGCGATTGAAATTCATCGAAAATTTGTGTGGATCAATTATTTTGCCTGTGAGTGTACGAGCCCTAACCACATAATGTTCGGACACTTCATAATTTATACAGAAATTTTTTTCGTGAATACTATCTCAAAATTATTAGAAGTTATAAAAAATTCAGCTTATTTTGGCATATACCCCTCGAAGCGATTTTTATTTTTAAAAAGTTTACCTTTTATTTTTAGCTTTTAAAAAAAGGCTAACTTTTTAACTTTTTTTTGTATGAGTAAAAAAAGTTATAAATGGACCCATTAAAAAGAGCATAAAATATTATACAAACCCTGAAAATTTGGTAAAAAATAAATAAGTTATAAAAAAGTATAAGTAATTTAAAAATGCTATTTTTAAAGAGTTTTTGCAATTTTCTTAGGAAACGGGAGATTTTGCAGATATATATATCGCTATAACTTTCTTATTATTTATACAATTTTTACCAAATTTTCAGGGTTTGTATAATATTTTATGTTCTTTTTAATGCTTTTACTCATGCAAAAAAAAGTTAAAAAGTTAGCCTTTTTTTAAAAGCTAAAAATAAAAGGTAAACTTTTTAAAAATAAAAATCGCTTCGAGGGGGTATATGCCAAAATAAGCTGAATTTTTCATAACTTCTAATAATTTTGAGATAGTATTCACGAAAAAAATTTCTGTATAAATTATGAAGTGTCCGAACATTATGTGGTTAGGGCTCATATAATAAAATAAGTATAACAATATAAATTGTTAATTTATTATTATAAATTATAATTTATAATGGCAAAATTAAGGTTTAAAACTGTCATATTTTTGTGTTTCTTATGTTGACACCACGAAATTTGAAATGGAAATCTTAAAATATACCAAAAAATTGTTTTTTGAGATTTCCATAGAAATTACTTTCTTGGTAGTATCTGCGCTGTAAAAAATCTAAACATTTTTTTTTTTGATGTCTAATGCCTTACAAAATCCATTTTAAGTTTTGAAGACATTCTATGGAAACACCAACAAATAATATTTCCAAGAATATATATTTGCAAACATAAAAATTGGTAGTTTATATACTTAATTTGATAATTAATTGTCAAGATTAATGGAGGGTTTAATCTTTAAATTGATTAAGGCTTCAACTTGAAATCATTGAACATAACCTAAAATATTTCTACACCCTTCTTACTGTTTAAACCAACATTTACGCGTATAACAAACAAATATAAATTATTAAACATACTAATTCTTGTTCAACATTAAAAACTATATTTCGCGTATTTCTTAATTCAGTTTTCCAAAAACAAAATCAATTTTGCAAGGCAATGGAGATGGAACTAAACTTACATTTTTTAATATGAAGTAGGGGATGCCGATTGTCACTGTCTGAACTCACACACACTTAACAACAAAAATGTACAAAATTTACACCCTAAATTGCAATTGACAGCTTAAAAACGTACACAAAGGACATTACAGATCATATGTAATTTTAGAACTGGCATCTCTTTCTATTTTCAAGTTTATTAAATACGCTGTCCTTGTCTAATGGACAGGTGTTAACCCTGACAGATATCTGCTCGTAGTTATATTTTTCGCCGTCAGAGTGCGTCACTTTACAGAAGTGAGATTTTAATTTGGTTGTCTAATAAAATGACATTTTATTACTTTACTTTTATTTGTTATAAAAAATCCTAATTATCTATAAAGTTAATATATTTAATATACATATACATGCCCATGTTTAATACAGTTTAAACTTCATTAATAATTTGTGATATTGGACATTGCTTCATCCTTTTCAACATTTTTAACAGTTCGATTTGTTCAAAATATTTTTCTCTTGTCTGAGCATCCTAAAATTAAACATTAAAATATTGTTTTAAGTATTTAATATGTAGAACATTATATATATTTAATATGTAGAACATTATATATTACCATATTTGGTTTAATCTCTAAATCTTCTACATCAATTTCTTTCAATTTTGTTGGGGTTACGTTTAGTTCAACTTTTTCTAAAAGTTTCATTTTTTGTTTAAGAACATGTTTTAAATGTTTTCCAATCGCTTTTGGGCCGTTTTTTTGCAAACTAACCATTTCATGTATTAATTCATTTACTTCATCAAAATCTACTAAAAACAATAATTAATACAATTTAAATTGTATTTTAATAAAACTACCTGTTTTCGTTCTTAATACGTCCATTTTTACCACTTCTTCATTCATTATCAAATCTATGCATTCAACGTTCTCAGTATAAATGTTTATTTTGATCGGTTTTAAATTCAAAAAGTTTAAGGTTATGTATTTGACAGTTGACTGTGTACATTTCAATGCAACGTTGCCAGTTCAACTAAATATCGGATTTTCAAATAAAAATACCAAAACAAAATTCAAATAATTTATCATAAACTTATCATACATGTATAAATTTGTTTTAAAACGTCTAATCTTGGTTTGGAATCCTAAAATTTAAAAATAAACTGTTAATAACTAAATAATTTTATAAAAACTGTTGATCTTACCAAAAATAATGGCACTAAAGTATTATTAGTCTTTGAGGCATCACTTATCATAACAGTTAAAACAAACAACACCTTCTGCTACAATATTTAATAATGGATTATTAGAGAACAAGTTTTAAAACTATATCTTACTTACATGATAAATAACTTCGTTGATAAATATTTTTTCTACAAGCTCATAAGGCATGAATGCAGTTTTACTACCTATAAGATAATTTGTTGATATTTGGTATCCTAAATTATTTACAATAACTATATTTTCTAAAAAATATTTATTAGTTGCATTAATTTAATTATATGTACAACTTACCACTTAAAACAGTTTGTAGTAATAGGAATAAATAAAATATTGATAAAATAAATATTGAACTAATTATGAAGATACCAAAAACATTCTTTAATAGGCAAATAAAATTAAAAATTACAATAACAAGTAATAAAATAGCGGAATTTCGGATGTCATGATGATGTTCTATGCTTATAAGGGTACAGTTGTTATTTTTCACTATATTTAAATTAATTGGTTTACCATCAATGTTGTTGAATTGGTTTTTGGTTTTTTTCATAATATTATCCATAATAAATACATTTATTTGAGGAAATTTACATTAGTAACATAATTTAGGTTATGTTAACATTGTCAACAGATAAAGAAGGTTGTTAATCTATGGGTTGAGTGTCAATTTAAAAGGCGGGAATTTTAAAAATAAACTTTATTTTAAATGAAATGAACGATTTAAAATTAAATACATTCCTAATTAATCACGACGTTTTCTTTTTGAATTTTCTTCATTCTCTCTAATCTCAAGAGCTATGGGTTTTTTAAAGGGTCTATCCCTTCCCCCAAACCTCAGCTGCCCAGATTCCTTCTTACCTCCAAAACCTCCACCCAACCTCCGAGGTTTCCAACCTTTCAGCAACCTCTCACACTCAAAATCAACGAAAATAAAGTTCCCATCCACAACAATTCTATTGGCATTCTTATATGCTTCTTCTGCATCAGCTTCCGATTCATATTCCACAAAGGCATAACCTTTTGGAATACCCGTCACTATATCTTTGACCAATCTAAAACGCCTTATTCTTCCATACTTTGAAAATACCTCCTGTATGGTTTCTTTAGTTGTTTTGTGGCTTAAACGGCTTACGAAAATGGTATTTTGTGGTTTCCCTTTTATGTGTCTGTTTGGTTTGTATTCGGAATTTATTGCTCTTTCTATGGCTTTATCATGAGGCTCAACATCAGTCCCATCAATTGAGCCAATTTTGATTGGATCATAATATTTTGCGTATCGGGACCATTCTATAACTTCACTCTTAAATTGAGGTATTAGTAAATTTACAAGGGTTCTAAATACAAATACTACCTTTTCTGACATCTGCTTCTATCTCAAATTAAAGAAATATAAATTTAAGGAATTAAAGCTTGTTTCAAGGTTCTAACCTACAATTTTCTAATGTTGCCAGATTTATAAATTTGTTTATAATAATTTTGTTTTAAAGTTATTTCCGTGGCCAATTTCTAATTATTATTTTTAAATTGGCAAGCTTTTTTAAAAAAATAATAATAAAAAGTGTTTTTATTTGGTTTAAATTAAATGTGTTGGGAACCAGAGATATCTCTGTGTGAAGCTCGCTTAATTTCAAACGTCAAATTTGACGTTTAAATCCAAGATCACAATTCTTGTTTATATCGATCAAAAAGTAAATAAACAATGGATGAAAGCAAAGGAACTCCCGAAAGCGATTTCAGCATAGAATGTTTTCAGAATTACACTGCTCCTGAAGTATTTATACAGGGTCTTGCGGGAATCGTAGATCAACAAGATGTAGAATCAATGATAAGGGCCCAAAAGCAAATGTGAGTTAAAAAACAAAATATTCATCATGTTTTATGTTATATTTCCTATAGGTTGCAAAGATTTGAAAAAACAAATGAAATGTTAACGAACTGCAACGCATTAAGTGCTTCAAGACTGAAATCAGTGGCGCCAGAATTTAAAAAACATATCCACCTGCTTTTAGATGTAAAAAAGGATCTGGATTATATATTTAAGAAAATTAGAGTAATGAAAACAAAGTTGTCAACACAATACCCAGAGGCTTTTGCAGAAGCAGTGAGAAGCAGTTTCGCTGAAGAATGTGAAGAAGAGGAAGAGATTAGTGAAAAACAGAAAAAAGACAAAATGGAAGAAAACAGGAGAAGTTTGCATATTAAAAGTGATGAAGCAGAATTGATTGATATAACTAGAAGGGCATCAAAATAATAATGAAATTGTATCTAAATATTTATTAAAAAATGTATTATAATTATTATTAAAAAAACTTAACAAACTTATTGTATGGCATATTTTAAAGTATACTTTTTAGCCTTATTCTTAAATTCATCAATGTAATTCTTATATTCCTCGGCAATATCAGCCATTAAGGGATCATCTGGGTTAGGACACTCAATGAGCATTCTTACAGCAATTAAAAGCCCCTCAATTCCAATTGTAGGTTTCCAATTACCTGCTGGAGGCATTTTTAACAAATCCAAGCATATACGACCGTTGTCATCAATATTTGGGTGGTATATTTTTGTCATGAACTTTATTAGTGGTGGTACAAACGGATATCTTTCGGGTATATTAATTTCCAAAGTAAAAATGCCCCCTGAATAAGAAGAATTAGGTGGTCCTTCCACTTTTGCTTCTAAAACATTTGTTGATTCGTCTTTGTAGTACAAACATATTCCAGTCGGAGGAAAAGACGTTATTTTCGCTAATTCCTTGGCCAATCTTTGTTTTTGCATTTTTTTGGTTTATTTGGCAACATAGACGTTTTTCTTGTTTGGCAACAAAAACAATAAGGTTATGATAGTTTTAAAAATGGCGGTAAAATAAAATCCATAGAAGAGAAAATAAGAAAATCCCATAGAAGAATTATTTAATTTAATTTGCTTTCCTTTAATCTCACTTTTACTTATTATTTTATTTAAAAAAAACATGCACATTATAAACTTATTAAAATTATTGACGTTTAAACTGGACCATCCTGTATATAAAGCGTGCTTATAACTTATAACATTTTTATTAAATGAAATTTTGAACAGGCGGATTGCTTTGAGGCTCCCTCTAGAGTGTTTTGTGATTGGCCAATTTAAATTGACAAACGCAACCAGTCATTTGTCAAATTTTGTAACGAATATTTCCTAACCCCAAATAGTTTTAATTAAATTTTTGGATTATTCGTTTCATACGTATTATAAAATGGCTCAGAACGTTAATCCTTTTTTGGAACAGCAGTCCAGTTCAAACAAACAATCGGACGATTCGAGAAAACTTCAAAACGATAACCATGCAGTAACAAAAAGGTAAAAGCTTTTTTTAATAACGTAAATTTTTAAGCATTTTGTTACTCTTAGGTTGCACAAAGAGTTAATGAACCTAATGATGTCCCAAGACAAAAGTATATCGGCTTTCCCAGAGGGTGAAAATCTTTTTAAATGGATTGGAACAATATCAGGGCCCAAGGATACAGTGTACGAAGCTCTTAAGTTTAAATTAAGTTTTTTATTCCCACACTCTTACCCTTACACAGCCCCAACTGTAAAATTCATTACCCCATGTTTTCATCCGAATGTAGATACCAATGGCAATATTTGCTTAGATATTCTTAAAGACAAATGGTCTGCCTTGTACGATGTTAGAACAATTTTATTGTCAATTCAAGGTTTATTAGCAGAACCTAACAATGATAGCCCCTTAAATTCTCTGGCTGCAGAAAAATGGACTGATCAAGATGCTTTCAAAAAGTTAGTACTAGAAATATATAAAGAGTAATTTAATTAAATTAAATGTAAATTGTTAGTTAAGGTTTTTCAAATGTTTGTTAGGTTCACTGAGCATGTGTAATATGATTTTAATTGATTTATATGACTAATATTGATAAAATTTGCTGTATAATTGTACGATTGGTTCAAAAGAATTTTAATCATACTTTGCTAGTGTATCTAATAAAATTTATCTTTTTATAGACTGGATTATTTATGTATTTACTAATTTTTTTTTAATTTTATAGTTTATAATATTACTGTAGAATAAACAATTTCATATTGTTTCTTTGTTTTTATTTATATTGCATCTAAGCTTGATAATGTGAAAATAAATTTGTGCCTTGAAGATAAAATGTATGGGTCTTTTGTGCTTCGCTCAATTGTAGGCCTCCGCTTCGCGTTGAGCTCAGTACAAAAAGTATTATTTATTCTACTTTAAATAAACAAATTCCTGATCCCTGTGCATAAAAAGATTTTTTTATTATACCTTTATTATAATCGTCAATGTTATAATAACCTTACCTGTACGACTGCGCTTTAAGACGTTGCCATATATCCGATGTAAATGCACCTTAAGATTTTTAACCAGCGTTGCCAGCTCAGTACACTGGGTAATATTTTAAAAATATTGTTTAATTTTATTGTAAACATAATATGAGTGCATACTATAAAGGACTTTTTTATACAAATAACCTTGAAATATTCCAAGCACAGTTCATTTTTTTGTTAGGTTGGTGGCTTATGCCAGTTTGACTTAGTATTTAAAAAGGGACTGTCTACAGTTCCTACCAGTAGGAACTTAAGTCTTCAAGACTAAAGTTCCTACTGGTCGGAACTGCAGCCACTGAGTCAAAAGTTACTACCAGTAGGAACTTAAGTCTTCAAGACTAAAGTTCCTACTGGTCGGAACTGCAGCCACTGAGTCAAAAGTTACTACCAGTCGGAAATTCTGTTATGGACGCCAAAGTTACTACCACCTGTTTAGATTAGAAATGGCCTATTTGGGAAATAATGTTCAAATCTTTACTTGTTCTGCACAAAAAAACCATTTTATAAAAATCTTTGGAAAACTTATTTTATTACAATAATGTTTAATCATTGAGTAAAGTATTACTTAATGGTCTAATATTATATACAATGCGTTATAAATGAAAAATTGAATCAAACATATTTTTTCATTATTGTATAAAGAAGTTTTACTAATCTTATAAGAAAGAGTATTTCTATAATAACTATAGTTTTGGTATCTTTGCTAAAAGGCTTAAATTCAAAATATATATTTAACAACAAACATTTATTTAGTAAAAACAAAAATAAAATGTAACTTAAAATTAATGGTAAAACATAAAAAATATACCCTTTTTAACTATTTATAAATAAAATATTAAAGTATCTTGCGATTTAAGTAGGAAATCTAGAAATATATTTCTAGTTTTCTAAATATATTTATAAATATATATATATATATGTATATATACAGGGTGTTTCATAATATATGCGCAGGACTTCAGGATGTGATAGCTCATCCAAAAAGATGAAAAAAGTCGCTATTAACTTACCCTCTAAAATGCACAATTTTCGGAATACAGGGTGTTGAAATTTTAGAAAAAAAATCGTTTTTTTTCGAATATCTCCGGAACCGTTTATCGTACAAAAAACAGCTTTTGTAAGCATTTTCTACTCAAAATAAGCTATGTTTTGTGCCGGGAAAAAATTTTTTTTTACTCATAATTGGTGGAGATTTTGAAGGGGTAGCGGGTGTTTTTCTTCTCAACTTCTACGCCCCTGAAAAATGTACGGTTTTGAGAGGCCTATTCGAACCGCCAATGTTTTCTACACAAAAAGGTACTCTTGGTCATAAGCTCTAAAGTTGACCGTTTTAGAGAAAAATCAACTTTTATGTTTAAAAACATGGTCAATTTAATTTTAAAAAAAAATTTTTTTACTAATTAAACAAAATTTATTTTAACGTTAGAACAAGTAACAAAACCAGTTAAGTTAAGTTAAATTAAATGTTGGAAATGTCCACCGTTATCTTCAATGCACGCAAAGACAACTTTTGAATTATTTTTTATTTATTTTTTATTTTGCAATTATCGTTTGGTTTTGTTACTTCTTCTAACCTTAAGGTTACAGTATAGATAAAGAGCGGGAACCACAGAACACCAAGTTCCTACTGGTAGTAACTCTTGACCAGGTGGCTAAAGTTCCTACCAGTAGGAACTTTAGACTCGGCGACTAAAATTCCTACTGGTAGGAACTGTAGACAGTCCCATTTAAAAATGGTACTTCTGCTAAAGAATTTAATTAAATACTTTGACACTGTCAAATTGACAATAATATTTATTATTGATAATTTACTTGTCAATTATAAATAAAAAGATAATTATGCCAAAAATAATAGCTACGAATTTGAATGTAAAAGCCCTTTGAGGGAAAAACTTTATTTTGATGAAATTATGCCAAATGTCACAATGGAAGAAAAAGTACATCGCCTGGACATTTTTGGAGTAAAAAAGTAACGAATTTGGTTTTATAAATATTACATCACACATTATTTTCACATTATTCACCATTGGACAACATTTACATTCACAAAAAATTTTAATTTCTTTATATAAATTCTTTTCAAAGCGAAGATTAGTATCCGCTAGGAATACTTTCTCTTCTGGGCCGTAAAGCAACCTACATTTAACTAATTTTTTTATACGATTTTACTCATCCAAGCACCACCAAAGCCAAATTAATTGCATTTCGACAACTCACCTTGACAACTGCACAATGTAACCTACAATAATTTATACATAACCACAATTAGATTTATAGCTATAGCTTAGTTTGTTTTAATCAATGCGACCAACTTGACAACTGTATTTATCAACCAAAACCCTAAATTTGCAACGTTGCCGCAGTCCAGATAAAAGAAATGAACTTAACCATTATAATCTTACCTGTACGACTCAAGGATTTTACAAAAAAAATCCTTGTGTACGACTGCGCTTTAAGATGTTGCCATATATCGGATGTAAATGCACCTTAAGATTTTTAACCAGCGTTGCCAGCTCAGTACACTGGGTAATACCCAGTGGGTATATTTTAAATATATTGTTTAGTTTTATTGTAAACATAATGAGTGCATACTATAAAGGACTTTTTTATACAAATAACCTTGAAATATTCCAAGCAACACTTTGGAAGTAGAACATTAGGTTAAAGAGTTGACATCACTGTTTTTAAGGTAAAATTTTTAATCAAAACATGTTCCGAGTCAAAACATAACCGCATTTACATTGGAAAATGTAAAATCTGCAAATTTGGTCTAAAAGATTCCAACATTACAAGAAAGTGTATTTTATTTAAAAAGGTAAATTGCTACTTTTAAAACATTTACCTATAATTTGCATCTTGCGGTGTTTTCATAACATAAATTACAAGGGTATCAAGGTGAAATATGTACCTAATACTTTGTAATATGTAAATGTATTTATTATCAATATTATTGTTTTTAGTCAGTCGTATTCTTGATCATGGAATTTGAGTGCAGGCTCTGCCCATCAACATCAAGTTTAATATCGTTATTTGGTGGAAAAGAGAAGAAATATCGACAGCTATTGAATGAAATCCTTTTTGAGACTGTGGGAGTAAAAGTTAGTAGTTGCTGTTTTTTAACTTAAATTATTACAATTTGGCTGTTTTAGGTTAAGGAAGAAGACAGTTATTCAAAGTGCCTGTGTTGTTTGTGTGTCATTAAAATATTTAATTTTTATAAGTTTAAGACACTATGCTTAAGGAAAGAATCAATAATAAGGGTAAGTAGGTACTTGTAATGTAATAAAATTTATTAATTAAATTATAATTTTGTTGTATTTTTATTGGGTTTTATGAATAAATAAATAAAATAAAAATGATGAGAACGTATGTAAATGGTGGAACTTAAAAAAATATTTTAATGTGTATGTTTTGTTTTTTACTATTTTGAATTGCAATTGTAGGGTTTTGCATTCAAATGATGCCTAATAATTTACTAGTAATTTTAAAAACCACAAATAAAAAATATAACAATATTTGTTTTCTTTAAATTGCTATGAAATAATAAGAATTTAGGTAGATATTTTGTTCTTAAAGCATAATACATTTTTTTTGCTTAAACATTGATTTGTTAAAAATCCTAACATTTCCTTTATAAATCCATAATAATAAGATGTTTTTTCTTGATTTCAAATTTATACTATAAATATTTTCATTGAAAAAATACCTTCCTTACTAAGTTATTTTGTATTATTTTAGGGTGTGTCGAAAAATAAAAAGGTAATAAGCCTTAAAAACAGTGAAAGTGAAAGAAATGACCGTATTCAAGAGTTACAAGATTGGATTGTAAGAAAGAGAAATAAATGCTTAGAAAATGTAAACCAAACCATAGACAAAGAAAAAACCATCACAAAAAATGCAACGATAACAAACAGTGAAACTCAAACAAAAGCAAGTGAAATTATAGAAAATTCTACTCAAACATTATATGTCGAATTTACTGATGGTGAATCTCAAACAATTTGCGAATGTGTTGAAAATGGTACTCAAACAAATAACACAGTTAGTGAGCAAACAACACAAACCGAAATATGCTACCAGGCTTTTGACTACCAACCAGGTGATAAAACAAAGGAAGCAAATACTCTATCAGATACAACAGACGTAACAACAGATTCAGCTTATGATTCTGACTTGCAAGTATGTTTGGAAAAACAACAGAAAAGTAACTCAAATAAGGATGAAGCAGCTTTTTTAAGTAATGACAACATTATTAACAATCCTATGGTATTAACAAAACAGAAAAGCATTATTGTTTGCAAAATATGCAGCAAAGTTTTAAACAACAACATTCAATACAAAAACCATTTAAAAGTTCACATGAGATGCAACTTTTGCAACAAAAAGTTCCCTTCTGCGGCAAAACTGGAAACGCATGAATGTGAGAAAAAAATTAAAATGAAACATCCAACTGTGATATTGGCAAGAGTTGATTATCATCCAGAGTACCAAAAATACTGCATGACTCCAAAAGTTGAGGAAAATAAACCAAGAAAATTAATTAGGAGTAAGTCACTGTCTTGTCTAGATAGCTTACAGGCTAACTCTGAAACGGTATTGGACATTTGTTTCTTAAAAACTGTCACTACTGGTAAATCAAAAGCAACCCAAACATTACCAATACACGACTTAAACAATCTATCAACATCCACAATGAATCATCACAAGAAAAAAAAGGTTTAAGGCCACTTTTTATTAAATTTGGCCTGCAACAGGCTAGCTTTACGTGTTTTTTAAATAATAAGTAAACAGGTATTGTTTCTACTTGTATTTTAATATAAAAAATATATTAAAACGTTCTGAAACCTAATTTATTTCTAAAACCTTTAACTATAGAGTTGAAACATTGATATCCCCACTCTTTAATCTTATAATCCATTGATGATAAGGAATTTGATTCAAAATATGGTCTTAGATTTAAATATAAATAGTCTTCAATTTAAATACAAATACAAAAATTGAATTTTAATAAAAAACAATTTTTTTAAATGTTTTAAATGTAAAAATAGTTTTTTTTAAATATGGAATAATATATTTTAACATGATTAAAATTTTTTTGTCAGACATAAAAATAATTAAATAAAAATAGCGAATTATTATTATTATGATTAGGCAAAATAATAGTTATTTTCTATTATACATTTTAATTTGATACGAATTTTTTGTGTAACATCTTAATCCTTTATATTTAATCCAAAAAATATTTTTAAACATTTTACATATTATTTTGTTAGTTATCATTCTTCATAAAAAGTTTTGCTTATTCTGTAAATTCCATAGTCATCTTAAAAATTTTGAAATAACATACAGGGTGGTGTAAAAACAAGTTTTAAGTTGGGAATAAAGTAGGCACCTGTTTTTTTAAAGAAAAGTACAAATCAGGGTGGATCATCCTGGTACAAATCTTCAAAGGAAAAATGTTTATAATGTTACTAGATTTCCTAATGTGAACAATGTTATTTAAAGTTATTGCTTTTGACATTTTAATTAAAGTAAATAATAATATTAGGGTGGGTTGAAAAAAAATTTTTGTTTTTTTTCTTAGCCTGGGGGTAGAATTTGTACCTCATAAAAAAAATTCTTTGTTTCGTTCTAGAATCTGTAGAGTGTCCCCTTAAAAGCCAATTGGAAGTCAAAAGTTGAAAAAGTTTTTTTTTCCATTGTTTTTTGTAATTTAAGTAAAAAATTAAAAAATGAAATGCACGTTCTTTTGTATTAGAATAAAAGTTGAGTGAAAAAAAATCACATTCTACAATTTTTACATGTTTTCCACGATTTTGGACCTAAAAAAGAATTTCCCGTTGGAACTACCCCATTTGATTTAATATTTATTTAAAAAACGAGTGGGCCACCTCAAGATGTTGAGTACAAATTCTACCCCCAGGCTAAGAAAAAAAAACAAACATTTTTTTTTCAACCCACCCTAATAATTATACAAAGTAATTAAGTACCTATTCATTATTATTAATTACTTAATTACACTGTTCAAATTTAAAATCTAAATTTCTATTAACATTATTTTTTTTCTCAAAGATTTGCACATTTCTTTAAAAAACAGGGACTTTATTCTTGAAATGATTATAAATTTTCTTGTTTTTAACTACCCTGTACGTTACTTCTAAATTTTTAAGGTGGTTATGGAATTTATAAATACAGAATAAGCAAAACCTTTTATGCAAATAAGAAAGTTCACAAGTAGGGTTTTAAAATGTCGAAAAAAACCGGAGTAATTGTGGAAAAACTTGTTTTTTTCCGTTTTTTCCAGGCCTTGAAAAAATTGTCTTTTTTGGGAAAAATTAATAAAACGAAAGTTATATTAATACAGCACCGAATTTTTTTTTGCGACCCGGTAGAACATTCTAACTGAATTAAAATAAAACGATTATTATATTAAGTATATCGAAAATATGGTTTGGGGTGACAAAAAAAAATTATTGTGAAAGTTTAAGTCCATATTGAGTTTAACAAAATTGACTCGGAAATATTTTACAAAAAAGGTTAAAATAAAATTTTCCGTCAGATGAACCGTTTCCTTAAAATCATGCCTAAAAAAGAATACTTTTGAAAAATAGTCGATTTTTTTTACGCAGTCTAATGAACACACGCATAAAACTTATTTTATAATTTCTTTGTCATAATTATAATTAAAAAATAAAAATTTAGTGTAATAATTTTATGTGTGTACATAAAATTAATTGATGGGATTGCAGGATCAAGTAAAAAATATGTAAATATAAAAGTGTGTCGCAAATTCTGGCTCATAGGAATATAGATTAAACTTAATCAGGATTGTTAATTAGCATCATATTAAAATTAAGATTTTAACTGTAGAATATAATATATGAATTATGTTATATTTTACAGTTAACATAATTAAAAATTATGTTTTTGTCCCCAGTTCAATCTTACCAACAGGTCCTGCTTATGGATTTTGATTTACAAGTACCTCAATAATCATCTGAATTACCTATAAGGATTTTTTTAGAAGTATCTTTTCTTGAAAAAAGTTTTAGACATTTGTTTATTAAACAAAACCTGTCACCACTGAAAAATCAAGTCATGCATTTATACAAAAAATTATCACAAGAAAAAAATAAGGTAATCTTTTATTATATTCAGGTGGTTTTGTGTTGAAAACTTTAGTATTTTAGTTAAAAATATATTAAAAGTATCCAAACTTAAAATAAAGATTTGGAAGATAAAGCAAGCTGCACACTATTTAATTAAAAAACCCACCTGTAATAAAAAATCATAAAAACCAAGTAAATCTTAACATAATATATTCTACAATTTACAAATTTAAAAATTTATTTAATGATGGCCAGTGGTGGTGGGTTTGCCATGGGTTTTCTCCCACAATTTAATGTATTCTTGCTTGCGTTGTTCTCTACGCGCAAAATATTCTGGATACTGCGCTTTCTCAATTGGGTGCCAGTAGTCCATAACCCAATCTGGAGGGATTACTTCTCTGCCATAGGCTACACCACCAGGGGACTCTGGGACTAAATATCAAATAAAAATTTTACAAGCTATATAATAAAGCATTTTATTTAAAAATTATGTTGTATATATATTTAAAAAAAACATCATTTTGAAAATATTTCTTCATTAAATAATGAAATAAACAATTTGCTTGACATTTTTTAAAATAACTAATATTTTTTTTTATATTCATTTTTTAGGTCAACAAAAGTATGTTAAACCTACTCTAAAATCGCGATTTTTATTTTTTAAAAGCGATCTCTTAATATTTTTGAATTAACATGATAAGTTTAATAAGTATTATACTATATAATATATTACTATTACTATTAAAAATTTGGAAATTCTATTGTAATAATAAATTAATACCTATTATTAGGATAGATATGTTCTCTCCAATGTATTGCATATGTACCTATCAAAATATGAAAATTCCTAATTTATCTTATAAAACTATAAAAATTATAAAAAAGTACAAGTTTAAAATTTTAGGTATTGTTATTTTTAATGTATTAAGACCATTTTTTATATAAATGGGTTCATTAATTTTCTATTGAAATTTACAAAAATATACAGTTATGATACCTACCTAATACCAGGGCCGGATTTACGAATTTGCCGCCCATGGGCCCAACGCATCATTACCCTGAATAACGAATGACTCAGCGAATAAGCTAGAGTCGCGCCCCACTCGCCTCGTGTACATCGACTGCCGCCCTTCTACGCAGTGACGCACTACGCAGAATAATATTGTAGTCTGATATAAAATTATCTAATTTATTAAAAACCTTCTCTTCCAACTTTTTATAGTTTTAATTAGTGTATAAATCTGAGTGAAAACAAAAATTCTGCATAAAACGCTCTTGATTTTTTAGCAAAATTTTAACTGGCCTTCAAAATTTGCCGCCCTGGGCCCGGGCCCATGTGGCCCATGCCTAAATCCGGCCCTGCCTAATACCTATTAAAATAAACTGTTTTTTGTCATATTCTTATTGAGGTAAAAATATTGTATTATGCGTATAAACTTCAAAACAATTATTTTTTGTTTTCATAGTAGCATACTTGCCATTATCAAATTGGTTTAATGCTATTTTATCATCGACTTACATTTCTTGGGGTGCCAATGTTGTTTCTCGAACAATTCCTGTTCACCCTTCATGATCAAGTCTTTTGCAATTCTCATATCCTTCACATCCTTATTCTGATCGAATCTTTCCCTCATAAGAACTGCTTGGTATCTGAATACGTCCCTAAAAGACAAACGAAAGTTACATAAGACATAACCTTAAAATTATTATTTTTTTATCAGTTTACCTTCTGTCATACCAGTTTTCCAAAGACCTTACAGCCTTTTTGTATAAAGTTTGGACTTTACGCGTATGGGAACTCATTCCCGTTGTAAAACTTGCCATTTTCGCAGATGGCTTTGGGGAACTGTCAAAAATGTAACCCCAATAAAGTGACAGCTGACAATAAATAATTTGTAAATAGTTTTAAGTAAATCCTTTTTAATACATTTGCGCCGTAGGAATTGTTTAAATTTGTTAATAATTCAATAAAAAGTTGCCTATTTCAATGGCGATTTATTTATTTATTTTAAAATAATCCTATTTGACATGCGCGTGATTCTGCAGCAGGGTTGTCAAGTATATAATTTTGCGGAGAAATAGATTGCAAGGCCCACTCGATTGAAAAAAAACTTTTTTGTTTAGTATTTAATAACCAATATCCTAAGACATTTTGGTACAAATATATAATTATTAGTTACTTAGGGTACAAAACTATCCAAATGTGTGTAGGTTTAGGTGTTCCGTGGCTAATAAACAATTTGTTTTGATGAGTTGGCAACGTTGCAGTTGTTGCAGTCGTCTTTTTTCATTGGTGGTCGAAGTTTGTTCTCTGTTTAATTTGAGAAAATTTTGACGTTTGTTGAGTGCGATTTCACTTGTGTGTGTAGTGATTTTGTTTATTAAGTAACAATCATAACAATTGTTGTTATTTTGTTATTAGAAACGTACGGAAGAGAAAAGATGAGCGACAAAAAAGGTAAGTGAATATTTCTGGTCGGGTCGTTAAATAAAATGGTGGCTAAAAATACTTATTAAACATGGATGTAAAACGCCCTTTTACAGCATATATTGAAAGTTAAGAATGAACCCAGAGTCAGTTAATAAAATCGCGGGGTCCGATTGGGCGAGATATCTATTAAAATTACATAATAGAATGCAGGATGTTTCAATCAATACAACAGTTAGGTTATCTCTTTCTTATCCAGGTAACCTACATGTTTTAGCCTCGTCTATCCTGTGTCTTTTTTGATAGCCTTGTCCTACTTTGCAAAATACTGCAGTATACATTCTACCTAATGTAGTATATGTTAGGGACAATTAATTTAGGGCGAATTTATCATAAAAAATTATATGTTACTTACAGCCCCTGGTTTTAATGCCGTAACTAATGAGGAGGACCGCCAACAACCAAGGATTCGAACTTCGGAAAAAACAGTACATATTTATTTTCATGTGTTTTATACAGTGGCTGATAATGCTTGTTGGTTATTCCCGCTCAACGATTTTACCTTCACTAGATTTTTGGTTGGGATTGATTATAACTCTGCATTCACATTCTCTAAAAAACGCTTTAAAATAACATTTTTTAAACGAAAGTAATATGATTTCATTGGAAAATATCCAGGGGATTCCCCTATGTTTTTTATCATTTTATCATTATAAGATTAACTACAATAAAAAAAACAATTTATCCTATACCTACTCGTACCTACTTGAAAAAACATAAATATGAGAATCTGGCTAAACACTACTAAAAGTTATTTAAATTTATTGAGAATTAAAGATTACTTATGTGGCCCAAAGAAGTTGTAAAATTTAATTATTTTTGTTGCATAGATTTAAAAATCCAAAATTAAATATATCTTTTTTGGGCAATGCTTTTGTATTATTTTAAGAATGGGCATTATTAAAAAAGCGTTTCTTTTAAAATAATTTAAAAAATTAATTATTAGATTTATTAAAAAAAACAGAATGCAGGGTTGTACCAATTACTTTACTGTAGCTGACAATGTAAAAAAAATCAGTGGTCCAACATTAGTCATTTTGTGGTCTATTCACTGCATGATGAAATTTAAAAAAATATGCTGAACCGCTGGTAACAATGAGAACTTGATATTAAAATATTTAAACATTTGTTAAAAATCAATGAAATTGTTTTATCCATGTTATTCTATGTCTGATTATATAAATAGCAAAGTGTAAGGAAATGTAAGGTTTTAAATAACATTTTGTGTGGGTGGATGGTTTCATAAGTTCAATTTTTATTTATTAGACATGAAAAATTCAAACCTTTCCCGTAAAAATTGTAAAACCCACGCAAATAAAAGCAACCTACATAAAAAATATCAAATTTGATTTGAATAATAAATGAATTCATGTAGAAAAATGTTTTTTACAGTTTTATCTATGCATTTACGAAAATTTTGCGTTCCGTGACATATTTTGGGCGAACACGGGAATAAAGTAGAGTAGTAATGACCCAGTTGAATTTTGGATCAATACACTGTCGCCATCTCTTCACCCCAAAATGCATCGCGTATTTAAGGAAGTCTTCTGTGTTTTACCGCGTTTTGCCTTTATTTAAACTAGCTATTTTTTTAAATAATTTATTTGAATTTATTTATTTTTTAAACATCATAAATAATTATAAATATTTATAACGATATTTGTTGGTTTATTTTTTTAGACATAATTTTCTATAGAAAGCAAAGTGGCAATATAATTTTAATAATCTATACCATTTTGTTTTTCTGACAAAAAAGTATCCTAGGATACTTGGTGCACCTTGTATATTTCCAAATTTTTACTGAAAATATGAAGCATACTGAATTATATTAGGAAGTTAACATTTTCCAAACTGCCAATTTGCATTAGAAATACGATTTTTATAATACACTCACAGGCAAAATAATCGATCCACACAAATTTTCGATGAATTTCAATCGCAAATAACTTTTTTATTTGATTTCGGATTTAAACAAATATTAAAGAATATTGTAAATGGAGAATCGCTCATATTTTAAAAATTACTAAAAAATACACGTACGTTTATAATATACAGGTTTAAACAAAAATATGTTTTTTACCACACTCTGTAGAGTGGCTAAACCGTATATTGTTCTAAATTAAGTTTTAATTGTCAAGTCACATCTATTTTTAACAGTTTTTTTTGGTTCACCTTGATATATTTATTTTTGTGGAAAATATGGATTTAAAAAAAAACCATTGCAATTTCCAATATTTTCCTGTATGAAGAACTAAGGTTGCTATGGTCCATCCATAGCCTATGGAGGATGACAATGATAGTTTTTTTTTTAATCATCCCATACTTGGACATGTCATATACACCTTTCAAAGGCTATCAAATTGTTTTTTGTAAATTAATGTGTTAATTTTGAGGTCTTCTTACTTTTAAAAATGTCTCCGACTGATGTTGGTCTTTGTACTTTACTTCTTGTGATGTTTAAAACACTTGCCACGTAATACTGTGACCGTCCATCCTGGATAAAATTAATGGCTCTGGCAACATCAGTCGGAGACATATCCATTTTTTAAAGTAAGAAGACACCTCAAAATTTAAACATTAATTTGCAAAAAAACAATTTGATAGCTTTTGAAAGCCGTGTATGACATGTCCAAGTATGGGATGATTCAACAAAACTTTCACTGTCATTCTCCATAGCCTATGAATTAGTTCTTCATACAGAAAAATATTGGAAATTGCAATGTTTTTTTTTAAATCCATATTTTCCACAAAAATAAATATATCGAGGTGAACCAAAAACAAAACTGTTAAGAATAGATGTGACTTGATAAATAAAACTTAATTTAGAACAATATACGGTTTTGCCACTCTACACAGTGTCTTATGGTAAAAAACATATTTTTGTTTAAACCTGTATATTACAAACGTAGGTCTATTTTTTAGTATTTTTTTTAAATGTGAGCGATTGTCCATTAATTTATCTACAATATTCTTTAATATTCGTTTAAATCCGACATCAAATAAAAAAGTTATTTGCGATTGAAATTCATCGAAAATTTGTGTGCATCGATTATTTTGCCTGTGAGTGTATAATGATAGATACATAAATCAATAAATAATCAGGGGCCCAAACCCAGCAAAATTCATTTAATTATTATTTTTAGAAATTAAAAAATACGTTGCTAAAGTATTACCTACCTTGAAAAAAATATACTTGGTAATATAAGGTATGATATTTTAAGTAAAAATTTTTACTCATTCATATCAACTGGGCTAGTTTTTTTACATTTCCCAGAAAAACTCGCCCAAGTACTAATTATACCTAATTGCATAAGATTATGAGTAAAAAATGTGCATTTGTCAAATGTTAACATTATTGCCAGCGGTAGAAAGCCTATTTTCATTTTTGTGTGGTCGTAGGGTGGTACCTACTGGATTCACCCGATGTTTGCTACAAAAAATATGTTGGCTAAACTGCTGCAGCACATCTACGTCGCTAATATTTACTATAGATTTTTTTTTGAGAAGTTTTCGCGAAATCTGTTGCACACCCATTTTTTCATTTTCAAATTTCTCTGCACCTGTAGCAACAGATTTCGTGGAAACGTTTGGGTATTTGAAAACCAAATAATAAACAAAAAACCGACCTATTAAATTAAATTGAATTATATTTTAGTGATTCGATTTTTAATGGGTGGGGAAAGTATTTTTTGCAACAGGTCTACGGAATTTTGTATTTATAATGTTTGATTTACTTTATAATAATATGTGACTAATCTAGATTAAGTACAAACCTTCACTAGTTCATAGAAAACAAATATAATTATGGTTTTTTATAAAACAAAGAATACTACAAACTTTGATGTCATTAGCTTCGAGCAGATTTGAAAAATATCTAACAAAACAGTTTTTATTGTAAACCTATTTATAAAAAATAAGTAATATATTATTAAAACGTTTTATAACACCATAATTATCATTGCATGCAGTAGTTTATAGGGCATGTAGCTAAATATTTCCAAACATTTTTTTATTTTTATTAAACAGTATTTTATTTTTTTAATAAAATCTGTAAAGTATCCGAAAAAAATTGAAACTATTTTGCTTGATAAAAAAGTATATAAAGCATGAGAGAAAAGGAAAATATTCTCCCACCTCATTTTAAAAATATCCAGTTTTTAATCAGTGTTTAAAAATGAGTTAGCAGAGTATATTTTTATTTTATTTTTTTGCATGAAATTTTTTTTTTGATTTAGTTTTTTTTTAATCAGCATATCTCAAATTTATGTTGTCAACAGGAAATATGCTCGAATATTAATTTAATTTTGCCTGATTTTATGATACAAAAAATGTATTTTGCAATAATTAATCAATACAAATACAACCAACATAACAAAAAAGTTATTTGATGTTTGCTTTTTAAAAAGTAAGCTTCTTTCAGAATACATTTTCCTTGCATGCACATAATAGCGCTAACATAACCTAATATAAATATAAAGCCAGGAAAATATTCTACATGTAATATAGGCATAGGAATAATTGTAATATATTTTGCCTAATTTTTAAGAAGTTAATGCAAAAATTTTAATAGTTTTTTATAAATCAGCTCTAGGTATTTTTGCGTAAATTTCTTATTGTAGGCTATTGCGAATGTTTTCTAACTTTAATGTTTATATTCATAAATAATAATTGTCACTATTTAAATGTTTTTTTCACTTATTAGAATGTTAAGAAACGTACTTTAACTTATTGTAAATTCTTAAGTTTGTAATCAATATCTTAAAAAATAATCATTGTAAAGATACAACGAAGAATTTACAATTTTTGGATTTATTTAATTAAATTGTTTTAAACTACGTGAAATACACTAAATCACCTAACAATTTAATTATATTTTTAGATTGGTTTGATAATTTTAAAATCACTTAATTATTGACTATCAAAAAATTGCAAATGCCTCATTAAAATATTTATAATTGAATTTGCAGCTATCGGGGGTGCTGTTCCCCCTCAACAGGCTCAGCCCACTTTTAATCCACAACCCCCACCCCAGGCTAATCAAGTACCCACTCCACAACCTTATGGAGGTAAGAATGTTTTCTTAATAATATACAAATCCAAAAAGCATAGTGGTTAAATTTTACAATTACAAATTTAAAGCAAATTTTCTTTTAAATCTTAGGTAAAAACGCTTTTCCGAATATTTCAATTTTGTTGGGCATCATAAAAAAGTCCTTCTTTGACATTTGAATAAGAAATGCAGTCCAATAATTGAGGTTATGTATCTGTCAGTTTAATTCAGGCTAATTTATTTTTATTTATTTACCGATTTCTAGATAATTTATAAATTCTTATTACTCGTACTTACAAACCAAATTTAATGAACTCGTAAAAAATACTCGTGGAATTCACGAGTAATATATACGAGTATTTCCGTTTATTATATCGATGACTTTTTGCTAAAATATCGTAAACATTAAAACATTTTGTTTGGAAGTTTTAAATTTTATAATATATAGTATAATATAATATATTATAGCCTATAGGTTTTATAACAAGTACCTATATAGGTAAAATTATAAACTATTTAAGAATTGTTATTTTTATTTATTATTTTATGTAGGTACCTAATTTTTAAAATAATAATTTTATAAATTTGTATTTCTATTTTTAATAAAAATACAAATACAAAATTTTTTATATCTCATCACCAAAGTAATATAAAGAATAATCAATTATATTAAGTAACATTTTTTGTTAAACAGTACTCATACTCTTTACTCGTGTTTTCACGATTACTAACCGTAACCTCTCTTTACAAATGTACTTACGAGTAAATATTTTATATTATATGGTTGTGGTAACTCAAAATAGTTGGCAAAAAAGTTACAAATTGGATAAAAATGTGAAACTTACTTTTTCAAAATTACTAGAAATAACGATGTTTTAACGATTTTTGGTTTTGACAGATTTTTAGTTTTTTGAGAACCACAATTTTTAAACGACATTTTAATTAAAAAAAAGATAACCATACATAGGATACTTGGTACACGAATTTTAAACATATTTAAAAAGTTTATATAACCTTTTGATTTCGCCGTAGTAATACAGTTAACTAGATATAACTGTTTAACTGTTACACTGTTAAAAAATTTGCGTACAGTGCCCATAAAACATTCTCTTCTCTTTTACTGTGAGAAACTGCTTCTATATCGATTGTTAGTCTATTTTCAAGGGATAAATTTTGACAGAAAAATTTAAAATTTTAACGCCGGTAGATTCCCAAGTTAAAAATTCTAACGGGAATTCCAATAAATACAACTTTTTGTACCTTTAACATTTCCCGTTTAAGAATTTTTAATGCTGTGATAATATTTTGCAATTATAAAAATAAAAAAAACAAAGAATAAAATATTTTCTTAACATAATCATATTTTGAAGTTATTTTAATATTTTATCTATTTTGCGTTCATAATGACTTCATTATAACACCGCTTTCGGTGCTGTAATGAGATACTTTATCCCATCCAAAATTTTGATTTTATAGGTTAGCTATTCTTTAAACAGCATAATATTTTGCATATTGGTTATAATATTTTTATGATTTTTCTAATACTTTTCTGGCAATAAATTTTGTTTAACACCAAGATAATCCTTTTTTTCTTCTTTAACATTAACAGCCGCTTATTGTAAATAAGTAAATTAAGGACGGCATGGCGAATCGCATGCGACAAAATGACATTAGTTCTTTAATATACTATTATTAAACTTGATACATAATATACTATTATTTTTATTTGGTTTTTAGACGAATTGTTACCATGCCATATTAAAAGTGTAGTGTAAGAGTGTATTTTACCTTCTTATGTTTTAATGCGATGGAATTTTTGTGACAAGTAGCGTGCAGTGAACACGGTTTATATTTAAACCGTATACGACTGCAGAAGGTAAAATTATGCCGTAAAGCGGGAACTTCAAATTATTTCCTTTGAAACTTACGTAGGTATCGATTTACTAAGTGCATGTCGTTATTGATTTTCGTCGACGATTTTGCGATAACCACGCTAGAAATGTTTACCCATATTTAAAGTAAATTGAAAAGCCATGAGCGCAGGTTCGTTGTATTGTTTACGATAATTTATAGTAGTTAAGCACGAATGAATTGTGTGGAATAATGTATTTTAAATATACTTGTTTGGTTGGGTCGGATTATAAGTCCGCATTGAATGTTTCTTAGAAAGTTAATTTTATCATATTTTTTTTTACTTTGATTTAAATAAGTTATTAAGGATAACACGCACTTATATTGTTATTATTTTCGTGATAATTACACATTATAATTATACATTGTATATGCTATATTTTTTAACACAACAAATTTAGTTATGTTGAGAAAGTAGGTACATACTTGTTTAATTTAAGTTTTTGTTTATAGTTTCTAAACAACATAACACAACTTTAATTTTGAGTAAAAGCACAACCTAATATAAATAAATAGTAAATGTCCAAAGATTGAGGTTAGAGATGTGACGTGAAAAAAACATAATTTTTTCATTTTATTTGTTAGGTATCAAAAACAATTAAAATTTGTAAAAAATCAAAATAATTTTTGCTAAAATTTTACAAAAGGCTAAATTTACTAAAAAAAATGTATATCCTTTTTTTACAATTTTACAGGAAATCAAACTTTGAACCAATAAGATACTTAATATATACGCTAAAGAAGCCTCGCTAGTGTTAATCCGAATGAAGAAATAATTTTCGTAGTCTCTGTAAATATAAATTGTATCTATTAGATGCAATAAATACACATTTTGGTAATGATTAACGCGAACAGTGTAAACATTTCAATTCAGTAAACATCGTCAAACAAATAAGTCGTCTAAATTTAAACAGCATTTAAAGTATTAAAAGCGTTGATTAAGAAAGACTCCACTCAACGGTAAAATCCCATTATATTATGTATTATATATAATATTATGTTGCCATGAATTTTTAGGTATATTTTGTTGTTTAAAATGCAGTTGTCGGCGTTTTTTAGAGAACATAAAAATGGTTGATTATAAGGTTATGTTTGTGCAAAAATTATTTTTTACTAATTTCTTAAAAATGTACTTGTAACTTAAATATAAATTTTATTAAGTAAAGTTATCATTAGTTAATTCTGCAGCAACAAATGTACTTACCGAATTGGATCCTTTGGAAAAACATGAAAATTTTATTTTCAATTAAAAACACAATAATTTACCATGATCCCTTAGATAAACTACACACACTAACTTAAGTATATAAGCATTTAAGCGTTGAGTTTCTTAATCCATGATATAAAGAATAATTAATCGAAATCGAGTACTAAACCAACTTTTTAGTTTTTTCCTTGCAACGAAAAACACAAATAACGTGCGCGATTTAGCTGTGCAATTGAACAAAATTTGTCGAGTAAGACTTCTGCCTTCCTCTCTCTTGTGAAAAACTACCAATTTATTTAAAAATGATGTACAGTTCGTACGATTTAAATGTATTGTTGACAATTCTTAAATTCACGCAATGCTTTTGAAGTCCACCAGATGGCGCGCACGTTGCGAAAACCCGATACTTTTTTAGCGTATTGAAACTTTAAAATATTAAATTAACTTCAAAATATAATTACGTTAAGAAAATATTTTATCCTTTGATTTTTTTATTACTATAATTGCGAAATATTTGAAATATAAATATTAGACTGGCCCAAAAAATCGACTATTTTTTTTGTAAAGTATATCGAAAATATTGTTTGGGGTGACAAAAAAAATTATGGTGAAAGTTTCTGTCCATAATATTAATATTAAGAGGTCTATCATCGCAATTTTAGATTTTTTTTTCCTGAGCGAGTTTTTGTCTCAGAAGTCCCAAACCATTGAGTTTAACTTAGGAATATTTTTTGAAGAAAATTGAATGCTCTACAAAAAAGGTTTGATTGGAATTTCCCGTCAGATGAACCGTTTTCTTACAATCATGCCTTAAAAATTTGTAAAGTTTTACAATTTGATCTTTTAACTTTGGAATTTTGTAACTCATGTAAAAATCAGTACCCAAAAAAAACGATAAATATTCTTATGGGAAATCAAATGCTCTACAAAAAAAGTATTTTATCATTTTTGGCTAAATTCACTCCATCAAAAGTTATTCAAGGTTAAATTTGAAGTCAAAACCAAATTTTAACTTTGAATAACTTTTGATTGAGTGAATTTAGCCAAAAATGTTGAGAGGCTTTTTTTGTAAGGCATTTGATTTCCCATAAGAATATTTATCGGTTTTGTATGGGTACTGATTTTTACATGAATAAAAAATTCCAATTTAAAAGATCAAAATGTAAAACTATACCAATTTTTACGGCATGATTTTAAGGAAACGGTTCATCTGACGGAAAATTTCACTTTAACCTTTTTTGTAGAGCATTTAATTTTCTCAATAAAATATTTTTAAGTCAATTTTGTTAAACTCAATGGTTTGGGAGTTCTGAGAAAAAAACTTGCTGAGGAAAAAAAAATTAAAATTGCGATGATAGACCCCTTAATATTAATATTATGGACTCAAACTTTCACAATAATTTCACCCCAAACCATATTTTCGATATACTTTAAAAAAAAATAGTTCATTTTTTTGGCTCAGTCTAATAAATATATAAATTATAAGTAGTAAAAATTCTTACACGGGAAATGTTAAAGGTACAAAAAGTGAGTTTTATTTATTGGAATTCCCGTTAGAATTTCTAACTTGGAATCTACCGGCGCTAAAATCTCAAATTTTTCTGTGTAAATTAAAATTTATCCCTTAAAAATAGACTTACAATCGATATAAAAGAAATTTTTCACAGTAAAGAAGAAGAAGAAAATGTTTTATGGGCACTGTACGCAAAAAAAAGTTCTATCTATGAAACTAATAATAAATTATTTTTTAGTGATGCCAGGAATGCCGGGTGGTAACCCCTACATGACTCTGCCGGGCCAGACTCAGATTTACCCTCAAGGTCCTCCACCTACGTATGATCAAGCGTTGACTCATCCCGCCACCATTGTGGGACAACACGTAATAAAATTTAGAAGTTTTACCAAAGAATTTGCTATTTTATTGCCTTTTTTTCAGATGTATCCACCTGGTACTATGTACGCCGCTGGTTATCCGACCTACTTGGGATATCCGACCTACGCTCCGATGCAATATTATCCATCTTTGGGTGCTTACTCTTATGCCATGCAACCTGCTCAAATGCGACCCACCATTATGATTCCAGTAAGTAAAATGTCTCAAAATCTTTAAACTAAGTTATTTTACTATTAAGGATGGATAAAAACGCGTAAATTTTGTGGAGTTTTCCTCTACATTATTAAAACAATAACTTACTGAAAATTTGAGCTCTTAATATTTATTACTTTCCTGGTAATGATTTTTCGAATTTTGAATTTTTTTTTTTAACTTGTTTATTTTTTTTTATGTAAATAATTTTTGATATACATACAAACAGTACTGTTTTTTTATTCTTGGCTTTATTATAAGTAAGTTCTTAATTAAATGAGTATCTGGAAAAGTTTATAAACGAGTTGGATACCATACTTTTTCTACAAAAATACTTAATGTTATCTAAAAAATGATTTAAATTAAATATTTGTGTAAAGCCACGTCTATACGAAAATAAAGTAACCATCCCAATAAACATTTGACGTAATTTTCACCAATAATATTGCCTGATATAATTAATAATTAAACTTAACAATTATTGATACTTTAAAATATTAAGTATTAAAAATTCTTACACGGGAAATGCTAAAGGTACAAAAAGTAACAGTTGTATTTATTGGAATTCCCGTTAAAATTTATAACTTGGGAATCTACCGGCGTTCAAATCTCAAATTTTTCTGTGTAAATCAAAATTTATATCTTGAAAATGGACTAACAATCGATATAAAGTTATAAAGTTATAAAGTGCTCTTTTAGTTCCACCCTTACATCCAAACTAAGATGTCCCATAAGCCAACTGAATGGCTTGTGCGGGTTAGGGGTAGGAACGGACCGACGGCTTAAAGTCCCCTCCGAAGAAACAGTTTTTACAGTAAAAGAGAAGAAAATGTTTTATGGGCATTGTACATATATTTTTTTCAAATATTGGCGTCAAGAAACTATTTAATACTTTTGTATTTTTTTCAAATTATTGAGGTTATGTTTCTGCCGTTTAACACCATATGTTTCTGTCATTTTAATACCAATTTTGTTTTATTTTCTTAAATTTTTTTATAATACAGGTATTTAGGTATTTATGTTTTTGTGAAATATCTAAACTAAGAAGTTTGAACAAAAATTCTTATATTATATTTTTTTAGAAAATAATACCTACTAAATTGGTAGAGGCATAGCATAAAATTCTCATCTTTCATAAAACTTTGAAATTAAAATTCCCGCAAGGTCAGAAAAATTGCAATTTTTACTTTGAATTTTTTGAGGGTCTTTTGTCTTTTGAAAAGCTAGGGATTTATACAAAAAAACAGTGTTGTTTGTATTTTTATAAAACATTATTTACACTCAAAAAAAATTAACAAAAAAGTTTTAAAAAATGTCAAAATTAGTGTGTCATTATTTTGGTAGAGAATTTTTAAAAAATCCTCAAATTTTATTTGGTGGAATTTCATATATTGTATTATTTTCAAGAAATAAGACAAAAGTAGCGTTAAACTGACAAGCGTTTTTAGCTTCCTTTTATGTTTTTTTTTTAAATTAAAAAAACGTGTCAGTTACTTGGGCAATAAACGACCATGTTGCCAAATTTGGTGTTTTCAAGCCAAAATTATGCTACTTTTATTATATTTTTTTATTAAAAAAAGGTAAGTTTTTAAAACTTGCGGTCAACTTTTATGTTTTTTTAAAAATCCCTAAACTTGGTTAAAAAATCCATAAAATGCCTTAGTTTTAACAATAATTATACAAAAGTACAAAATAAAATAAAAAAAAATAAAAATAAAAATAAAAATGTTTGTATTTAAATTACTACCCACGCAGCATTTTAAAACGGTTTTATAACGGTATAGATACGAAAAATTACCAAATTTGGTTTATTTGGTTATTTTATCTAAACAATAACCTTTTTGATCTACTAAGAGAATAACGTAATAAAAACAATGTAAATACCACAAATTTACGTAAAAATAACGCTATAATAACTAACTACAAAATCTTTTAAAAATCATTTAGTTTTAATCATTTTTTAATAACCTAAAACTTTCCTTGGTATATTTTAGAGAAATATTTATGAGAAAATATTATATAAATGTTTGGATAAGTAATGGATGCCATCTTAAAAAACTCATTATGGCGACCTGAAAAAAGTTTTCCTTAAAGTTTTATTTTTCACTTTAAGCTTATTTTTCCTTTTTTAGTCAATATTAATAGTATTTATTACCACTAATAACCCTAAAAATACCAGGCGAATAGGAATTATTTACGGTTATAAAGTGTTCTTAATATCGTAAAATTATGACTTTAAAATTACCGTTACATTTTCTTTTGGGTGAAATACACTTTTAAGTAATTTTCTTTCCTAAAAATTACTTCCCTCATAATACTTTAAAGTGTCAACTTAAGGGTTATTAAAATAGGTAAAAATATCTTTAAAAAAGTTTACTTCAAAGTAAATTTTTAAGGTTAATTTAACAAAATATTTACTTAAATAAGTAATATTGCCTCAAAGCTTTACTTAAAATGGTGCTTGGGTAAACTAAGGAAACAAACAGTAGGTACTAATTTTGTTATGTTATAAAAATATGGGGTAGCATCAATAATACAAAATCTTAAAATTCCGACAGTCTTACAAAATCCTTAGAACTAGGAAACAAATCACTAACTTGGCAACACTGTGCATGCTGGTATAGGTATAGCCGGCTAACACTTTAAACCACATTTCTGACAAAAATTTTAGATATGAAGTGAATAATAAGCAAGTTAGGTCAAAGAAAAAAATGCAATTCTATAAACACTTGACCTTTAAATGCATCAAACTTAATAAACTTTATAAGGTTGGTTTATAATTTTGTGTTGCGCTGTGTTCTTGCAACGCAATTAAAACAAACCTCGCTTCTTTCCCAGAATGGTTACGACGCAGGCGCGAGATTCGACGGCCTCACGCAACAGGTGTTGCCGCCAGCGCCCCCTGGCGTGCCCCCATCCGCGGCCCAGCTGGCCGCGATGGCCGGACATCCGGTCGCGCTCGGCCAAAAGAAGAACACATTCATCGCGGGAGGTTCAGACGGCGGCTACGCGTTCTGGTAGAGGCCGCAGCCCGCTGCGATCACTAGGCTAACGAAATTCCCCTTCATTTTTTTCAGAACTCCCCTCCCACGGCCCGGTCACTCGAGGATGCCTTCAACTTGGCCAAGCAACTCCGCAAATACCTAATTAATGGTAAAAATAAAACTTGACGTCAAGCAAGTTTGTTATTTTCACAACTAGTAATTAGTTATAATTTTCCCAAGTTGTTTCGCCAAGTTAATGGGCATCACTTAAGGCAATCAGAAAGAAGTTTGCCGAGCAAATGGAACACGATCTTTGATTTATTTATAAGGATTAGGGTGTTTCATTTAAAACGAAATTTTTTTTTCTTGCTGACACATGAAAATTTTGTTTTTTTAGGTTAAAAAAAATTCCCTGAAAATTTGAGCCCTTAATTTTAATTCTAAGTACTTCCTTTTTAATTTTGTAGTTTTTTCATATAAAAAGCATGTATTTTTAATCATTTTTACTTTAAATTTCTATATTTTGGCCGGGTTTTGAATTATAATTTTTATCAGCATAATTTCCTGCATAGTATTCACGGTTTTTGAAAGGCCCTGCATCAATTTTGTTTTTGATTTATTTACGTTGATTGTAGTAGCTCCAAAAGTCGTTTTTTCACTCTTTTCGCATATTTTTGAGAAAATCGAGCGAAAGACTGGTTTTACCGAAAAAGTTCAAATAAAAAAGTTGTAGAAAATTTAATTTTTGACAAAAAAGGTTTTCACGTTCATATCACCAAAGTGCTTTGTTTAAGAGATATAAGCAATATATAGTTGTTGAATCAAATTACATAAATTTCAATAAAACCTATTTTTTCTTTGTTTTTGGTTATTGAATTGCTTATATCTCTTAAACAAGGCACTTTAGTAATATGAACGTAAGAACCTTTTTTGTCAAAATTTAAATTTCCTACAACTTTTTTATTTAAACTTTTTCGGTAAAACCAGTCATTCGCTCGATTTTCTAAAAAATATGCGAAAAGAGTGAAAAAACTACTTTTGGAGCTACTACAATCAACGTAAATAAATCAAAAACAAAATTGATGCAGGGCCTTTCAAAAACCGTGAATACTATGCAGGAAATTATGGTGATAAAAATTATAATTCAAAACCCAGCCAAAATATAGAAATTTAAAGTAAAAATGATAAATGATAAAAATACATGCTTTTTATATGGAAAAACTACAAAATTAAAAAGGAAGTACTTAGAATAAAAGTTAAGGGCTCAAATTTTCAGGGAATTTTTTTTTCAACCTAAAAAACAAAATTTTCATTTGTCAGCAAGAAAAAAAAATTTCGTTTTAAATGAAACACCCTAATAAGGATGCAAAATTTAAGTTTAGGGAATCCCCTAAACCCCGGCATCTAGAATCAAAGAATGCGGTTCTATTTTTTCTGCAAACGCCACCTGAAGTGACTGGGCCATTCGCCGGCTAGATCGAGTTTCGAGTCCCGTTCGCGTCCCATTTTCTAGTACCTTTCACAATCACGAGCGGCGCTTCGACGGGGCGTACGTGTCTAGTCCTTATATCGCTCCTGTTTTTTTTTTATTAATTATTATTATTGTTTTCGTTTACAAAAGTGTCAAAAAGATTACTGCTGTTGGTTTTTTCACGCGCGCGCGGTCACGGTCATTCTTTAGTCGCAGGTTCCAAGACTATAAGACGTAAGCATTTTTTATTTACAATAGGGACTGAACGGTAAAAGTTACACCCACTCTCGTTCTCTTGTTTTTACATTTTAACGAGTAAAGCTTTCAAATGAAAAATATTTTTACCGATCTCACAACTCATTACAAGTTAGTTTTCTTGATTCTTATTTTTAAAGAACCTGTGCTATGTTGAATAAATAAAAGATGAAAACTTGGAAGTACAATAATCATAGATAAATATGGTTCAAGTTTTAATTTTTAAAGGTGTTTTCGACTGTTTTTTTTCTATAATCAAACACCTAATTTTAATGTCAATTAGTGACATTTCCCATTACATGATTTATATTTTTTTTATTATATTTTTCTATTGTCTATTATTTCTTGATAAAGTATCTCGTTAATAAAAAATATAGTGCAATAAAGTTAAAATCAGTTTATATTTTGTTGAAATATTTATTCTTAACACGTGTTAAGTACTCTGTTTTTTGTTGATTATTAAAGGATGAATAAAATATTAACGAAATAATTTCTATAGGCAATAAATTTGTTAGTGTGTAGTTTTGTTGGCTTTTGGAAAAATTTCACTTTAGAATTTTTCCAGGAGGTATTTATAATGTTTTTCTTTTATTTTGTATAAACCGGCAAGACACAAGCCTATGAAAGTATTTCTAAATTAAACATGGTTTTGATTTTTTTGACAAGAAATATTTTAAATTTCCTTTAATATTTTATTGAGAATTTTTCTGTTGTTTAATAATTGACCAGTACTTGAATGTAATAATAAAAAACACCCAGTTGTTTTGTTTATACACAGTAAAAAGAAAACACATTGTCTGCCTGTGCAGTTGTAATAATTTTACTAGTCAATCATTAATATAGAAGAACAATCGGATATAGACAATGGATCTATGTAGATTAAAGTGAACACCAATGAAATGTCTTGGTATTTGCCATTTTTTGTTGTACTGATATTTTGTTATATTAAAACTTTTACAATGAAATTTACTATTGTAAGACTGTAAAGATCTATTGTGAAAATATATATTATAACTATACATGTTGTTTGTTTTTAACGCCCTTAAATTTAAATGAAAGTGACATCAATGAAAGTTATACAAATATTTATGTGGTAAAATCTCACTTCCAAATAGAATATAGGTATGCTAAATATTTCTTATAAGAAAGTAAAAAGGTACTAATTAACAAGGAATACAATTGCCGATACAAAAAGAAGTAGTGCTGTTTTTTAATTTCAGTTTTTAAAACTGTTTAAAGATGTTCACACATATTCTAGTTTTTTATGCGTTTATAACGACGTGTTATTCTACTTCTAATGATGTAGAAGAATCCAGAAAAGCTCATCATTATCACCACCTTATTTGTAAGTAATTAACTTATAGTACATATGGTTATAGACACAGATCTTAGATTTTATAAAATTTAATGGTGAAAAGTATCTTTTAAAGCTTAGTTTTCCAGATTTAAATTAAACTGTTAAAATACAAATTTTGTTTGTTTGAAATGCCAAATGTATTAAAAGTAGTGGCGTAAATTCTTTTATCTACGCCAGTGGGATAAGAACTTCTTATCCCACTCATTTTGAGTGAGATAAGAAGTTCATTAACGCACGCGTTTTTCTCTGCTTTTAACCAATCAAATAAAAAAGTCAAAATGTCAAATTGTCAAAATAACCCTAAATTAAGTCTTAGACAAAAATAATTACCGTTTATTTTTTCATTTAGAGGCGTAGATAAAAATTTGTACAATATACGTGTGATAACGCTTTATTAACGTACTTTTGCGATTGCCCAACTCGTGCTACGCACTCGTTGGGCAAATTTCGCATGCGGGCGTTAATAAAGCTCTTATCCCACTTATATCGTAAATAACTATTTATTAACTTTAACACCCTGTATATTGAAAACATAGCTTTAAAGCATACACATTCATGTAATTTTTTTTTATTTTACGTGTTCTATTAACTATTAAATTTTCCCGATTAAAATATTTTGAACAGGTTTAAAAAAAATTAACTTCCTAAAATTTAGACTCCCTTTCATTTCATATAGATTTTATTTTAATAGCTAAATAATAAAAATTATTTCCATACCTAAAGACAAGTAATATATTAAAATTAAATTTTCCATTATAAACTTTTTACCAGAATTTCATAAAAAAAATGTCTACTTATATATTTATGTACCTACTATACTATTGTTAAATCCTAAATAATTTATTATTTACAGATAAGGGCCTGGAATTCCTTATTTTTTTGACAATAAAATTTAAAATTATTATTTTCTTTGCTGCCGTTTTTGTCATATTTTGCGTTGGAGGCAAATTTAGTGCATTAGCCAAATATTTGGCTCATAAAGAAAGTAAGTAAATTAAGTAAAATTTATTTGGTGAAATTACATTTTTTTATTTTAGAAAATAAAGTAAGTTATGATCATGACCATCATTATCAACCTGCCTATTATTCGCATTCAAGATCTGGAGAAATTCCATTAACTAATTTACCAAAAAGTATAGTGAAAAGGAGATAACTACAAAGTAATTTATTATCGATTATTGTTATTTATTTATTTATTTTGTAAATTTTAATATTTATACGTAAATTGTAATTGTAATAAACCAAAGAATAAAAACTAGTTTTAATTTTTATAAAAAATCACCCTTTCAAACAGCACGCCTATGGCGAGTCAAATGAACTACCTCATATATTTGAGCTACGTACGCACTTTTTTGGAACTAAAATTGACTTTTGAAAAACGTCATTCGTATATTTTGACGGATTCCTGCTGACGCCCCTGTTTTGAAGATTTTTATAATGTCCGAAGCAACATCTAAAGGTATGAAGGTTAATTATAGTCATGCTGCAACGTATGAGAAGAACTCCGTTAATTTTAAGACGCAAATTATCTTGGAAAAAATTTTCAGAAAAGGAAACTGAAAAGTCTGGAAATAAGCAGAGTAAAGGTGAAAATGCCGAGGCAGGAGCTTCTGATAGTACATCTGGAATGAGTGTAAATGCTTTGAGGAGGTATTTAGAAGAAAAATTGGGTTTTTATGATGATGACGATGTAGAGAAACCTTCAGTTGAGAAAGTTAAGGTAAATAGATTAAATTATGGGTGAACTAGCTTTCTAAATTGGAGGATCTAATAATAATTTAATATCAGGTACTGGATGAAGTGTCTCTAGACGGAATTGTAAAATATATTAAAGAAAAACAGTGTAAAAACATAATAACTATGGCAGGGGCTGGAATATCGACTTGTAAGCAATATCATTTTATTATGTATGAATATAGTTAATTTTGTGCTAATTTTAGCTGCTGGTATTCCCGATTTTCGTTCTCCAGGTACAGGTTTGTACCACAACCTACAGAAGTACAAATTACCCCACCCACAGGCAATTTTTGAACTGGATTTTTTCGTGGAAAATCCAAAACCATTTTTTGTTCTTGCTAAAGAGCTTTACCCAGGTTGTTTTAAGCCAACTGTGTGTCACTATTTTATTAAAAGTTTGATCGACAAGGGGCTTCTGTTAAGGCATTACACACAGAATATTGATACTTTGGAAAGAGTGGCTGGTATAACCGATGATAAGATTGTCGAGGCTCATGGTACCTTCCATACAGGACATTGTCTTGGTTGCAGGAAGTTATACAATCAAGAATGGATGAAAGGTAAAATTACAAGTTTACCTTTTAGATTACCTACATTAATTAAAACTTTTGTTATCAGAAAGGATATTTAAAGATGAAATACCTACATGTGAAATATGTCCAGGGATTGTAAAACCAGACATAGTCTTTTTTGGCGAAAATCTACCTGAGAAATTTCACAATTTAACAAACAAGGATTTTGCAAAATGCGACTTGTTAATTATATTGGGATCTTCTTTGGTTGTTCAACCTTTTGCCTCTTTAGTAGACAGGTAATATTTTATTATTAAAAGTTTAACAAAAAAAATTTTTATTTATATATTTATAAAAAAGTTTAACATTGGTTTTAAGATATTGAATCATTTTTTAATTTTAACTATTTTTCTAAGTATATTTTACACATTAATATTTTATTTTCTAGTTTTTTTACATCCATGGTGTATTTTTCTATGTTTTTTACGTCAATTGTTTATATTTTTATGTTTTATACAAGAAATTTGTAAAGTTTTCTTGGTTTTATATAATGGCTTATTTTTCTATTTATTAACTGGGAAGTATTGTTTCACTCATCAGTTAGTTTTAAAGTTAAATTATAGTAAAAAATAACTTTTAAATTAACTCTTAAGTAATAGCAACAATTTAAAGTTTTTTTTTTAGTTTATAATGACCGTAAAAAAAACTAATTGGATAATTCAACTAATTGGTTAAAAAACCAAGTTTAAAAAACGTCATTTAACTTAGATTTCGGTTAATTTACTTATAATACTAGTTATTTAACTGTTTGTGCTACTGCGTAGTCATTTATTTTTTCTGTCAAAGGGTTAAAGATGGAGTGCCGAGACTTCTCATCAACAGAGAAAAAGCCGGCGAGCAAAGCAAACTGATGGCTCTGATGGGCATGGGCGGGGGGCTACAATTCGACGCCGAAGACAACGCTAGAGATGTCGCGTGGCTGGGCGACTGCGACGAGGGCTGCCTGGAATTGGCCGACAAAATGGGCTGGGGCGACGAATTGCGCGAGCTGTGCAAGAAGGAACACGAAAGGATCGAAAAAGAAACCGACAAGGAAGATAAGAGTGAGAGCGACGAAAAAGAAGAAGCAGACAGTGAGATTAAAAAGGAAGACTGAGTTTTCTAGTATGGTGTTATTTTATTTTGATATAAAAGGAAGACATGTACATTGTTTAAAATTGTTAAAATTAAAAACTTTTATTCTTAACAAATAAATACATTAAATAAAGCTTTAGTAACTTCTTCCAAACAAAGTGTAGGCTTTTGGTTTTCTTGTGCAAGCTGGGTGGATACATTTGTCGGTTGGTTTGATTGCTGTTGGTTGTTCCAAAGGAATACACAGCGATTTTGCACCCATTGAAGGGGCAGCTGAATCAGCATCATCATCCCTACAAAAAATAATAAATAACCATTTTTAAAATTGTACCTACATTATTTTACAAGGAGCTAAAGTGTCACAAAAAGCCACTTTACTGCCCATAAATATACCTACTTTTTTTTCAACGCCAAATACATAAAATATTCAATTTTCAATTATTTTTGCAAATTGTGTTTAAAATGATTTTAAAATTATATATTTTTTACTTCAAACCATTTTTTTTTCTTAGTTACTACAGGTTGTAGAAAATTGCTTTTTTACGTTTTTATTGATTCTGGGATATCAAAAATTTGGATTTTTTTTGAAAAAAATTAATTTTATTTTTAATTCGCTGTTGGTTACCTACCCAGGCAAAAAAAATTTAAACCTATAGAATTTTAAACAAAAAAATTATTTTGATACACTTTCATGTATTGATTGACAAATGTACTAAAAGTATTAAACAATATTATTTATCTATTTTGGTTTCATAATGAGTTCATTATAACACCGCTTTTGGTTCTTTAATGAGGTACTTTATTCCACCCAAAATTTTGATTTTATAGGTTGGCTACTGGTAAAATACAATTTTGAATACCTATAGGTTATAATATTTTTATGATTTGTTTTCTAGTACTTACGAGACTTTTCGTGCAATAAATTTTGTTTAACACCAAAGAAAATCCTTTTTTCTTCTTTAACAGCCGCTTATTGTAAATACTTATTGTAAATTAACGACGCCATAACGAAAGAATGTGATAATGTTTGAAAGGTTAATGACCTTTCAAACTTCAAACTGAGATACCAACTATGTAAAGTAAAATTCGACCAAATTAAATATAAGGTATAAAATTAATTTGTTTTATGAAATGTTTGCAAAATAGATAAAATAGCATAAAGAACTCATGTCATAAGCACTTGTCCATTATAAAACTCGCTCCTTCGTCGCTCGTTTTATAAATTGTCCGCGTGCGACAAAATGACGTCTTATGACATTAGTTCTTTAATATACTATTTCAATCAATTTTTGTAAAAATTATCATTTTTTAATAAAATAATTTTATTAGTATAATTTATTTGGGCAGAATTCTAAATACTACAAAATGTAACTATTTTACTATTGTATTGAGACATTTAAAATAATAACAAATACAAAACATTTTCTACCAAAATAGTTTAAAAAGTTACATTTTTTAAACACAAAACAATTGATAATCCAAAAATATTTTAAATATATGTAAGTTAAAGTTTAAAAATATTGATTTTCAAAAAATGTAGTTTTCATATTTTATTCTACAAAATTACCGGTTTAAATTTGTAAAGAGTCATGAGAAATTTAAAGGGATAACTTCTAACAATTTTAAATCACTTTAGAAAGAGACAGCGTACGCCGTTTGCTAAAGCAATATTTACACTTTTTAAATTAAAAATTATCGACTTTCATTTAAATGTAAAGTTATAAATTTTGTGTTAAAAAAGTATTAATTTAAAATATTTGGTTTAAATTTGCAGAGTCAATAAAATTTTAATCCAAAAATTACCACTAAAAATTTAAAACTTAAGTTGGTTTCATATAGATGCAAACTATTTTAGGGACATTGTTTTTTCACTAGTCGATATTTGTCATGCTATTTTAGGTACTTAAATAATAAAGTTAGTTAAAGTGACTATAAAGGTAAAATAAAAAAATAATTAAATAAAAGTTAGTTAAAGTGACTATAAAGGTAAAATAAGAAACATGTATCTCAAAAAACTCTTTGTCCATTATAAAAATAGAAACAAACTCTAAACACTTATTTAAACAGTTTGAAAAATTAGTGCGATTTTCGGAAAATATTGGATCAATCTCAAGATTCCCGCATTTAAAATGATAATTTTGTAGAAAATAAACAATATAAGTACAATTTTTAAAAATCAATATTTTTAAACTTAAAGTTTTACAGTTTCATTTTATATTTAAAATATTTTGACTATCAATTGTTTTGAGTTTAAAAACATTTAACTACTATATAAATAGTAAATATATTATTAATACATAATATAAATAAATTTATAATAAACTTCTACCATATTTTTTAGGTAAGTAAAAATCAATAAAAATATCATTTGCCAAATTATTAAGAATTTTGGATCTGCATTCCATCAAATATATGCATATATTTATTCTCAAGTTAATAATTTTGGGTTTTTAATACATATAAATTGATTTTTTTGTGCTTAAGAAAAAAAAGCATAATTTTAAACAGCCTGAAGTTTGAGGCTCGATATCTTTGAAACGGGTTGACTTACGCGAAATGTCAATCAGACCTTTTTTGTAGAGCATTAAATTTCCTATAAGGGGTAATTTTGTCTTATTTATAAAATAGTTCGTTATCACGTTACAAAATTCCAAAGTTTTGTAGTTTCATTTTATATTTAAAATATTTTCACCATCAATTGTTTTGAGTTTAAAAACATTTAACTACTATATAAACAGTAAATATATTATTAATACACAATATAAATAAATTTATAATAAACTTCTACCATATCTTTTAGGTAAGTAAAAATCAATAAAAATATCATTTGCCAAATTAAGAATTTTGGATCTGCATTCCATCAAATATATGCATATATTTATTCTCAAGTTAATAATTTTGGGGTTTTAATACATATAAATTGATTTTTTTGTGCTTAAGAAAAAAAAGCATAATTTTAAACAGCCTGAAGTTTGAGGCTCGATATCTTTGAAACGGGTTGACTTACGCGAAATGTCAATCATACCTTTTTTGTAGAGCATTAAATTTCCTATAAGGGGTAATTTTGTCTTATTTATAAAATAGTTCGTTATCACGTTACAAAATTCCAAAGTTTGAACAAAAAATTCCCCATGTTATTTAAATGAAAAATAGAAAATTACAAAACGCCACCTCTAAATATTAATATTAAGAGCTCATATTTTCACAGGGTCGTTTTCTAGAGATACTCTGACGATTTTTCAATGTTTTTTGAAATAAAATAGTCGGTTTTTTAGAGACACTAGTGGATATCTAGTAGTGTGGCAGAAAGTTACATTGAAGAATCCATATATTATAAGAATGATAGTGCAATGAAAATACTGTCAACGATTCCTGAACCAAATTATTCTCATTCTCAACCTGGTTGTAGAAAAAATTACGAAGAAAGCTACCATGTAAAATGGTTTCATATGCGCGGGAGTAAATTCCACCTTTAATTTTGAAGGTGAGACAATAAATAATTTTTCATTCATTGTCCACAGAACAACAAATAAAATTTTGCTAGTAATGGGGCTTTTATTTAATTAATTTAAAAGCAATGGCGATGAGGTAAAACTTAGCTTTCCGAAAAATGTCACAAAAGTGTCATTTTACCGACTTCTGAAAAAAATAATTGCGTGATTAATATTTACCTTGCACTGTCGGCTTTAATTTTTTCCTCGCAGTCTTTGTCTCCGCAAAACGGTACCAAAAGCAAATTCTTTTGATCCAATAAAGCGGTGAATTTGGACCATTCAGTTAGAACAATTTTGTGAGCATCCAATTCGTTGCAAGCTCTAAAAAAGATGGTTTAAAATATTCGTAAACCAATATTTATAAATGCAATTACTTTTGATACATATCTTTATGTATTTGTTCCAATAGAGAGGCCAATTGCTCGACAGCATTTTCACGATTGATTGTAATTTTTTCCCCCGTATCTCTTCTGACGGCAACAAGTTGTTTTTTCTCGATATCCTTAGGTCCAAGTTCAACTCTGATTGGAACACCCTGTAACAGCCTACCTATGTACCTTAATTAACAAAATTAAAAATATTTACCTTCAGCTCCCAGTGGTTGAATTTCCAGCCAGGTGAATAGTTGTCCCTGTAATCCCCCTTGACTTTGACGCCAATTTTTTTTAGATTCGCTTCAAGGTCGTCGCAGGATTTTTGAAGGGTTTTTCTTCCTTCGGGCGATAAAGTGGCCGTTATGCCGCAAGGAACAATCACTATTTGGACGCTTGCCACTCTGGGAGGCAACACCAAACCCTGAAGTTTTTAGTAAAAATAATAAAAACAAAGTATTTTCCCACATAACTAGTGAATAAAGTGCGGTAACGGTAATTTTGGTAAGGTAAGTTTGGTAATTTAACCCGGCAAATTTCTTTATCGGTAATTTTCAAAAATGATTTCGCCATCTAGCCCTGAATCTATAACGTTCTTGGATTTATTCATTTTCTGCACCTAGTTGCATTATTTTCTGGCAGATGGCAGTGATAGTGGGATTAGTAGGAGTAGGTAACTCCCCGATTGCGATTTAGACGTGTTTGTCCAATAAAGGAAAGTACCAACTTTAAAATATAGATTCTGAGGAAGAAGAAGATATTTAAATTTTTAAATATACTTTTTGCTCTTTACAAGTAGGTATTTACTTTATTACTTAGTGTTTAGCACTAAATCAGAACGATATATTTTTTAAAATTTTTGAATAAATATTATTTGTTTCCTTTTATAACAAACAATAATATAATAAATGGTTTAAGTATGTAAAATATACTAAAAACATATAATCCTAAAATGGATACATTATATAAGGTATAATTATTTGTTTTCTGAAATATTTTCAAAATTACCGTAAAATTACTGGTAAATTACCACTGAGAAAAATCAAATGAAAATTACCGGTAAACTTAAATCACTACACATAACACAATATGTTTTAAAAATGTTGTTAGGCCATTTGGAGGACAATATTTATAAATGAAAGGTTGATGAAATGTTGTACAAACATTCAGAGAAAAATATTTTTATAACTGCAACTCGTGAATATTTCTGAAATATTCATAAATATCACGTAAATATTTTTCAATATTTATTGCCACCCTATTGAAGAGGATTATTCCACAATCCATTGTGGATTATTCTATCGGGTTTTTTCATTTTAAAAAACAATTATAATATATATTATTATTATATTATAATTTAAATTTTAAATTATTTTCAGCCTCCATCGGGAAAAATCCAAAAACCGAAACTGCGACCGAAAATGACATTTAAAAGTAAGTAAAAAAGAAACTTAAGAAGAAAAACCAAGACTGTGGAAAGAAAAATATTGTTTTATTTCTGTGATTTTTTCCAAAGAATTTTTGTTTTACCTATTATTTTTAAAATAAGCTATTTAAAAATTGAAAAAAAAATATTAAGACGTGTACAAAATTTTCTTGTATTTTTAGCTGGCAAAAATAGATCTCCAGCTATGGTATTCCACTGTTTTAGTATATCTAATATGAAAATACCATAAATCTACTTTTTGCACTCCAAAACAAGAAAATTCAGAACACAAAAAGTATTACATGGCTTTTATAAATATAAAAGCAACATTTTATCAACATTTACAACAGCATTTTTATATAAATATGCAATGAACTGTAAATATTTTGAAAATATTTCCAGATATTTTTGTGATCAACAATAAAATTTAAGATAATGTATCTAAAACATTTGGGTTATTTTCAAAATTCTTGTACAATTAAAGAAAAAAAAGTAAAAACAAAAACTTAATCTACAAACCTGTTTTGTTTATTTAGGGTTGTTATTTAACACCTTAAAGTGGGCAGTTGAATTTTTAAATAAGCCCTTAAAAAAGAAAACTGGGTCACAAATTTACTAACATATTTAAAAAACTTATATATAAAAATGCTTAATCATCTTAAAAATATACATTTTTGCTTGTTAATAATCCTTTTAAGGTTTTATTTACACTAGGATTTGTTTAAAAAAAGAACATAAATTTATTATTTACAAAACTAAGTAAAAGTAAACTTTCTTACATCCAAAAGTAATTTTAATATATTTTCTGTATTTAAAAAAGGTCCATTAAAGAAAGTTAGTTTAAGAAATTTTCTTTTAATGCGTATTAAAATCGTTTTTTCTCGATTTTTTAGCTGGGCCCAGCTTGTCCAATTTAACGAGCAATAAATTAATAAAAAGTTTTATTTATTAGTAATATTAATAAAATAATAATAGAGAATAAAGTCAATATAAACATTGTTTCGTTGAACTACCAAACATTTTTTACAGCTTCTTTGAGGCAACCCATTGACTAGGAAAGTTACTATTAAAAATGTGAAGGACATTATTTTAAATTGGCTACAGAAACAGAAAAGGTGGAAGGTCGAAAAAAACTTTCCTATAAGTTTATTATTATTTCAAAAATATATTATAATTTATTTCTTTGGAATTGTCCCCTGGGTCACACAATATGTGATCCAGGAGACGTGTGACCCAGGGGAAAAATGTAAGTTTTTATAACTCTTTACTGTTTAAAAGATTCGTATTTTTGCCCTTAAAACCATTACTAGGTTACTTACTTTTGAGAATCAAACAAAGTCCAACTGGTACTATTACAACTTTTTATGTCACGCTGGTATAAAAAATAAAATAAAAAATGTGGCTTTAAGATAGTTCAAAACTCTATTTCCTACTAAAATACATTGCCGTAAGGGGGCAGCACCAAAAACTGTGCGCTTAATTCAAAAGGTCATTTATAAAAGCTGTAACCCAGGAGACATGACCTAGGGGACCAAAATTAAGGGACAAACTTTAGGGGTTATTTTAACCACTTGTATTTTTAAATATTACCACAAATGGGCTTTTTCTGTAGTATTTGGAATATATTCTCAACTAAACTGCGCACCACTCAATGTGTTGCGACCAAAAAGTTCGTCCTTTTTCAAAACGACACAACTTTTTTGTTTCTTGAACGATTTTATTTTGGTCTGTGATTTCTGCTAGCCCCATCCTCTGGCAATTCATGCTATAGATATGAAGCTCACGGTTCTTCAAGTAAATTTCGTACAGGGTGATATGAAAAAAAATTCAATAACTTCATCCAAGCCCCGTTAGTAAAAAAATATTTTTTTCTTTCTGGTTTTTACTTTGAAATAATGAAGTATTATGTCTTACACAGACCTGTGATGTCTTACCTTGAAAAGGTTTTCAATTTTTTCGTATTGGAAGAAAATATGATTTTTTTTTATAATATATATTTTTTTTTAAGAGTTTTTGGTAGGCAATACACTCAGTCTTTTTAGGAACAAGGAGTTAAGATGGTGAAAGATTGTTCTTTGAATAATTCTAAACAAGCGACAAGCAACAAACTTCCATTATTTTCAGAGGGGCCTAAGCAAAGACCACTTTTTCAAAATGAAATTTTGGTGAAAATTTGCGAAAACCAATCCTGAACCGATATTTATGTTCGTGACATGTTTTTGACCTCCTGATTGTGATTCAGTTGTCAAATTTAAGTTTCAGATAAAACCAAAATCACTAAGAATCAAAATTCTAAAACAATTCCCGGCTGTTAAATTGCTTACAAAAAAGCCTTAAATGTACTTTTTTGAAGAAAAAAATCATATTTTCGTTGCTACGATTCCAATTCGAAAAATTTGAGAAACGTTTCAAGGTAAGACATAATACTTCATTATTTTAAAGTAAAAACGGGAAAAAAATTATTTTTTACAAAAGGGGCTTGGATGAAGTCATCGAAATTTTTTATCATTTAACATATCACCCTGTAGGAAATTCACTTGAAGAACCTTGAGCTTCATATATATATCAGGAGACATCACAGACCAAAATAAAATTGTTCAAGAAACAAAAAAGTTATGTCGTTTTGAAAAAGAATCAACTTTTTGGTCGCGACACATTGAGTGGTGCGCAGGTTATATAAAAAAGGAGTATGTAATTTTACTCTAAGATGATCAAATAGCATTAAGTAGTGAATATTATTAAAAGTGGGAGAGCTACTTTTCTGTACTGTTGGGGAAAGTTTAATTTTTTTATAGGATTAAATTTAAAATTTTACGATTTCGCTTAGTAAAGTTCCAAATGGCGTTAAACTCAATTTTTATAAAATATCAAAGTTGAGGGACAGAATATGTACAAGAAATTAAAAAAAAATTACCTAAATGTTTTAAAAATATTGTATAAATGTAAAAAGTAAAAACATTTTAGAGGCATTTAAATGATAATGACTAATATTTCTAAAATATTTAGTTCATTTAGCAAAAATATTTATTCAATATTTTAGATATATTTTTGTGTTATGTGGTGGGTACTCACTTGGTCGTCGGCGTGGACCATGATCATGACGCCGATGGTCCTGGTGGTGATTCCCCAGGAGTTCTGGTAGACGTACTTCTTTTCCTGCGTCTCGGGATCTTCGAACACGATCTCGAACATCTTGGAGAAATTTTGGCCCAGGTGGTGCGAGGTGGCGCCCTGAATGGCCCTGCCGCTCGCGGAAATGTACGCCTCGGCTGTCAGGGTGTAGTCCCCGCCCGCGAACTTTTCCTTTTCGGTTTTTCTGCCTTTAACGACGGGAATGGCCAGAAGATCCGTGTATATTTTGGCGTACAAATCTAAAAACACACACTTTTTATTTGTAGCATTTTTTTCTCTGCAAAAGTAAAAATAACAGATTGAAAGTCTTACTTTCTCTTAAAAAGTCTGAATAAGACTTAGTAAGTCAGACTAATAGCAAAATTTGGGAGTTTTCTAAAAGAGTTAATATGACTTAATAAGACTATTAGCATAGAAATGATTTTCTCAGCTGACCAATTAGATCACAGCTGACCGTCACTAAAGTCAATAAGTCCTTACTGACCTGGAGCTATCTAGAAAACACGGGAAGATGCGATCACATGATGGTCAGCTGTGGTCAGCTGAGAAAATCGATATTGCGTCAGAAGTTCACTTTGTGTATTGTTTTTGGAACAATTGTTTGGAACAATGGTCAGATGAATATTTGCGTATATAAAAATAAACTATTAAAACAAAATGTACAGTAGCAATAAGCGCATAGTAAGTAAAAAAGGTAGCTACCTGTGTTATTGTGATAAACTGCAATAAACTTGGCAACACAGAAAACAGGTTAATAAATATTTTTCTTCGTGTTTTATTTTACAATAACCAAAAAGAATCTCTGAATAATTCCGGATATCGCTATGCTAAAAGTCTTATTATCTGTTCCAGAAGACTCGCAAGTCTTATTTATTATTTAGATTTTTTCCGACTAAATAAGTCTTATTCAGAGTTTTTAAAAGAAAGTAAGACTTTTAAAACTCTTATTTAATTATTCTTATTAAAACTTTTTCAGAGAAAAATTTCCACAAAGGCATCCAATCATGTACAAATTTTGTTTCAATAGAAAAACGTCAAAATTAAAGTACAAAAAGTAAGATTAGGATTTTAAAATTTTCGTAAAAATTGAGCTGGCGGAAAAAACGAAAAAATTGGGGAAAAAATGCAAAAGTCAACTTTTCTAAAAATTTTCAACTACACTGAGAAAAAAGTGAATTTCCGACGCTGATTATAATCATAATATTATGAGTATAACACAGTACGACAAAATTTGACTTTTTTCCCTACCATGAAAAATTTCTATAGAATTCGAAAATAGATTTAAAAAAAATGGCGTTTCATATCACGTCATTTATTTTTTTTAAGTGCGATTTAAATTAATGTTATTCAAGGTATTTGGCGCAGAATATAACAGCTAAACTTTATATTTTTAAGAAAAAAATATTCACTGAATAAATGGACAACCATTAAAATTATTTATTTTAAAATTATTTTAATTAATTGCACATTTACAAAATACGGGTGTTTTACGTTCATGGTCCATTAAAAGTTTTCGGAGGAACGGCAAAATATGTTGATTTGAAATTTTTAAACCGTTTATTATTTATAATTAAGCCTATTTTTCTAAAATATTTTAAACAAAATTCCACTTCCGGTTTGACCGGAAGTGACATCATCTTTGTTATTTGAAATAAAACACCCCACCATACTTTGACATTTTTAAATTCTACATAAAAATTTGAGTAAAATTACTGTACCATGTCCTATACCTAAAGTGAATAATTTAAATAGTTTAAAATTAGACAAATGCGCGTCAACCAATAATAGCCTATAATTTTTTTGCTATTAGGTTTGCCGAAAAGGGGGTGGAATTTTTGGAATCTTAAAACATTGTTTAAAATATTTCATGGCAATTCTTTAACATTTTTTAACAAATTACACAAGAAAACCCAGGGCAATTGAAACGTTAATAACTTTTTTATTTTAAATGAAACAACCTGTATGTTTTTACATAATCAAATATAAAATTAAAAAACAATTCGATTGATGCAATTGTTAAATGTATAGGAAACTTAAAAACTATTTACTTTAAGTATAGGAAATGGTATAGTAATTTTACTCAGAATTTTATGTAGAATTTAAAAATGTAAAAATACATGAGATGTTCTGTTTGAAATAACAAAATTCCGGTCAAACCGGAAGTGGCATTTTGTTCAAAATATTAAAAAATAGATTTAAATGGGTTATAAACGCTTTTAAATTTCAAATCGATATTTATTTCCGTTCCCCAGAAACTTCCAATGGACCGTGTCGTGTTTTTTAGATGGTGGTAAAATATCAAGATTTGTTTCCAACATATATTTAATATTAGACAAATACAAATCTGGTTTTTATTAAAAAAAATCAAAAATTAAAATCAAAAATATTTTTTTTTACTTAAAGTATTATCTAAAAACATAAAATATTTAAAGAAAAAAAATGATTATAACAAAATAGAGAATTAAAAATCTGTTTAGGTTAAAATAATAAGAATGGCTGTGTAAAAAATTTAAATGACGTGATTTGGTACGTTTTTTAAACTTTATTTTTAAAATTTGTTACAATTTTTTATGGGAGGAAAATCGTGTTAAACTGTATAATAATTATTTGTTTAATTTTAATTCAGTAAGAATATTCTACCGGACCGCACTTCGATTTATAAAATTATAATTTTGTAATTTAACTTTATAAATCAGATATTATTTTGTAATTGTATATTTTAAATGGAAACCTTTTTGCGAAAAAGATCCAACCGACAGTATATTTATCGTTTACGTTTATTTTCTGAAATCAATTTATAATTCAATATTTAGTTGTATTTTTTTTGTAATAAAGGATATATTATTAAATTAAAATAATGTTAATTTGTTGTTTGATACTTTTTCCAAATGAGTATATTTTCCAAAAAAAAATCATTTTTTTTTAAGATCTGGGAAAAAAACGGGGTTTTCCTCAATTTTTCGGACCCTTTAAAACCCTAAGTAAGGTTAAGGGCTAAAACTTTGGGGGCATTTTTGTACATCAATAAAAAATAAATGTTACTTCAAAACGAATCACCCCAATGTTTACACTTCAAAAACGTTAAAATAAGTAAGTTTCTTACCTAAAATAGTCGCAACTTCTTCGACTGCCTCCTGTTTGTTGGCAAAAGCAGTGTGTCCCTCTTGCCACAAGAACTCCCTAGTCCTCAAGAACGGCTGCGGATGTTTGAACTCCCACCTCTTTTCGCAACAACAACAACAAAAAAACCATGAGAAAACCCCAAAAACAACCCTAGTCTCGACCGCACTCACCACAACGTTGTTCCACTGATTCAGCCTGACGGGCAGATCCCTGTAGCTCTGTATCCACTTCGCGTACGACGGGTACATGACCGTCTCCGAGGTGGGCCGAACGGCGATCGGCTCGGCCATGTCCGAGTCGCCCGACTTGGTCACCCAGGCGACCTCGGGCGAGAAGTCCGCGATGTGGTCCTTCTCCTTCTCCAGCGCCGCCTTCGACACGAACATGGGAAAGTAGCAGTTCTGCACGCCCAGCTTCTTCACCTTTTTAAAAACGTTTTTGTTTCACAAAAATCAATTTGAGTTTTGTTTGTGCATATATGCTAAGTAGTTTAAATGAAACGCATATAAATTGTTCGTTAAATTAAAAGAGTATTTTGATTTAGAGTAGTGGCAATTACTGGAGCATTTTTTTTCTTTTAACCCAATATTTGCCATTTGTGGTAATTAGCTACTGGAGAATTTTGGATTATCGTATTACCTTTATTAAAGCTCTAAACTAACCTATAATATTTAGTTTATACTTGACATTAATAAGAACATTATATTCAAAGAGAATCCAGTAATTTCTACCTCTTTTTGAATGTGTCAATTACTGGTTCACTTTAGTAGCAATTATTGATCCAGGTATAAAATCCAAATTGATCAACATGGAACCAAAAAACAAGCCCTTTTTTCGTTATTCCCAAGAAAGTAAAGAATCTGCATTGGCTGCTTGCCAAGGTGGTATGCCATTTTCCATTTTTTTCTTTTATTTAATAAAATAAATTACTGGCAATTACTGGCCAGGTACACTGGCAACTACTGGTTTTTTTTAAAAATGGTCATGGCAATTACTAGTCCTCTATACCTCAATAAAAAAAAATATATTGTACTTAGTTATGTCTTTAATTTTTAATGCTTGGTAATATAGTATCTATTAACCACCATGACTTTTTATTAGGACAAAATCTAAATTTCTTCTGGTACTTTTTTGTGTAAACACTAGCTTATAATGGCAATTACTGGTGTCATTACCCTAGTTAAATTTTTTCTGACCTATACTTTTTATGGTTTTATTCAAGGCGTTTTGTAATATTAAACATTTCTGTGAAATCAGAATTTCAATTGAGTTTACCGTTTTCGAGATATTTACAAAAAATATAAATTTTTATGACGTCACAAACCTCGCCATGTGACCAACATTCTAAGATTTCTATTGGTTGAAAATTACCCTGTTGTCAAGTTGTCTTGTTAATGATTTCATTCGGTTATGTCAGAAAATACCCGAAGAGGTTATGTACAAATACTGTCACTGTCAGTTGAGTGAAAGATGGTCACCAAATTCATTATCTATCTTCCTTATTACGAGGTATCATATTACTGTTTGATATTTTAGAGTCCAAGATATATCTAAAAGAATATAAAGAACTAGGCATTATACTAATGAAATGCATTTACGACAAAATATGATTATATGATTATAGGTACTTTATTTGTTTAAAAGCTCCAATGTTCAATGTAACCAACCATTCCACAAGATTCCTCTGCTTTGGAGTCCGTTATTAATAAATCACTTATCTAATATCAATTACAAATAACATAACAATAACTTTGATTTTCAATAAACTAAATTTAAAAAAAACATAACCCAAAAAAAAGAAACGTCAAAAAATCAATTCTTCTTCTCAACTAAAATTATAGATCAAGTGGTTTTAAAACTAAAATATTATAACGTGGCGCCATCTATCGTAAGAATCTTAAACTAAACACACTGGCAACCATAGAAGCTGGCAACGTTGTCAATAGCCTAGTGACGTAATTAGGAGATTTTTTTTTGTAAATATCTCGAAAAAGGTAAACTCAATTGAAATTCCGATTTCACAGAAATGTTTAAAATTACAAAACGCCTTGAATAAAACCATAAAAAGTATAGGTCAGAAAAAATTTAACTACCCCATTATAGCCGGTGTTAAAAATCGGGAGTCATGTAGACCAGTTTTCAATAATTTTAATATTTTGACTTTGTCTAGTCTGTATGTTTTGGAGTTGTCTGTTTTTGTCTATAAAAATAAATCAAAATTTAATCTAGTCAGCAATGTACATAATTTTAATAAAAGAAATAACAAAAATTTTTATGTTCCCTCAACAAAACGGGATATAAAATTCAACTCGCCAGAGTTCCTAGGTTTAAAAACATGTAATAAATTGCCAAATTCTATAAAGGAATCTAAAAACATACATATTTTTAAAAATAAATTAAAGCAATACTTATTATCTCTGTGTTTATATGACGTATCTGAATTTTTAAACCAGTAATCTAAATTACATATATGTTTTTTTAAAGTTGTACCTATGTATTTTATATGTATTTTATTTTGTTCTAGTTTATAGACCAGGGTCGATAATTTTTGAAACCAAAAAAAATAACAGTAGGATGAAACCCATTGGAAAAGGAGAAGAATATAATAAAAATGAAAGGAAAAATAAATTACGGGCGATCTGACTTCGGGAAGTGGTTCCGGCAAAACTACAGTCCTATGGAAAAAAGTTAAATGGCAAAGTTGTAGGTAATAAAAGGATCTACAACTTTTGTAATTACAATTTTTTTACATAACCTCAAAATTTATGTGAAAATTCAAAAAACCAAGTTTTTGGTTTTTTACTTTTATCTTTTTCAAAAAAAAATTTTTTTTCACGAAATTTGGTGAAAACTTACCTTTTTATGTCCCAAATACACTGTAATTTATTTGATTTAAAATATTTATTATTTCGCCTTATTTTGACTTAATATCAAAAAAGCACGCTAATTTTCAATCGAAAATTCTCGCGTTAAAATATCAGCTTTTTTCAAAAAGTCGGTGTGCTTTTTGTTCGATGAACTCTCTACTTTCTGATGGTGTAAAAAAAATATACATTACTATGGTAAATGTTCTCAGAAAATGCAAAAAATATTATAATGAATAACGAAAAAAACTCGAATTCGAAAATTTATTTTAATCATTATGTACAATTTCATCAAAAAAATGTGATTGTTGCAATTTTTTTTAGTTAAAAAGTTTATTTATTAAATTCTAACAACATTTATGTCAGAAAATCTCATAAAATATAAAAATACATGTAAATCATACTATTGAATTTAGATACTTCATTCTGATTACGTTATTCATTATAATATTTTTTGTATTTTCTGAGAACATTTACCATAGTAATGTATATTTTTTTTTACACCATCAGAAAGTAGAGTTCATCGAACAAAAAGCACACCGACTTTTTGAAAAAAGCTGATATTTTGACGCGAGATTTTTCGATTGAAAATTAGGGTGCTCTTTTGATATTAAGTCAAAATAAGGCGAAATAATAAATATTTCAAATCAAATAAATTACAGTGTATTTGGGACATAAAAAGGTAAGTTTTCACCAAATTTCGTGGAAAAAAAAATTTTTTTTTTAAAAAGATAAAAATAAAAAATCAAAAACTTGGTTTTTTGAATTTTTCACATAAATTATTACTTACAACTTGACATTTAACTTTTTTCCATAGGACTTGTAGTTTTGCCGGAAATCGAGATAAACCATTTTTTACCCTTAAACCCCCCCCCTCCCACTTCCCAAACTCAGATCGCCCGTAATTTATTTTTCCTTTAATTTTTATTATATTCCCCTCCTTTTCCAATGGGTTTCATCCTACTGTTATTTTTTTTCTCTTTTTACCATTTTTAAAGGCTTCTGCACTGGTCTATTAGCCCTAAGTTAGTTTTAAGTCTTTTATTGTGCTATTTACCGACCATTCCTATACAAATACTGTTTGTCAATTTGGGAAAATAAAGATTATTATTATTATTATTACCTCGGCATCGAGCCACTCCTTTATCGACTCCCAGACGGCAAACGACCACGGCCGCAGGATGTAGCACCCGGACACGTCGTAATACTCGATCATCTCGCCTTTCGTTATCACTTGCGTGTACCATTCGGGCAGGTTGTCGCTCTTCTTCGCCTCGAGGCCGAGGCGCGTTTGCTTTTTGACGGCGCCTTCGGCTTCGGGTTTTTCCGCCGCCGGTTTCGGCTTTTTTTCCTTGGCTTGCTGCGCCGGCTTCGCTTCCTTCGGTTTCGATGGGGTTCTGCCGGCTACCGGGAAATCGGTGCCCGTCGCTTTTTTGTATTCGGCTTTAAGGTCCAACAGGGATTTTACTGCGGCCTCAACGTCAGCCTAAAATTAACAGTGTTTATACGCTTTTTTCGAAATTAATTTGGTAAAAGCAAAAATGTTACCCTTTGAGTTCAAAAAAATGTTTTGATCAATATCCTAGGCTCGCCAATTGCACTTAAAATTTAAAGTAACAACATATTTTTTTCACGCTATCTGTTAGTTAATTTTAACGTAAATATTGTAATTTCGCAGATAATCGCGATTTTATCCTTAAAAAAAATTATTTATTTTAAGTTAAGTTTGTTAGGCAACTTTATTGCATTCAGCCGAAATTAGAGCCCAAGGCCTGTGCAGGTAAATCAAAGTACCTGTCTCTCGATGTCTTACAGAATCAGCAAAGCACTAATACAGTAGTGCAGTGCAATACAACAAGTCTCCCGTAACCAAAGAAGGGCCAAGTGGACAGTAGCAACAAAAGATAAGTTTATATATATATATATATATATATATATATATATACAGTGTGTCGCATTTAAGATGAAGACACCCCCATATTTTCGCTATTTCAAGGAATAGAGATTTGAATTTTTTCACATTCATACATGTTGGTGGGTCACATTTTGAACTTTAAACTTGGCCTACTACAAATTCATAAACGGGGCTAGTTGTCGTATACCGATTTTCATAGCAAAATTCGCATTTCTAATTTATTTATTTTTATTAGTTTTATTAATGTTTTATACCATTTCCTTAATTTAATAAATTATAATTGATTTGTAATTTTCAAAAATTGTTTTAATTATTTATTTAACGGTCATAAACACTAGTTAATATTAAATTATTACTTTCCATGGCTCCCTTATTATCAAACTAAAAAATAAACTTGATTGAATGATTTTGTGTGGACCAAAATAAAAAAAAACTAAAAATGCGAATTTTGTTATAAAAAATGGTATATGGGGTTAGAATAATATTCTGAACAACTTTTTCCAATAACTTTTTTCGATATCTCTAACGCGAAGCAAAATATCGAGAACTTTGTGAATTTGTAGTAGGCCAAGTTTAAAGTTCAGATTTCAGTTGAGTAGCTTAAAAAATGTGACCCATCAACATGTATGAATGTGAAAAAATTCAAACCTTTATTCCTTCAAATAGCGAAAATATGGGGGTGTCTTCATCTTAAGTGCGACACACTGTATATAGATTTAATCCGCATGATTTTACTTGCATTCTCTAAAAAAGTAATCTTGCATTACTCGAAGAAGTACTAAATTAATAAAGCAGGAAGACAAAACAGTCAAACAAGAAAAAGAAAAACATAATTATTCGTAATATAAATCGGTACAAAACATAAACAAGTACCAAAACTAAACAATCAGCCGTGATAGGTACGCAATAAACATGCCAACACACCACTATTATTATTATTATTATTGTAATAAGTGTTTACTGAAATAAAGCCAAGGCTTACGAACAGTGGGACAAATAATTTGTATCTACTTACTTTCCCTTACAGATAAGTTTCGAATAATTCGTTATAAACAAAAAAAATATTGTTAACAATTGGTGGTTACATTGCCGACAACCGAAAACTATCTATCGATGGTTCTCGACCCTAGACGGAATAAATGGTTTTGCACAGTGGGGCAAACAATTGCGAACTGCAGTGCCCGAACTTTCAGAAGAGAAGGACGCAAACAAACCTTATCAATTATGGCATAATTATTGCAGTTTCAGAGATAATTGCGATTTTATCTTAAAATTGTAATTTTTTTAACAAAACTTATTTTAAAAGTAAAAGTAGTTTTTTGATATACCTAATTTGTTAATAAATTTCATTTTCCATTCAATCTCGTTTCGCACATACTAAAAATAGGCAACCAACTGCACAGACTCTAACGGCGGCCATTTTTATGTTGTTTACAATTCTTGTGCTTTGGGTTTGTTCTGTTTATACAGATTAAAAATAAGCCTTAAAAGAGGCCTTAAAGTGCTAAGGGCAACAATTTTACTCCTCTTTTGTAAAAAATAAACCTTATTTTATCATCAAACTGTCAATTTTAAGGTTATTTGGTGGGTTATGGTAAATTAACAGCCATAACGGAATAAGGTTTATTTTTTACAATAGAGGAGTAAAATGGTTGTTCTTACTACTTACTAATTTTCTAACTACATACTTATATATGAAGGGGTAACATGAAATTAAGTGCAGAATTGGTTTGGAGTTTTTTTTAAATTTCTCATAACGTGAAAATTGTAAAGAACAATATTGAAAGTATCCAGATTTTTGTAAAGAGCAAAAACTTTAAAAGTTAACAACTCCACTTCTCTTTTATGCACTTGTACCCTTTTGCTTCTTACCCCTATAAAAACTTACTTTTATCCATTTTGCGTTCATAATGACTTCATTATAACACCGCTTTCGGTACTGTAATGAGATTTATCCCACCCAAAATTTTGATTTTATAGGTTGGCTATACTTTAAACAGCATAATATTTTGCATATTGGTTATATGTAGAATTTTTGCAAAATAGATAAAATAACATAAAGAACTCATGTCATAAGACCTTTTGTCGCGTGCGACAAAATGACGTCTTATGACATTAGTTCTTTAATATACTATTAAAATATGCGATAATTCATAAGGACCTTTTGCAACAAATTATATCAAAAGTTTTTAAAACAAGTTTTGTTAAAAAAATTACAATTTTAAGATAAAATCGCCATTGATAAGGACCTTCTTTGTGGAACATTAAATTTATTAACAAAACTTACTGTAAAGAATTGTCTTACTTAAAATAGGTACATTTTGTCAAAAAAATTAATAAGGTATCTGCGAAACTCAAACATTTACGTTAAAATTGATAGAGAACTACATTTTTAAGAGATTGCGTAAAAAATATATTTTGTACTTTCAATTTTAAATGCATTTGGCGAGCCTAGGATTTTTGAAAATAATCTTTTTTTCATCTCAAAAAATAATATTTTCGCTATTCAGCCTTTCCACGTTACTCGGCAATTTTGGTAGCGTCCGTTATCATAAAAAATGTGAGTAAAACCTACCATAATTAAATTAAATATTATTTCAATAGTTACTATTTCAAACATGTTTATTATGCTTGTAATAAATAAATAAATAAAGTTTTTATTGCATATTCAGTACAATACAGAACATATAATACAAAATATACAAAAGGTCGATGGACCAGGGTCCTTCAGCCTGTTACAAACTACTTTAAGTGATACAAAAAAAACCTAATTATTATTAGACAATTGTAAGATTATTGTATTTTCCGGGAATTTTGTGGCATTTTCATCGACTTCTCTGGTAATAATTAAGCTTATAAGCATAATAATTACAGTAGTTTTTACTTACAATTTTGTATTATTACGGACGCTAAAAAAATTGCCGAGTAACGTGGAAATTAATTTCGATTATTAAAAAAACGCAAAATTGCATACCGTAAACACGGGTGGCTTTAGCTCACTTTTAAACTTAAGCTTAAAATTTTTGTGGTTTTAACAATCATAAACATTAAATATTGCATACCAAAATTTGAGTCTTGTGTTGCTCTTTCATAATTACTATGTTATAATATTACATAGGGCTGAGTTTCAAAAATAAAAATTAAAAACGACACGTGTTAGCAGCGACATATAGCGATTGCAAGGGATTTGCGATAAAAAAAAATAAAAAATGTAGTTAATCAAGGATCATCATTCCAAAGGATTGCGCATAATATAGAAATTGTAACGCGTGTATTTTTAAGAGTTTTGCACTGATGCGATATATACAATTTTAAAGTGTAATAAATCCCATTTTTTTCTTTAAAACACTGATTTTCCTGTAATATAAACTCAATAGAATCGCTCAATTGACAGGTTTAGACCAACAAATTATAAATGTTAATTTTATCGAGCGCGAAAAGATTTTTCATAAATGGGTTAAAGTCACCCGCGGGGTGCAAAGTCACCTGTGTTTACGGTAACAGTTTATTTTAATTTCATCTTACCTTGCTTCCATTGGACGATTTAAGAGTGCGCACCAAGTTGCCTTGTTCGGTAATTTTGGCGGTCAAGGCGGCATGCGCACTGTCACCTGCGCCGTTCGCGGTCTGCGCAGCCGGTTTGGCTACTGCTACCGGAGCGGCCTGCGGTGTCCATTCTTTCCCGGTCGCTTTCTTATATTCATCCTTAAGGTTTTTGAGCACGTTCACTTCGGCCATCACGACTTCCTTTGAAGCTTTTTCTAAAAGGAAAATATAAACGCGTATTTCTAAGCCGTTAAGCCACATTTTGAGTTCGGTTCTAACCTGCTTTGAGCTTGCGGATTTTGTCGCCCAAGGCGGCAATTTTTTCGAGGAGTTCCCCTTCCATTCCTGCGGATTTTGCGGGGACAGATGCGGCCGTAGTTGCAGCAGGAGCGCCGGTATCAGCAGGAGTCCAATCTCTGCCGTTAGCTTTTTTAAATTCTGCTTTGAGTGCCAACAGTGCTTGAACTTCAGCGGTTACCGCTGCTTTGTCGGCTTTTTCGCCTTTTAATTTGCGAACCTAAGCAAAAAATATCAAATAACTTCTGTCAGCCATTCCGCAATAAATGTTTGTTTTGTGAAATTATAACACCAACTGGTTAAAAAATTTGTAATCAACACAAAAAAACAATAAACTCACAAATTTGCAGATAAAAATTCAACTTACAATTGAGGATGAACCTACAATTGTAGGATAGAAATTACAAAAATTAAAGTTAGTTTTGGCTGAAACTTAGGAAATTTTTGTTGGCTCTTCAGTAGCTACAATTTTAAGATAGAAAATGCAAAAATTTTGACAGAATCTTGTAAAATTTTTGTTGGCCCTTCTACACCTTTGTAAATTTGAAAGCAAACATTATATTAAATGGATTTTGAATATAAATAACGTATATTAAGTGGATTTTGGCACAATAAATGAAAAATATCTCATCAAATAGCTGCTTTTGGAAGTTTAGTAATGCCATAAACAACATATTGCACAAATATAATTTGTATCGGTGTTCTATGATTGATTGGCTACCGTGGATTTAATGGGGTGTGAAAATTAGCTCGAATAGATTTAGTGGCGTTTGAATTTGAACGCACTTTTAAGAGTACGTTTTTATAAACAGTATGTCCACTAGGGTGGTCGTTATGTCGGGTAAAAAAAAAATTAACCGGGCCGCCCCTTAAATTGACTCAAAATAGGAAAAAAAAAATGTGTGCCAAATTTCAGCCCTATAGGTCTATCCTAAATTACCCCTGTGAACCACTTGTTCACTAAAAATTTAATTTTTTAATTAAAAATGATAAAGTAATTTTTAATTTTATATTTAGTATAAATAATAATAATTATTGTTATTATTATAATTAAGGGAGAAATATTAATCAAATTATGCATACAATACTATACAGGGTGATCCATATTAAGGGCGCACCATTGCTAACTTCGTTATTGTTGATCATATGATTTCGGCGAAATTAGCAAACAATTAGTATTTTTTCTGCTGATTGCGAAGGTAAAACTATAAAAATATTTAAACTATACACTTTAAAGATATTCAAAAAATCAAAATTTAGAATAAAAATGCTTACTTAATTTTGAACACTCTGTATTTGAAAAATTAAAATGGTTTTAATATTGTTTCGTTTTTTGCACCTACAAAGGATTTGCGGTATTCAGAGATGAGCTGAAGAGCATACTGTTTTTGGTCTTCATCTTTCGTTATTAATTGATTAAACTCAGTGAATAATTGAACCCCCCTTTCCGCAACATCATTTACAACTTTGAGATTGTTTACGATTTTTAATGCATTTTGATAACTCTCACTTTCGCTCCAAAGGGCTGGATCAATATACAAAAAGTCTTGACTGATTCCGAACCGAACAAAGAAATTTCGTGTTTGAGACGTTACAAAATCATCCATTTCTTTTTTACAGAAAATAACCATATCTTTGTATTTTAGTTCAATCCTTTTAGGAATCACATTTTCTATATCTTCAGATTGGTTTAATTCCGTTACCATGCATCGTTTCGTATTCAGTGATACTGATTCATCGAAAAATGCCATCGCAACTGATTCCGAATTAAGGTACCACAGATGGATCACCCTGTATAGTATTGTATGCATAATTTGATTAATATTTCTCCCGTAATTATAATAATAACAATAATTACACAGCCACACAAAAAAAAAAAAGTCAGATACTTTTAACGAGACATATGTATTTCTATGTATTTTGACTCGCTGAATCCGAATCTGAGGTCAAAATAGGACCTTTCACGATTGGTTTTCGACATAACCTCAAAAAACCGGTTTTTCAAGTATAGAATGGCGAAACAAAGTTTCATTTTAGATTTCAAGCTGCTGAATTCATATATAGCATCAGTTTTATAATATAACTATAGAATCTAAATCATAACCTCAAAACGTAGTTGTTTGAGCGGTGCTCTGCAGGACTAAGTAAGATTTACTATCAAAAGTCAGTGGTATGCAGAACTATATAGAAACCATCTCATTCGCAGACAGCTATCTAATCAACTGCTCTAAATTCTACTAATCCAATAATAAAAGTATGTTCTCCTAAAAAATGATTTAAAATTCACTGATTAATCAAAATTTTGATCCACCGAGGTGATTTATGAAAAACAAACGCTAGCTCGACTTATATATCGGATTCGATTCCTGAAAGTACGGAAATCTTACTTAGTCCTGCAGAGCACCGCTCAAACAACTACGTTTTGAGGTTATGATTTAGATTCTATAGTTATATTATAAAACTGATGCTATATATGAATTCAGCAGCTTGAAATCTATAATGAAACTTTGTTTCGCCATTCTATACTTGAAAAACCGGTTTTTTGAGGTTATGTCGAAAACCAATCGTGAAAGGTCCTATTTTGACCTCGGATTCGGATTCAGCGAGTCAAAATACATAGAAATACATATGTCTCGTAAAAAGTATCTGACTTTTTTTTTTTTTGTGTGGCTGTGTTATTATTATTTATACTTAATATAAAATTAAAAATTACTTTATCATTTTTAATTAAAAAATTCAATTTTTAGTGAACAAGTGGTTCGCAGGGGTAATTTAGGATAGACCTATAGGGCTGAAATTTGGCACACATTTTTTTTTCCCTATTTTGAGTCAATTTAAGGGGCGGCCCGGTTAACTTTTTTTTTTACCCGACATAACGACCACCCTAATGTCCACGGAGTTACATAGATGAAAAACACAATTTTACTTCTCAGAAAATTTCATTCTTGATAAATAGTTTTTGCTTGATTTCAAACCCTTAGAATATGAGACACATTATTTTCATTATATACAGGGTGTCCGGAAAAAGGAGGTCAATCCTTTAACCATATATTCCTTGAGTTAAAACAATAAGACTTTCATAATACCATTTTTCAATTTAGAGCTTCATGTTCGATATACAGGGCGACAAAGTTTGAAATTTAAAACAGATTTTTTTTAATAATTCGAGTAATTAATAAGGTATTAAGTTCAAATTTGGTACACTATTTCAACATAAATAGTTACATCTTTTGAGATCAACAAAACAAAAAACAAATGTCAAATAATCAAAATAGGGGGGTCCAGTACTCACTGACCCCCCCTATTTTTTAGTACGGGCGCCAGTGACTTCCAAACGGTATTTTTTCAGGTAATCATTTAGTGTTGAACATTTTTTGTCTCTTATAAAATTTTGATGAAATGATTTGTTTTAGAGATAATTTGTAAAGTATTGGTCCTTGATTGATGCTCACGCGGCTTATGGCAATCTTATAATTTTCAAATGTAGTACTGGACCACCCTATTCTGATTATTTGACAATTGTTTTTTGTTTTGTTGTCCTCAAAAGATGTAACAATTGTCGAATAATCAAAATAGGAGGGTCCAGTACTACATTTGAAAATTATGAGATTGCAATAAGCCGCGTGGGCATCAATCAAGGACCAATACTTTACAAATTATCTCTAAAACAAATCATTTCATCAAAATTTTATAAGATACAAAATTTGTTCAACACTAAATGATTACCTGAAAAAATACTGTTTGGAAGTCACTGGCGCCAGTACTAAAAAATAGGGGGGGGTCATTGAGTACTGGACCCCCCTATTTTGATTATTTGACAATTGTTTTTTGTTTTGTTGATCTCAAAAGATGTAACTATTTATGTTGAAGTAGTGTACCGAATTTGAACTTTATACCTTATTAATTACTCGAATTATTAAAAAAAATCTGTTTTAAATTTCAAACTTTGTCGCCCTGTATATCGAACATGAAGCTCTAAATTGAAAAATGGTATTATGAAAGTCTTATTGTTTTAACTCAAGGAATATATGGTTAAAGGATTGACCTCCTTTTTCCGGACACCCTGTATATACAGGGTGTCCCACAATTAGTGCGACAAAATGAAGGTGTATTATCTAAAGACCCCCAGGAATTCCAGAAAATTATTTAAAAAATTCTTTCTTCATTATTTAATAAGATACAGGGGAGTCATATCTTCTTTATATGGCAACATTGCCTCATAACAAATTAATAGTTTAATTCTTATTCATCATGACAACAAACAACAATGTTAGAAAATGCCAAATTTAAATGTCAAAATTTGTTACTTTAAGTTATAGGTTATTTATTTTACGTCAGTCAGGGACTCTCTGTATTTTTCTCTATCCAGTCTGACGTAAAATATATAACCTATAACTTAAGTAACAAATTTTGACATTTAAATTTGGCACTTTCTAACATTGTTGTTTGTTGTTATGATGATTAAGAATTAAACTATTACTTTGTTATGAGGCAATGTTGCCTTATAAAGAAAATATGACTCCCCTGTATCTTATTAAATAATGAATAAAGAATTTTTAAACAATTTTCTGGAATTCCTGGGGGTCTTTAGATAATACATCTTCATTTTGTCACACTAATTGTGGGACACCCTGTATATATAATTTGCAATTTTGATTTTTTGATATTTTTTTCTTTGATAAAAATCATTTTTGGTCACTTCTCAAAAGTAATCGTTTCCATGAAATGCATTGGGGTCAGAATTTCTCAAACGGGCCACCTGAATTAGGTCAAAATTAGTTTTTGTTTGTAGATACATTTTTTCGATAGTATTTTACATCACTAACACAAATCCTAAAGGATTTTGTAAAAAAAAAATTTTCAATTGACATATTCATGATATTAAAAGTCAAAGTTTTTAATAATTAAAAAATAAAAAAATTCATTATGGCTGAACTAATTATCCGATTCCAACGATATAACTAGCGTTGGAATCTTGTTTTGACATAGATTCATTGTTATTTTTTTCAATTGTCCTATTTTCATTTAGGTCGATTTTTTTTTGTTTTTTTTATACCAAATTCGGAAATAATTGCCTTCTGCGCCAGCTATCGACTCGAGAAAAAAAACACATATACTCCAATCATTTCTCGAAATTATGCTGCTGAGAAAAAAAATGGCCCGCAGGTTGACAAAAAGTTATTCGTCCTTTTGTGGCCGCGCGCGGTGTCAGCTCACGCTCCGAACCGTGTACGCTGTACGCGCTTGTGACGCGACTTCTTACGGTGGTCTGGAACCTGCGGGCCATTTTTTTTCTCAGCAGCATAATTTTGAAAAATGATTGGAGTATATGTGTTTTTTTTTTCGAGTCGATAGCTGGCGCAGAAGTCAATTATTTCCGAATTTGTTATAAAAAAAACAAAAAAAAATCGACCTAAATGAAAATTGTACAATTGAAAAAAATAACAAAGAATCTATGTCAAAACAAGATTCCAACGCTAGTTAAATCGTTGGAATCGGATAATTAGTTTAGCCATAATGATTTTTTTTTATTTTTTAATTACTAAAAACTTTTACTTTTAATATCATGAATATGTCAATTGAAAATTTTTTTTTTACAAAATCCTTTAGGATTTGTGTTAGTGATGTAAAATACTATCGAAAAAATGTATCTACAATCAAAAACTAATTTTGACCTAATTCAGGTGGCCCGTTTGAGAAATTCTGACCCATTGACATTTTCAAAGTTTTTACTTGGAAAGAAAATGACAAATGAACAAAAACTGACTAAAAATAATTTTTACCAAAATTTTCAGAAAAATCAAAATTGCAAATTAACCATACACAATAAAAATGAAGCAAAACCTCTTATATAGAATGAAATTGTCTGAGAAATGTAAAATAACATATTTCTCTTCTTTTTATGTGGATATGTGGATTGGGTTAAATTTTTAAAAGAGGTTATTTTATATCTAAAAACATCCTTTGATTGGATTTTTGTAATCAATTTAGAGTTTATAGTATTAACTCTAAATTAATTACAAAAAAAACAAATAAAAATTGTTTTAAAAGATATAAAATAAACAGTTTTTATGCCCACTGAAAAATTTCATAGAATCCACAAAGCAGATTATGACTTTTCAACTACAATACCTCACAATAATTAATCATTACAAAAAAAATATGTTTGATCAAACTTTAAAAATACAAATTACTCAAAAACGGAAATACAGAAAATTAGTTTATGTAATAAAAAAGACAAAAATTACACAATAAAACTGTGTCCATATTAAGTTTTCTTACACAAAAAAAAACCATATAGATACCATTTTTAAATGAAATACGTTATTTTTTACGATATTTTAAAAATTCTATTATTAAAATTTAATTTAAACTACGCGCGTTTGACGACTTTTTGCATTAATTTTAAAAGTTCAGGTGTTAAAGTTACGCGGCAAAAAAGTGAAACAACCTTAATGGAAATGCATTATTATATTAATGTATTTTTAGTTTTCGGTCTTAATTCGATATATAATTTTTTTTCAGAAAAAACGAAAAGAAAACGGTTCAGATAATGTATAACTTTGAATCTCGGAAAAGAAGCTTTTTTTCATTTTTATGCCAGGAATATTATTGTGATCAATACCAATAAATCACCCTGTCTATTTTTTAATGTAATTCATATTTATTAACACTAAAAAAGCTGTATTTGTTTTTAAACATACCTTATCGCCTTGGGCAGTTATTTTTGCGCCTAAATCTGACGGACCATTTTTTGCTTGGGGGGCTGCAGCTGCAGCTGGAGCTGGAGTGGCGCCGGGAGTCCAATCTTTACCGGTAGCCTGTTTATATTCGCCCTTTAAGGCCAACAAAACTTGCACCTCGGCAGTGACGGCGGCTTTGTCGGCTTTCTCGGCCTTCAATTTCCGCACCTAAAAACGAAAAAACATAAAAATGGTATTAAAACGCGTGCATGTAATCCAGTGGCGGCTGGTGGATTTTGGTTGTACCAATATTTCAGTTATTAGACATGGGACCCACACCAAATTTAAAATAGTTTATAATGACATTAAATATACAAGTTCGGCGCAAACAGAATTTAAATTGAAGTTTGCGAAAAAAAGTTAGTGTTTCCTGTCGCCTCACCCGCCTCCAGGCCCCCCTATTTAAGATAATTTAAATTAAAGTGGTGCAATTTATTATCCACTATAATTAATCGACAAATTTAAAATTTAATTTAAAAAATCCAAATATTACAGGTTTTATACCATTTTAAATATTTTTTTATTTTAATAAAATAAATAATAAAAATTTAAAATCGACTATTTCCCTCGTCTTAATTTCCACCAATCACAAACGCGCAATTTTGAATTACAAATGGTGAAAAAACTGTGTGACAGCACCTGTCAGCAGTTTATTCGAGTTTACCCGCGGCAAAACTTGACAGCTGTTGTCACCAAAAATTGCAATTTATATTTTAATTTTAATAGTCTTGTCAAATACCATTCGGGCATCTAATTTTTCCTATGAAAAAAATCGAAAAAACACAATGCTAAGTAATATTTTTTAACAAAATGCATTCGACTCGGATTTTTGTCACCACCAGCACTCATGCTTTTTGTTAAAATATTACTTAGCAACGTGTTTTTTCGATTCTTTTCGGAAAAATTAAATGCCCTTATGATATTACTTACGAATAAAATCTGTAATATTTGGATTTTTTAAATAAAATTTTAAATTTGTCGATAAATTATAGTAGATAATAAATTGCACCACTTTAATTTGAATTATTTCAAATAGGGGGGCCTGGAGGCGGGTGAGGCGATAGGAAAAACTAACTTTTTTTCGCAAACTTCAATTTAAATTCTGTTTGCACCGAACTTGTTTATTTAATGTCATTATAAACTATTATAAATTTGGTGTGGGTCCCATGTCTAATAACTAAGATATTGGTATACATAAAATCCACCAGCCGCCACTGATGTAATCCACTCACTAGTTCTCCTTGCGCGGCAATTTTAGCGTTCAAGTCGGTGTTTTGGGGTGCTGGAGTTGGTTGGGTTGGTGCACCTGTATCTGCCGGTGTCCAATCTCTTCCGTTGGCCTGTTTAAATTCGGCCTTAAGGGCCAGAAGAACTTGGACTTCGGCGGTCACCGCTGCTTTGTCTGCCTTTTCGGCTTTTAATTTGCGCACCTAACAAAACATGTAAATTTATCATTACAATGATTTATGATAATGAACATAAACTACCTTCTCTCCTTGTGCAGTAACTTTAGCACCTAAATCTGCACCTCCAGCTTGAGTCTACATTTAAAATAAGCAAAAAACATTAAATTAAAAATTATTTATTACTAAGTACTTTAATAATTATAATTTAAAATAAATAAGAATCAGCATTTTTTATTAATAGCATTTCAAAACAAAAAAAATTACTTATTTTAATATACACCTTAAATGATAAAATGATACCGAAATAATGTAATACAACTAAATTTAGTTTCATACAAAGGTTGATAAAAACCAAGATACAGGGTGTTAAAGTTAAAAGTTCTTTTTCGATTTTATAAACTAAACGTTTTTGCACCTAATTTGAGTTATTTAATAAAATCGAAATCAAACTTTTAACTTTGACACCCAGTATCTTGGTTATTATCAACTTTTGTATAAAGGTAAATTTAGTTATATTGCAGCCTGTATAATTAAAACCATTATACAATACAATAAATACTATAAAATAAAAAAATACAAATATTACCCCACGCTAAATAAAACGAATAAACTGCGTCACGTGTTAAATGAACTACCATATGTTGAGTCAGTAATGAATGAAGAATTTTACCGTTGAGTGAAGAAAAACTTTTACTTTCTACTACTTTAAAAATTGCGGGAGATTTAAACATTAAAGATTTAGGTCAAAACAGCAGAAATATTTAAAATGTCACTAAATTGTTCAACCCTTAAAGTGGGAACTTTATAATTAAATTTTTCACCAAAAACTTTGCTTTCAAGTTCTGGATAGATTATTTAAATAATTTTTTAAAGTATAGGTGACAATTTAATTAGGATGATAATGATAACAACTTTTCAAGATGGATTACCCGCAATGGAATTAATAATTTTTGCAAAAACATGCAGTCATATAGAAAAACCTCCAAAGAATTTTAATATGTTTTTATATTTATACAGGGTGTCCCATAAGTCAACGATGGGCGATTGCACGCGCAATGTAATTTTTTTCATCAGTTTTAAGCAGGGCACAATGAAACAAAAATATACTAAAGTTATTCATTAATGGTGAAATTAGTTGAAAAAACTAAAAATGTTTATCTCAGGTACTTATTATTAAAAAAAAAATATGGTCAAAATAAGCAATCTTCCGATGTTAAAATTTATATGCAAAGTAGCCTTTTAATCAAGGTGGCTTTGACCTATAACAGTAAGTGACGCTTCCGAAAACGTCAGTTTTGATTAGACGCCACTATTAGTGAAAATATTACTGAATATTTTTTTTGCAAGTAAGTAAACTGTTCTATAAATTTAAATTTATAATATTATTGTATATTTGTCCCATCAGTAACGGAATTATATGATAAGTTTTAATATCGCAAGTATGTAACTTGCCCAGTTTTTAATTAATATTAAAAATGTTTGTCCCTATTTCACATTTGCTTACGCGATAAAAATATATTGGTTTGCTGTCCCGGATTTTTGTATTTCTTTTTTTTTATGTTGGTCCCGTCAGTAACGAAATGTGATAATTTTTAGGCAAAAAAAAGGTGCTTGACAAAGAAAATACGAAGCGGCGGGTAAAAAAATAACGCAAAAAAATTTATGAAAATCCTGTTTTAAAAAAGACTTACCTGTCTAAAAATGCTTCAAGCGCAAAGAAGTACAGAGAAAAATTAAAAAAGTTGGCGGAAAATGATGGTGGGTTTAAAATGCAGCAAAAAATTAATGAAAGAGAAAGGAAAAGAAAGTTTAGAGAAAATAAAAAGCAGCAAACAAAAAAAACAAAAAAAATTGAATACCTGATATATTAAGTTCACACTATTTTAAGTTTGTTGATAGTACTCATATGTTGATTAAGAAGCACTATGAATCCGAAAAATCAAATTTGTTCAAATGCTTTTAAATTTTTTGCAGTTTTTATTATCATGTTAAAGTTATTGTTAAAGATATTTAGTTAAGTTAACCAACTACACATTTGTTTCAGTGTATAATAAATAAAAATAATAAATGTCCCATCAGTAATGTCCCGTCAGTAACGAGAAATCAAAATGCATTGCCTACATAGATTACACTGAAAGATGAGTGATGTCAAAATAAGTTATACTAACTGCATCTGCAACTTGGTTCATCTATACTTTTCTTCAACATTATTCTGTTTCAGAGAATAATTCTCTTCTAGTAACCAGACATTTTTTTGACCTTTTTCTTGTCCCATCAGTAACAACATTTTATTGATTTCTAGTTCGTAAAATAAAAAACATTTTAATAGCTGATACTGAAAATTTTACACAAACTATAGCTTTAATAGTTACCCAAATATTACCGTCATTAGCCCATTACTGATAGCAACAAATATCAAAAAATAATTAAATTTTTTTCCGATTGTCCCATCAGTAACGCGTGCAATCGCCCCGATATCCTTTGAAGGACTAATAGGTCAGCTCATGACTAATCAGAATATCAAAACATCAAAACCTTTAGTTTTTAAGATATTGGCATTTTTATGAGTTTTGTGAAACTTGACACATAAAATCAGTTTTTCGAGTGCCACAACTACAACATTCTACATTCTTAGATTATATTTTATTTTGCGTAACCGTGAATAATACTGCTATTAATTACAATTCAAAATTAAATTAATAGTAGGTTTTGTAGCTGTGGCACTCGAAAAACTGATCTAAGGTGTCAAGTTTTACAAAATTCATAAAAATGACTATATCTCAAAAACTAACGATTTTCCATATTTTGATTTTCTGCTTAGTCATGAGTTGGTCTATCAGTCCTTCAAAGGATATCGTTGACTTTTGGGACACCCTGTATATATTTTTTTAATTATAAACATATAGGATTTAATTGATTTTTGGTTTTATTAAAAAAGGCAGTTTTTAATCCTCTATATAATTAAAACCAGTTGAAGAATTATATAAAAATTACTACCAAATTAAACCTTAATATAAAAGTAGTTTAACGAAATACAATATTAAATAAATATAACTAAACAAAACTGGGCATTTAAGATTTAAAATAACGTTAAAAAGACGAAAGTTTGACCAAAAAATTACACAAAAGTTCATGTTCCTGGAAAAACCCGGGCGATATTTTGTTGAATTATATTTTTCCCATTTCACGTTCCGCCACTGAAAGTATAAGTGTGAATTTTGCATGTGTTAAAGCCTTTCATATGTATTAATACGTAGTCAAAATTGCAAGTATATATCTTTTGTAATTTTTGTTAAAATTAATTTTGACCGGAATGTTGTTTGATTTTTGAAGCAAAAATCTATAATGTGCATTTTTTTACATAGGAGGATACAAAATGTTTGGAAAATAATGTTTTAGTGGATATAACCTTTTTCGCGCGATATGTAATAAATTACAAAACAAAATCCTTTTAAAACAAGGTATTTTTAGAAAAAAAAATAATTAAAATTCTAAACTTCCAACTTACCTTAGTCTCTCCTCCCTTTGGTGCAGCTGCAGCTTTAGCGGGCGACTTAGCTTTAGCTTCAACCTTGGTATCGGCAGTTTTGTCCTTGGTTCCATCGGGAATATAGAACAAAATTATGGGTTGTTCCTTGCAAATGCTCAAGTTTGCCAGTTCATAGGCCACATCGACTTTGAAGAAACCTTTTCTTTGCAGCTGAATGACGTCGCCTTTCTTCAGGTTCTTCAATCCTGGGTCTCCCAACATTTGAACCTCTCTCTAAAAGAAACGCGTAAAACAAACGTAAAGGAATAAAAAGTGTAACAACATCTTACCCTCGTTTGATGCCCTATGTAATCTTTAAAGTCCTCATCCTTTCCAAGCAATGGTTTACTGATAATGTGTTCAAAGTATACACATTGCGTTGGTGTGAATTCGACCTTAGGTGTCTTGGCCAACCAAGTCAGTTTCAAAGTTTTCTTGTAGTCTTTGTTTTCCAAGTTGGGCTCAGCTTCCACATTAACTATTTTGTTATTTTTCCTACGAAATTAATGGGGAAGTTAAATTTTTTCTGACCTATACTTCTTATGGTTTTATTCCAGGTGTTTTGTAATTTTAAACATTTCTGTGAAATCGGAATTTCAATTGAGTTTACCGTTTTCAGGATATTTACAAAAAAAAATCTCCTAATTACGTCACTAGGCTATTGACAACGTTGCCAGCTTTTTCTATGGTTGCCAGTGTGTTTAGTTTAAGATTCTTACGATAGATGGCGCCACGTTATAATATTTTAGTTTTTAAACCACTTGATCTATAATTTTAGTTGAGAAGAAGAAGAAGAATTTCTTTTTTGACGTTTCTTTTTTTCGGGTTATGTTTTTTTTTAAATTTAGATTATTGAAAATCAATGTTATTGTTATGTTATTTGTAATTGATATTAGATAAGTGATTTATTAATAACGGACTCCAAAGCAGAGGAATCTTGTGGAATGGTTGGTTACATTGAACATTGGAGCTTTTAAACAAATAAAGTAAGTACCTATAATTATAATCATATTTTGTCGTAAATGCATTTCATTAGTATAATGCCTAGTTCTTTATATTCTTTTGGATATATATTAGAAATATCAAACAGTAATATGATACCTCGTAATAAGGAAGATAGGTACTTAATGAATTTGGTGACCATCTTTCACTCAACTGGCAGTGACAGTATTTGTACATAACCTCTTCGGGTATTTTCTGACATAACCGAATGAAATCATTAACAAGACAACTTGACAACAGGGTAATTTTCAACCAATAGAAATCTTAGAATGTTGGTCACACGGCGAGGTTTGTGACGTCATAAAAATTTATATTTTTTGTAAATATCTAGAAAACTGTAAACTCAATTGAAATTCCGATTTCACAGAAATGTTTAATATTACAAAACGCCTTGAATAAAACCATAAAAGTATTGGTCAGAAAAAATTTAACTACTAAACCAGTGCAGAAGCCTTTAAAAATGGTAAAAAGAGAAAAAAAAAATAACAGTAGGATGAAACCCATTGGAAAAGGAGGTGAATATAATAAAAATTAAAGGAAAAATAAATTACGGGCGATCTGAGTTCGGGAACTGGGAGGGGGGGGGTTTTAAAGGTAAAAAATGGTTTATCTCGATTTCCGGCAAAACTACAAGTACTATGGAAAAAAGTTAAATGGCAAAGTTGTATGTAATAAAAAGATCTACAACTTTTGTATTTACAATTTTTTCACATAACCTCAAAATTTATGTGAAAAATTCAAAAAACCAAGTTTTTGGTTTTTTATTTTTATCTTTTTCAAAAAAAAAATATTTTCCACGAAATTTGGTGAAAACTTACCTTTTTATGTCCCAAATACACTGTAATTTATTTGATTTGAAATATTTATTATTTCGCCTTATTTTGACTTAATATCAAAAAAGCACCCTAATTTTCAATCGAAAATTCTCGCGTCAAAATATCAGCTTTTTTCAAAAAGTCGGTGTGCTTTTTGTTCGATGAACTCTCTACTTTCTGATGGTGTAAAAAAAATATACATTACTATGGTAAATGTTCTCAGAAAATAGAAAAAATATTATAATGAATAACGTAATCAGAATGAAGTATCTAAATTCAATAGTATGATTTACATGTATTTTTATATTTTATGAGATTTTCTGACATAAATGTTATTAGAATTTAATAAATAAACTTTTTAACTAAAAAAAAATTGCAACAATCACATTTTTTTGATGAAATTGTACAAAATGATTAAAATAAATTTTCAAATTCGAGTTTTTTTCGTTATTCATTATAATATTTTTTGCATTTTCTGAGAACATTTACCATAGTAATGTATATTTTTTTTACACCATCAGAGAGTAGAGATTTCAACAAACAAAAAGCACACCGACTTTTTAAAAAAAGCTGATATTTTGACGCGAGAATTTTCGATTGAAAATTAGGGTGCTTTTTTGATATTAAGTCAAAATAAGGGGAAATAATAAATATTTCAAATCAAATAAATTACAGTGTATTTGGGACATAAAAAGGTAAGTTTTCACCAAATTTCGTGGAAAAAATTTTTTTTTTTAAAAAAGAAAAATAAAAAACCAAAAACTTGGTTTTTTGAATTTTTCACAAAAATTTTGAGGTTATGTAAAAAAATTGTAATTACAAAAGTTGTAGATCCTTTTATTACCTACAACTTTGCCATTTAACTTTTTTCCATAGGACTTGTAGTTTTGCCGGAAATCGAGATAAACCCTTTTTTACCCTTAAAACCCCCCCCCTCCCACTTCCCGAAGTCAGATCGCCCGTAATTTATTTTTCCTTTCATTTTTATTATATTCTTCTCCTTTTCCAATGGGTTTCATCCTACTGTTATTTTTTTTGGTTTCAAAAATTATCGACCGTGGTCTATACCCCATTGATAAATAAATAAATACAAACATGAAAATTAATCGTCTCACTTGTTAATTTTCTTGATAACTAAGTTGCCCCAGTAAATAAAGGTGGTGTTTTCGCCCTCTTTAAGGAGATCGGCATCGGCCCTGTCGATTAAAACTTCGGGTGACAACCAGACGTCTTTGTTGCCGAAAGTGGGGTCTTTGGGGTGCTTAAGGGCTTGGGTGCACTCCGTTTTCGCGCCTTTTACCAAAACTGTTACGGGGTCTTCGAATTCGACGGCCATATATCGCGCGGCTATGGGGTCGATGACTTTCTTGTTGAAAGCCCAAATTTTGTCCCATTCCATGAAGACTACGGATCTACTGGAGCCTTGAGCAATGATAAACTCTTTGAGACCCTCGACGGTCATGCCTCTTCGTAAAACGCCCCTGACTGTGGGCATTCTTGGGTCGTCCCTGTAAGTAGAGATGTAAAAAAACGGTTTTTTTCAGGATGTAAAAAACTAAAAAAAATTCGTGTTTTTTTTCATAACCGATACAATAATTCACAATAAAGTATATTTTGTAATAATTATCTAAGATCCAATATGAAATTTCGAAAAGATTGTTTATTATTATTAATATAGAATGTAAAAAATTTGTAGTGCTCAATAATTTGACATTTTTGAACATATTTATAACTTCTTTATTTATATATAAAATGTATTTAATTTAACAATTTTACCTCTTAATTAGGTATTTATTACTAAAATGTAGATATAAATTCAAATTTAAACAATTAATTTCTCTGTGTGGATAAAGAGCAGTGGTTTTTGTTCTTTTTATAATTTTTTATAAATTTTCAGTATTTTGTTTTTCGTTATTAAGTTTCGTTTCGTTATTTATTGATTTATTGATTTTTGGCCGTATTATTAAAGAATAAAGAAATAATTTTAACACCTGTAATAATAATGAAGAAACTCGTAATCTTCTTGAGAATATTGAGAAAATTAAGAATCTTCTCGAGAATATTAAGAAAAATCAGAATATTGAGAATAAACAAATAAGAAACAAAAAACAAAAAAACGGGGTTTAATAAAACCCAACCCACAGAGCTTTTTTTACTTTTATAAGTGAGTTTTATTGGGGTTTTGTTTTTTTTTTAATTCTATGCAATTTTAGTGAAAACAGAACGGTAGGAAAATCCCCGAAAATAAACGCTCGAGCATTTTCAATCTCTAATTCCCCCCTTTTAAAAGGAACGCTGCTACGATGTGTCAGTTGTTTACGCCAAAAATTAAAATACGGTATGTACCCGGACAACAATCGGGAGTTCCTGGTGAAGGCATGATGATATCACAACGTAATTTTTTTTATCACGCTGTGATATCCTGAGTGCATACACATGCTTCATCACAGTGATATCATGTAGAACTCACGGTGTGATATTTGCAAAATTTGTGCATGCGTATGAGCCCTGCGAACTGCAAATTTAAATCCTAGTTTTTTATTCACATTACACCGTTATAATTTATAAAACGTTGTTTGAATATCAAGATTGTTGTCCGGGTTCAATTAAAAAAGATATTCCAATGTTTAACAAAAAAATGAATGTTTTGAACGCAGGTCTCATAGATTCGTGATATTCATACGAACATCATGTCGTGATTTTCACAAATTTTATTCACACTGATATGATACGGAAGTCACCGCGCGATAAATGAAAAATCATACGAACGTCACGTCGTGATTTTCACAAATTTTATTCATACGGACATCATCTGGATGTCACTGCGTGAGAAATAAAAATCATGTCGTGATTTTTTATGCCAACGGTGTTTGGATAATCATAATCGCCATGTTCGTACACTAAGAGAAAAATTATGTTGATTCAACAGTTTTTGCGGTTAAATACATTTAATATTTTCTTGGATTTAAATTAACTCAATATAGTTAATTTAAATCCAAGAAAATATTGAATGTATTTAACCACAAAAACTGTCGATTTAATATATATGTAGGTATACTTTTTCTCTCAACTTACGAATGTGGCGCAAAAATTAATATCACACCGATGGCATAAAAAATGACGACATGATTTTTTATGCCATCGGTGTTTGGATAATCATTTTTGCAAAACATTCGTACATTGAAAGAAAAAGTATGTTAACAATTTCAACAGTTTAACATTCAATATTTTCTTGGATTTAAATTAACTATATATAGTTAATTTAAATCCAAGAAAATATTGAATTTATTTAACCACAAAAACTGTTGATTCAACATAATTTTTCTCTTAGTGTACGAACGTGGCGCAAAAATGATTATCCAACCACCCTTGGTATAAAAAATTACGACATGATTTTTTGTGCCATCGGTCAATCGCAAACAGCGATGGCATAAAAAATCACGACATGATTTTCATTTCTCACGCAGTGACATCCGGATGATGTCCGTATGAATAAAATTTGTGAAAATCACGACGTGACATTCGTATGATTTACATTTATCACGCGGTGACTTCCGTATGATATCAGTATGAATAAAATTTGTGAAAATCACGACCAGATTTTCGTATGAATATCACAAATGTTGTCCGGGTATTAAATATGTAATATTGTAATTTAAGTTGTGATATTCAATAATTAAATAATTTATTGAATGTAGCAACAAATACCAAAAAATGTGTTGTCACTTTTTATTAAAATTTCCTATTTGTATTTTTATTAAATTATTAGCAAATTTTCGTGAATCTTTTACTAAAATATTCTCAAATTATAATTTTTTGCTGGATTGGATTAATAAAAGAAAGTAAGTTTCAAATGGCAAAAAACGTAAAAAATATAGTACTTAGTTTGAAAAAAAACTAAAAAAAGAAAAAGTGTATGTTTTTAACGTAACATCTCCCACAATCAGACAGTTTTTTAACTGATTTTATAATTATTTTTTATTTAAATACAAATATAATTTATTTTGATATTGTAACACAGCGAGGTATATTAAAAAACGTAAAAAATAGAATTTAAAGGTGACATTGCGAGTTTTCGCTTTTGACAGTTACAGTGACATTTCTATATGCAGTGTAATAAGTATTCAATCTGAAAATGGTTGTGAAAACGAATTAAGTCCACTACAAAGAAAAAAATATTAAAAAAAAGAATGGAAACAAAAAATAAAGCAACAGAAATCCTGCAATATGTTAAATGCAGCAAAAGTCTCGAGAAGAGCAGAAAACAAAGAAAAGATAGCCATAAAAGGTAGAAGGATTGTCTAATTTAAAAAAAATATATAACAATACACAATTGTATTTTTTTTTTAATTTATTTTAATAACGAAATTATGGTAGTCACCAAATAAATCAAACAAAATATACCTAGATAATCACGTGTTTGTAATGCAACGTTGCCGGATCTTCTAGACGAAAATGACAGATTGATCATTTTGATTGGACGCAGTCAACATTATCATAGCGATTAATATCGGGCCGGAATCTCCTTAACATTGTCAATTATCATATTTTTAACGATTTCGCAGACATACCGTCACTTATAAGGAAAAACATTGCATACAGAGTAGCGAGATGGATGACAAAGCCGACTTACCAGCCGTCTACGTGTCCCTCGTTGACGAACCAAGTCAATTTTCGCTTGCTAAGCACGGTGTTGGTCATCGACAAGCGACTGTACTCCCAGATGTACGGTTTCCTGAGGCCCAGCACGTCGATGAACCAATAGAACTGCGGGTCGCGGTCGTGGTACTCCATGGTACGCAAGGTGTGCGTCACGCCCTCTATCGAGTCCACTATGGGACACGCGAAGTCGTACGTGGGATAAACTCTGTAAATATTTGGGTTTGCAGAAAAAATACGTCTATAGTTGTCGTTTTTATTTACTTGTATTTGTCGCCTGTTTTCGGATGAGGTTCGTTTTTGCAACGGTAAATCGTCGGGTCCCTCAGACAACCGTTGTGGGATTGCATGTCGATTTTTGCTCTCACGCAACATTGCTGTCCCTTTGCTGAACCTTTTTTCATTTCTTCCCACATTTGGAGGTTCTTTTCAACAGCTAAATTATCAAATAAATCCTAAATGTGTATATATTGTGTTTAAAAATAAGTAAAATCTAACAACACCAGCAAACACAGAAGTCTGATTACACTAGTTTACATAATCGAAATTTTTTTTTATGGATATAAATTTTCAATTGTTTTTTTAATTTTCGGAGGTGTTTTGACGTTTTTGAGTATAGCTTGAAATCTAATTGATCGATTCGGTCAAACAAGCCCTTAAATTGAAGGTATTTGAGCCCTCTTTTACATACTTTTGATATCGGATAAGTATTTTGACGCTAGTGATTTTAATAACTTAAAAAATTCGTTTTTATGGCAAAAATTGAGGTCGAAAATTTACCTATCGTCCTGGGAAGGGTTTAAATCAAACAGATAACTCGAGTTTTTTTGTGAAGCTGACATTTTTACAAAATAAACAAGCTAATGTTGATAAAAATACATTGAAAATGGTGAAGTTATGAATTTTTTAGTGGAAGACCGAAATTCAGCTTTTCGACGATTTTTATTTTATTTAAAACATTATTCAAAACTTAAATTTGACATGACTCCGCAAACGTGAATTTTGTTTCTCGTGTTGGCATAGTGATATTTTACTGCTATTTTTTGATATTTCAACAGGGTATTTTTATCATGGTTTTATTTAGTCAATAAAAAGTGTAAAATGAGTAAAAGAAGTAGAGTTCGAGTGCGTAAATAACCCGGACAATCTGGGTGACGTAAGTGATGAGCACGGAGAACGTTTTCACCAGCAAATGAAGGCTATAGAGCGGCGGTATCACGGCTTCTGGGATGCAGCCATGATGGGTCCCTCATACGGGAAACGGAATACGAAAGCAACAAAAAACAAAGAAGGAGCCAGAATTTGTTTAAACCTATGCTTATTAAAACAAAATAAAACTTTCAATATATAATTTAATTTCAATATTTAATGTTTAAAATAAAAATCAATGTTCAATATTAAATTTTATATAATTCAATAAAATGAAGAAAAAACGTAAAAAATCTCTAAAAACTCATAACTTCGCCATTTATCCATGGATTTTTATCAACAGCAGCATATTTTTTTAAGTTTAATCTATACATAAACTAAATCAAACTGGACTTTCTATCTATATGTAAATTTTATACCTCGATTTTTGTAAAAAAAAAAGGACTTTTTCAATTTCATAAAATCGCCAGTATCGAACTACTGAGCCGATACCAAAACTATCAAAAGAAAGTTGTAGAGGGCTCAATTACCTTTTATTTAAGTGCTTGTTTGGTAAAATCGATCAATTAGAACTCGAAGTATACTCTAAAATGTCAAAACACCTCGGAAAATTAAAAAAAAAACAATTGAAAATTCATATCTCGAAAACGCTTCCATGAAAAAAATTTTAAGTGTGATTTTCGCGTTAAGTGAGCCAAACTACACCAGAAAATCATAGTGAGACATGGTGGGCAAAATTGCTGAAATTGCCCATTACATAGTTTCATGACTTAATAATGGCATTTTCAGCCAAAGCTTTCCTTTACAGAAATGTTTTAAAAAAATATTAATTTTGATTGTGATAAGGTCTTGCAATGGCCCTAAATGGCTAATATTTGTAAATTTTACCATAAAAGACACATATATGGCAATTTTCAGTATCAAGTTAATGGAAATTTTTGGGTTTTTTTTACATATTTTTGGATAAATAAATTTTGATATTGGCGTCAAAAATTTATTCCGTAAATTTTGATATAATAATAACATTAATTTTTACCGTTTTTTCCAATAATTTTGTTTAAGGCCTTTAGTTCATTAAAGGCACATTTATAAAGGGCCATTATAGAACCTTTACAGTTGTGTTTGCTGGGATATTTACTTTGTGTAAAGAAATGTTAAAACTCAAAATGTGAATACATTGAATTGGAAGATTAGGTGATATATTTCAAACCTTACAGAAGGTTCACAAGAAGGAAAACACGTTTAAATTTATAACCAAACTTACAATTATTTCTGTTAGCACTTTCCATCCTTTGTTCTCTTTGAGTTTTCATTAATTCAGCTTCAGTGTCATCCACATAAGCAGTGCCATCCTTCAACATTTTTTCGCAATACTCCAACATCAAATCAAAATATTGCGAGGTGTGCGTGAACATATCCGGCTTAATTTCCAACATTTCCACATCCTCGAGAATCACTTTTTCAAAGTGCAAATCTTCCTTGGCCGGATTTGTGTCGTCAAAACGCATTATAAGCTTGCCTTCAAACGCTTCTTGATAATACTGATTGAGTAGAGCTGCTTTGGCGTGGCCAATATGCAAATAACTAAGAAAAAATATTGATAAGCACATTAATTGTTATAAGTAACTTTCTTATAAACTCAGTTTAGCAAAAATTTGTTATTTCTGGTTATTAAATTACATATGTAATTACCCTGAAGCCTCTGGAGGGAATCTAACAACCACTTTCCCCATCTCAGCACCAGGCAAATCAACGAATTTACCTTCCTTGGCCCTTGTTTTTGGCCCATTTGACGATTTTTCGTTAGTGGCGGACAAAGTTGATTTAACATCATCAGGCAGAGATTTAAGAACATTTTGAATGAAATTTTGTGATGACATAAAGATGTACCATCTTTGAACATTAGTAGGGGCTGATTTATCCTTTAACATTTGCTGCCATTTAGGGTTAACTAAAAATATTACATTCTGTTAAAAAATAAGCCATTGGATATTTTTGTATGTTATTTTAATAATATTATAAGATTGTGTAAACATTTTAATATTTTTTTGTGAACTTTGTAATCTAAAGAAACGTTTAACAGATTTAAATTTATATACATGGATTAAGTTATTATTTTTATTTCTTGGGATGTTTGTGACTTTTTTAAATTAAACATTTATAAAAATAGGTGAATCTCACGAAATGTCCCCCGATGGTATTACCCCCTGATATTTAATAAAAATAAATGAGTCTGACCTACACTTTTATTGTGTTTTGATCTTTTATAATTTAATAGATATTACAGCTCAGGTTCCAGATTTTTAACCGCAATTAATTATTTTTTACAATGTTTTAAAAGTTTAAAACCTATCCTCCGTGACTGTTACTCATTCTAGGTTAACCTATATGTTTTCAAATATCTCAGATATAGTAAAAGCATAGTTAAAAGATCAGTTTACTAAGTAAATTAAACACATCCAAAGCAATCGAATCAAATATAAAAAATATAATTAAAAATTAAAAGAAATAATTTTTATAACCATTTATGTAGGTGTTACAAAAATTGATTCTATCCTCCGTGAATCTGTTTTTGCTTTAAATTTTATGCAATGGATGGCGCTTTAATCATTTTAAATAAGCAAAAACCTCTGTTTACGACATTATAGATGCATGTGATTCCTGAAGGTCAGTTAGAATTTATATGCAGATGAGAGTGTTGCTGTTTAATAATTCAAAAGTTTAAGTTTATTAATTTGCTATTTAAAAACCTATCCACCGTGAAGTGTAATATCTCAGTAAGTAGATTTTTTTATAAATATTTTATGTATGTACAATTGTATTTTTAAAAAATATTAAGGTGTCAAAAGATACAATAACTTATTTCAAATATACAAAGGGATGTTTTTAAAAAAACATACTAAATCCTAACCTCCGTGAAGCTCTAATATTAAAAATGTATGATTCCTTAAAATTCTTGCATTAGTGCCGAACCACTTATGTTATGTTATTACTTCCCAAAAACCCCATTCTAGACTAACAGTGAAACAACCAAAAATAAAAAATAATCATTTTCACTTGGGGGACATCTCAATATATTCACCCAAATACCTTCTTGGACTGATTTTTACATTGATTAAAAGATATTGAACATTTTTTAAAACCACTTTAATGTGAAGAAAAAAATGAAAATGGAATAAGAACATTGACTTTTTTGGATCATTTTGTTACCTATTTCTTCTTTTGTAGAATTTATTTTAATACATTTAGTAATTAAAGATTTAATGTATTATTAATCAATGGAATACTGGAAGAAGATATTGTATTTTATTTATTTGAAAACGTTTTTTATATAAATGATTTTCTTATTAGACAGGTATGTAAAACTAAAATTGTCAAAAGAATATCATAAGACTAATTATCATATTTCAACATCTTTTCCTTCAATAGTATTAAAGCTCAAAAATTTAACAATTTTTGTTACAAGCAAAGATAATAAAAAAAACTTACAGTGTAGAGTAGCAAATACAGCAAAGTCAGCAATAGATAACTTGTCATTGGCCAAATAAGTCACTGGTCCCAGTGAAGCATTCAAAATGTTTAAACCCTTTTGAAAACCTTCTGAGGAGTTAATTGAGCCAATTGCAAATGTAAGCCAGTGATCTACATTTGTCAACTCAAGAGCTGCACTGCCATACAAATCCTGGCACAACGATCTGGCAATAGCTCTGGACACATCGTTTCCAGTTCTGCATTTAACATTTTCGAACATACTCTCTTCTCCCCACGACAAGTTCAAGGGTTTTTTAAGTTGTACTTTAACATACTCGGCAGTAATAATACCACCTAAAATAGCATAAAGATTAGAGTACTTGCTATTTATATTTCTGCCTTTTTATTAATAGACCGCTATAACCTAAAATAATTACTTACCCAAGGGAGGATTTGTTCTGCTGCAAACTAATTTCATATTGCTAAGGTTGCAAAAAAATTAACAACTAAAAACTATACGGTTTATTCATAAAATGATGCAATATTGAATTATGAAAAATCCCCCGTCTGGCACGTTGGGATGAAATTACCATCAAACGTCAAAATTACAGAGGGCGCTGGACGAGACATTTGAACTATTTGTGTCATAAAAGAGAACTACGTTAAAATTATTTTTAAAACGTAAATAATATTTAGTTTAAGGTCCAATGCAATGTTTTTTATAATTTGTTAATGATTTATTTATTTGTTAGCTGTATTGTAATCTATAATATTGTAAATAGTAATATAAACTTTCTAGGTCAAAACCCTGTTGACGTTATCCCGTTAACCTAACTTTGACGTGTCAAAACAATCCAAAATAATAATGTATTTCTAAAATGGACAAGAAATTGGCCGAGTACAGGGCAAAAAAAACTACGTGAGGAAAGAATAAATAAAGCAAAAGATTATGTGCAATCAGTAATGTCTGTATTTAAAACAAAACCTAAAAATGAAGAAAAGGTAAGGTAAAATAACATATGTACACTTTACTCTAATTTATTTGATTTTAGAAAAACGATGAAGTTCTTTTAATACAGCCCGAGCATATATCAGATGAAGAACCGGTTAGTGAAGATGACAATGAAAGTGTAGACAGCACAATTAACTGCAACAATTATTCGTACATGAAATGGGTTTTGTATTTGTTAACTTTTTTGCTGTGGGTTACTACATATGTAATATTTATCAAGTTGGCTTTTGGGTCTGTTAATTTTGTTGTTTCGATGTTGGTTTTCATGTATGTAAATACTGGTAAAAGAAAACGTGGGGAAGTGAGTGCCTATTCTGTTTTTAACAAAGACTGCAAGAGTATTGATGGCACATTAAAGGCTGAACAGTTTGAAAGGGAAATAAGGTATGGTGCGGGGAGTCTCCAATAAAATATATATTTAAAATTAACTTGTTTTTCTACTACCACCTTTAATGCATTGACAAGCTGTGACTTTTTAGTCACAGGCTGAAGTTGCAGTTGTCAAATGTCAAAAAAAACTACTAGAAAGTGAGGTTAGAACAGTCTGACAGATGTCGTATTTTTTTTTACGTTTTTTAAGAAACATTAGTATAGTATATTATTATACAAGAGGTTTGCGCCTTGAGCCGTCAGGCGAGAGACGTTAAATCATTCTCCCGATTTGAAAGATCACTATATTTTCCCCTTGTATATATAAAAAAATCTGACATATTAACCTTACTTTTTCCCAATTTAAAACCCGATTGGTTCAAATGACGGTAAATATTGAAATCAGCCAATCACTGATGCCTAACAACGTGAATAATGAGTTAATTATTCCCGTTGTTAGACGGGGAGGTTATATTATATAACCAATTGGTTACCGTTAAAAAAATCAAATAATGTCAATAATATACAATGGAAGTAGAAAAATATATAATATAAAGTACCTACCTACCTATGTAAATTTAAAATTTAAATTTCCCTAATTTTATCAATTGATATTATTATTAATAATAAGTAAAAATTCACTTACCTATGTAATTTTCTTTAATTTCCCTAATTTTATTAATAAGTGAAAATTCACTTTCACCTTAAACAGTGCAAAATTTCCGAGGTAAAAAAAAAATTCCTAGACATATTTATATGAACTTATAAGTATAGGTATTAGGTATACATGTAATACATGTATACATGTAAAAAATGATTATAATATATAGGCACCATAGTACTATAGTATATTTATATATAAATTTTACTATAGTATTAAAATTGAAAAACTGCTTCTTGCTAAATTGATAATAGTATGTAGGTACATACATTCCAAAGTTTCACTTCTGGCTTAAAAAGTTTGCCACTTAAAAATTGATGGTCTCTTTTTCATCGATTAATACGGTTTTTAAACGGTTTAGCAATAAAAACAATTGTTTTAACTTTTCTAAAATAATTTGCAAAACATCGATTTTTGCAATACTTATTAATAATTACATTTTTGTAGATGTTTTTTTTTTTCCAAAAATTGATTACTCCCGAATGGTTCATCAAAACTTAACATTTTTTATATCAAAATTTTCGTTGAAAAATATACTTTACGATAAAAAATTTGTAGTTAGGGGCAAAAAAATAAAACTATCTTTTTAAACAATTGAAAATTAATAAAACTTCTCCGCCTGCGAGGAAAATTTTTCCCATTTTATCTGACGAAAATTTTGGCAAAAAAAGTTATTATTTTGTAGCAACATGTTATCAACATTTCCAACATTTTAAAATAAATATGCAATGAACTGTAAATATTTTAAAAATATTTCCAGATATTTTTGTGATGTTAAGGAAACATTAATAATAATAAAAATTTTGTGTTATGTGGGTATATGAACTTACCTACTTGTGAAAACTGACCATACCATATATTATCTATTAAAATTGAAAAACTGCTTCTTGCTAAATTTGATAATATGTAGTATGTCTACATACTACATACCTACAGGTACATACATTCTAAAGTTTTAAATTACTTCTATTAATTATTTTTTTGTTATTAGTTATAATAAAAATCCTTCTTATATACAAGGTGTTCCTGAAATGCCTGTACAAAATGTCACCACATATTCCTGAGACCGAATAATGCGATATAACAAAATTTACTTCCATACAAAAGTTGATAATAACCAAGATACAGGGTGTCAAAGTTGATATTTCTATTTTATAAAATAACTTTGAACAAAAACAAACGTTTTTGCACAAAATTTGATTTTTGAGGGTTTTTCAGGGAGTTAAATTTATTAAACAATTAATGTACGCGCGTCAAAATTAACGCATAATTATGCTACAAGTAAAAAAATCTAAAACGCTTACCAATCTATATAAAATTTTGGATAAAAATACTTTAACTTATATCTTAGTTTACGTGTTCAAGGGTTTTTCGAGAAAACTATTTAATAATAAAAAACGCTCGAAAAAAATTTGTATGGGGAATTTTTTTTTGAAGTAAGTAAAAAATTTCCTGTGAAAGACCGAATTTTTGTTTGTAAACCCTAAAAATGTTGTACAAATCAAACGAACACGATTTTTCAGCAAAATAATCAAAAAGGGGTCATTTTTACCGACTTAGCGCTGTATCTTTGTTACTGTTCGTTTGATTTGTACAAAAGTTTTAGGGTATACTAACAAAAATACGGTCTTTAACACCATATTTTTAATTTACTTAAAAAAAAATGTCAAAAAGTTATTTTTAGAACGTTTTTTTATTATTTAATTAAAGGGCTTTAAAAATATTTTTTTGAAAAATCCTCAAACACGTAAACTGAGATATAAGTTTAAGTATTTTTATACAAAAATTCATAAAGATTGGTAAAGGCGTTTTAGAGTTAGAATTTTTTTACTTATTATGCGTTAATTTTGACGGGCAGTGTATCTAAAACTTATAGATATGCTTTGCAATGGTCACATATTTTTTACGCCTTGGTGTATTCACGTTTTAATAAAAATATTACTCAAAAAAGGTTTAACGCATGAAAAGTGAATTTTTTTAAGAAATTTAATTTTCCAGTCCTGAAAAAAATTCGAATATAAAATTTTGTGCAAAAACGTTGTTCTTTTCAATGACACCATGTATCTTGGTTTCAGGAATATGTGGTATTTTGTACAGGCATTTCAGGGACACCTTGTATAATTACGTTACGAATTCTTTCTTTTTTTTATTGTTTTATTTTCGCATTTAACACCAAAAAATAAACTACCTGGATTTTATTTTCTGTTGAATATAATCCTAATTTTCCAGATTATTCCGCAAATTTTTCAAATTCTAAAAGGGTAGGGAATTTTTTGCTCTATTCTAGGGAAAAGTTTCCAACCCTGGAAAGCATCCACAAGAAAATTACTCTCAGTTTATGGATTGAAGAAAACGCTTTAATTGTTTATTTTAATTTACTAGTAAAAAAATGTACTATTATTTCTATTTAAAGCTTAAAATATACTATTAAACTGGGTTAGAGAGTTCTAGTATAAGGTTAACAACTGGCTAAAATATTATTTGGTTGGAATGTGTCAGGTTTAGGTAACAATACTATAACAACGACAGCCATAATCACATGCCACATACTGTGCAAATATTTATAATTTTCCGTGGTTTGCAAAAGTCCGTAAATGAGCAATCCAAGTATCGCTAGAGCAGCGCCAACCGGCAAAAACACGGTCAGGTATTTTTTTTTGCATATCAATTTTCTATGTTTGTGGTACTTTAAATACCAACTCCCCATAATTATGCAAATGCCGGATATAACAGGTACGAGGAACACCCACATCGACGTTTTATTGACGGTGGTGAAAAACGCGAGTAAAATGCCACCAATCACGTGAGCTAGGCTGGTGTAGCCCAAAGGTAGATCCGCCATTGCGATCAGGGTCATCCAGATGGCCAACAGCGCGCAGAAAAAGTCGGAAAACTGCAGCGCGTTTATTCGGGTCAGGCAGAAGCTGATTTGGTTTTCGCCCGCGTCGCACGCGTGGTAAAACGTCGAGAAAAAACATATGGAGAAGTAGGAGATCGCTTCGGCGTAGTATTTTCTCGCGAAGGCTATGTAAACGGCGGGGAGGAAAGCCAGGTTGCTGAGGACCAGTAGAAGTAGCTCCAGGACTACCATGACGTATGGAGTTGTCAGAGAGTCATCTTTGCAATCCCACCCTAAATAAAATTACTTCATTGAAATTTGAGCACTATGATAAAACTACAGTTATTTTTTTTTTATTCGGACTCGTGTTTTTTTATTAAGTTGGTAGCTTATTCCAGTTTGATTTAGTATTTTTAGTACACTCACAGGCAAAATAATCGATCCACACAAATTTTCGATGAATTTCAATCGCAAATAACTTTTTTATTTGATGTCGGATTTAAACGAATATTAAAGAATATTGTGGATAAATTAATGGACAATCGCTCACATTTTAAAAAATTACTAAAAAATAGACGTACGTTTATAATATACAGGTTTAAACAAAAAGATGTTTTTTTACCATAAGTTTAAGACACTCTGTAGAGTGGCAAAACCGTATATTGTTCTAAATTAAGTTTTATTTATCAAGTCACAACTATTCTTAACAGTTTTGTTTTTGGTTCACTTCGATATATTGATTTTTGTGAAAAATATGGATTTTTTAAAAAAATATTGCAATTTCCAATATTTTTCTGTATAAAGAACTAAGGTTGCTATGGTCCATCCATAGGCTATGGAGAATGACAGTGACAGTTTTGTTGAATCATCCCATACTTGGACATGTCATACACGGCTTTCAAAAGCTATCAAATTGTTTTTTGCAAATTTATGTTTAAATTAATTTTTAAATTTTAAATGTTTAAATTAATTTAAGACACCTCAAAATTTTGAGGTGTCTTCTTACTTTAAAAAATGGATAGGTATGTCTCCGAATGATGTTGCCAGAGCCATTAATTTAATCCAGGATGGACGGTCACAGTATTACGTGGCAAGTAATTTAAACGTCACAAGAAGTAAAGTACAAGTCTGAGACATTTTTAAAAGTAAGAAGACACCTCAAAATTAACACATTAATTTACAAAAAACAATTTGATAGCTTTTGAAAGCTGTATATGACATTTCTAAGTATGGGATGATTCAACAAAACTGTCACTGTCATCCTCCATAGGCTATGGATGAACCATAGCAACCTTAGTTCTTCATACAGGAAAAATATTGGAAATTGCAATGTTTTTTAAAAAAAATCCATATTTTCCACAAAAATAAATATATCAAGGTGAACCAAAAACAAAACTGTTAAAAATAGATGTGACTTAATAATTAAAACTTAATTTAGAACAATATACGGTTTTGCCACTCTACAGAGTGTCTTAAACTTATGGTAAAAAACATCTTTTTGTTTAAACCTGTATATTATAAACCTACGTGTATTTTTTAGTAATTTTTAAAATGTGAGCGATTCTGCATTAATGTATCTACAATATTCTTTAATATTTGTTTAAATCCAAAAACAAGTAAAAAAGTTATTTGCGATTGAAATTCATCGAAAATTTGTGTGGATCGATTATTTTGCTTTTAAGTGTATTTAAAAAATGGTACTTCTGCTGAAGACCTTAATTAAATACTCTGACATTGTCAAATTGACAGTTTATTTATTTTTGATAATTTACTTGTTAATTATTATATAATATCTTATAAGCCCCAAACGATTCATGCAAAAAATGTCCATGGTCAATTTTTCCAACAGATTGACTGTACTTAGTATTAAACTAAAAACATATGTTTCAGGGCTCCCACGGCTAAATTACAAATTTCATTTGGGAACTTAGGAGGTTTTTTGGAGAATCTTAGGAGAAATAAAGTATGCAAATGAATTTTTGCAATTAAATAAAAACAACTCTATACTGTACTTAAAAAATATGAAAATATTTTTTTTTTAATAAAATAAAAGTGTAGTAAAATTACTTCTATATATCGTATCTATATACAAAATATATTTGAAAAAAAAACGCGTCTATAGATTTGGCTAAAGCCAAATGATGATATATTTATATTTTAATGCTAACTGTTTAGTTAATAACTACAAAGAACAATATAAGTTTTTAAAAACAATTAAAAAATTCTTTATTTTAAACAAAAAAAACAAAACAATCTAATCTAATGTACATTTTTTCCTTGTTTATTGTTGTTATTTATATTATATTTATACTATTTGTTACCATTGTTTTGCTGATATTTAAACATTTATTACTGTTAATATATAAAACATATCTGTTAAAGTTCTTGTAACTATTTGGATATTATGTTCAATAAAAAAAACAATAATTGTAATGTGGATCTTGATATTCAAAAATCTCATAATAGAAAAAATATGAAGTTGGCATAAGATGGCAAAACATTCTTTAGATTGTTTACTATTTTAGCTAACATTAAAAAAATCCCTTTGTTTGACATATAACAGGGTATATTTTTGTCGAAAACAAACGAAATATATATGGCTTCTACAATTTTGTAGAAGTCTAGGAGCTATATAGCTAGTAGTATACTACATGGATTTTGTTTTTAGGTATATTTTGTTGTTTTTTAAAAAAATGTGGGGTGTGATATATCATTTTAAAAAGATTTTAATAAACTAGAACATATTAAATATATTAAAGAACTAATGTCATAAGACGTCATTTTGTCGCAAGCGGACAATTTATAAAACGAGTGACGAAGGAGCGAGTTTTGTAATGGACGAGTGCGACAAAAGGTCTTTTGACATGAGTTCTTTATGCTACTTTGTCTATTTTGCAAAAATTCTATAAAAAATTAATTTTATACCTTAAATTTAATTTGGTCGAATTTTACTTTATAGTTGGTATCACAGTCATTGGTTTGACAGTTAATGTCAAAATCGATTCGCCATGCCGTCCTTAATTTACTTATTTACAATAAGCGGCTGTTAATGTTAAAGAAAACTTATTGCTAAAAAAGTCTCGTAAGTACTAGAAAAATCATAAACATATTATAACCAATATGCAAAATATTATTTTACTAGTATGCTGTTTAAAGTATAGCGAACCTATAAAATCAAAATTTAAATAAAAATAAAAAAAAATAAAATAAAATTTAAATTACAGCACCGAAAGCGGTGTTATAATGAAGTCATTGTGAACGCAAAATAGATAAAAATATTTATTTTATTACTTTTTAAAAAAGAAATTTTTTAGCACAACTACCTTAATAAACTCAGTCAGGTTGGCCTATTTATACAGGGTGAGTTTTAAGTTGACGCGTTCCTTTTAACAGCGTGTAGAAATCAGATAAACAAATAAATATTTTAAGTAACTTTTTAATCAAAACTCAAAAATAAAAGAGTTATAGGCCTTCCAAGTTTAATTAAATTTTGAGCCGGTCCTGGCTATTGTTAACAAAAAACACAACCATAAAAATAAAAATAACAAAATAAACAATGCAAAATGTCATCTATGACAACAAACATAACCATTTAAATCAAAATGACATTTAGCAATGAAAAATGTCAGTTTTTTTGTGCCTCAATTATCGCCGACGGTGGACGAGTGGTTAGTGCTACTGACTACAAGCCGGAGGTCGTGGGTTCGAATCCCACCAGGGGTATGGCTGTTTATTTGTGTTTGTCCTATTGTATAATAGTCCTTCGGAGGGGACTTTAAGCCCGCGGTCCGTTCCTACCCCTAACCCGCACAAGCCATTCAGTTGGCTTATGGGACTTAAGAAGTAAGGGTGGAACTAAAAGAGCACTTTTGTATATAAACTTTTTTGTATTGTTAAAAATGGTTCATAACACTAGGCAACAAATTTTAACTTAAAAAAAAGGTCCTGGTTAAAAATTGAATTTTTCGATTGTTTATGACTGAAATAGATCCAAAATGTTTTAAAAAAAAATATTCTGAAGTCGGAAATAAAAAATAGGAGCACAGTATTTTGGTACCATTTATTGCATAGTAGGGTGTCCCTTATTTTTATTTTTTTTACGCATACCCTCTAATTATATTTATTACGTGTTTATATACTCCCAGTAAAAATTTCAGTTCATTCTATAAACGGGAACCCGTGCCGACTTGCATCTGAACCCTCCGTTAGCCAACGTTAGGCGCGCGCGGTATTTTGTAACACGAAACACTTTAAAAAGAAGATATACTTCATGACTGTATTTTTCTAATGATTTTATTAAATATGATTACTAATTAATATTATTGCTTTTGTTTCTATCATTTGTTTCACTAATTTAGTTGATTTTATCCCTTAAATATATTAATATACTAATTAGTATTGCTAAAATATACTGTTATATGAAATTTCAGCTTTTTATAATAATTTCTTTTCTTGATGTCCTCCTAAAAATATTTCAGACAGTTCAATAAGTTTTCGGTAGTCATCTCCCACAATAGACTCTTTTAGTTATTTAGAGTAAAACCCATCAAGTTTATCAATTTCAGAGTTTACGGCCTATTCAACAGACCCCTCCGGGTAACTAGCCACTCCCTGTGAAAATATACATTTTTATCAAAGTATACACATAAATAAAACTATATTTTAACATTTCTCAATAATTTATAATATAAGGGTCACATAATAACAAACACAAAATGACTTCGCGAGCAACCGTGTTACAAAATACCGCGCGTCTAACGTTGGCTAACGGATGGTTCAGATGCAAGTCGGCACGGGTTCCCGTTTATAGAATGAGCTGAAATTTTTACTGGGAGTATATAAACACGTAATAAATATAATTAGAGGGTATGCGTAAAAAAAATAAAAATAAGGGACACCCTATTGCATAGATTTGAAAATTTTAGGATGACGTTACTTTTAACTTATATTTCAGCATTCCATGAACAACATATCTGTACATATTGTAAAAATTTAAGGCATGTTTTTTTGATGTTTACTGTTTTTTATCGTTCGAATTATTTTGTTTAGGTACTTATTTTTATCGTCATTATTTAACAATTTTTCTTTGTATCATGGTGCTGCCCGTATCGTCTAAACGAGACTTTGGAAAATTTTTTGGTCGCCGGATTTGCGTCGAGGTCAAAATCTATAGGACTGAGCTATTTTTATTACCGACCTTTTTTTATTGTTTACTAGTGTAATTATAGCAATAATGAATTAGCCAAAATGTTACTAATTTATGGAGAGTGTCGTCAAAATGCAAATGCTGCAACTTAAGTAAATAATGACATTTTTTTTATTGCAAAATGTCAATTTGATTTAAATGGTTATGTTTGTTGTCAAATATGACATTTTGCATTGTTTATTTTGATATTTTTATGGTTATGTTTTTCGTTAACAATAGCCAGGACCGGCTTAAAATTTAATTAAACTTTGATGGGCTATAACTTTTTTATTTTTGAGTTTTGATAAAAAAGTTACTTAAAATATTTATTTGTCTAGCTGATTTCCACACACTGTTAAAAGGAACGCGTCAACTTAAAACTCACCCTGTATTTAATTTTTAGGAGTTTTATGAGATTGATGGCAATTTTAGGAGAATTTTAACATTTAAGCCAAATTTTAAGAATTTTATGAGTTTTAGGAGGTGTGGGAGCCCTGATGTTTTCGCAACCTTTTTTCTTACCTCTAAACTTATTTCCGCACAAACAACTCGAATACGCCACGCCATCTGATATCGAGTAGATGCACTTCCCGTTTCTTCCGCACGAGCCCTCCACGCACGGACTACTGCTGATATCGAAGACAACGCTGGAATTGCAACTTTTCCTGCTCTTCACGCACGGCCCGTCGCACTGGCCGCAAATTTTGCACCCCTCCTGCTCGATAACGCTCTTCGAGCACCGGTTCTCGCAGCCGTTGCAAACGGCCTTTGCGCAGCTCTTCTGGCATTCCACCACGCAGCTCGCGAAGGCCGTTTGGCAGTAGTCGGGGCACTCGCAAGGCGCGCATGCGTCGCAAAACAACCGAAACGAGGCGTACCACACGCCGCTTTCCGGGTAAGGTATCAGAACCGACGAGTTGTCCGCCGTTTTGTTCAATTTTAGGGGCGATTCCGCGGATATCCCGTTGAAAGTGCACTTGTTGGGGAGGTAGGGGGTTTCTATGCCGTACGGTCTAATACAAGCTATTATCTAAAAATAACACACATATTATGCTGGATTTATACAGTACAAATTAACATTAAGATTATCATTAAGAAGTTAAATGAACGTAATCCATTGGAAGCTTTTATGCAACACATTAACATTACCTTTAACCTTAAAGCCTGAGTTATAGATTGCCTTCTTTCCTTCCTTCCTCCCGTAGAAGATGAACATTACGTAATTGTCACCATTAACATTTCCCATATTTTGAAGTTATTTTAATATTTTAAAGTATCAATAATTGTTAAGTTTAATTAAAATTAATAAAGGGCAATGTTAATGGTGGCAATTACGTCAAAAATGTTTATTTATATTGTAGTGCCAGTTATAGATTCCCGTTTTATCTTTCAGCGTAAAGGTCTTTCCCAGTAAACACAATTACGTAAATATGACGTAAATATGACGTCATGTCAAGTCACGCTTACGTAAGATATAGGTCACACTTGAGTCATACAAGAGTCATTATTTCACACTTTCTTACGTCAGACTCTGACGTAAACATCTTGATGTAACACTGACATCATACTATTACATAATATTTACGTAATAAATGTGACATAAATATGACCTCCTTATTTTTCATCATGGGGCAAAATATGTAAATACTGAAACAGCTCACTTGGCTGAAATCAGTTCCCTCTTGACGTTAAATGAGTGAAATTGTGGGTTCGCGGCTTTGGCCTTGCAAAGCAGGCACTGTTTAAGCAGAGGGCCACGGAAATTTCATGACGATCCAGACGGAACAATCCTGGCTCCAACAAAGAATTCCACTGAAAAAGCTAAATTATCGTAAGGCCACAATTCGTGACTCGTTTATTTGCCGAGGTTCGGATTCCTAAATCTCAAATTGCAATGCAGCCAGTGTCAACTTATATACTTAACGAATAGTGCCACATAAGCGAGATGTATTATGCAATAATGGTTGCCTATGATAAGTAGATTTCTACTATATTATAGTAGATGCCTACTTATCATAGGCAACCTTACTGCATATTGCAACTGTTAACAATTAATATATCAATGTTATTTGACAACTTTACCCTTATATATTATAATATTATTATAAAAATTTTTTATCAATGAAAAATTCTTTAATAGTTTACATATATTTTTAAAAATCTCTTGGTTTCTTAATTATTAATACTAAATATTCTGTGTACTTAAATAATTTCGTTTGTCAATTTCATTTCTTTTATTTATTATTTTTTAAATTTTAAAAATATACTAATACCAACATTATTGTGCAAATACCTATCTATTATTATAGGTATTATATTAATATATAATTATACCATATTATATTATAATATTAAATTCTTTAAATTTGGTTGTATTATTTTTTATAGTTTTATTTTTTGAACCTCTGTATTTGGAAATTGAAATTTTAGTATGTTAAACAAGGCATTAAATATATAGGTACTACCAGAGACAAGGGTACTCTGGGTACTACTTTTAGACTTAAAGCAATTTTGAAAAATTTCTAAAATGGCGTCGTACTGTCAAAAGGTCACATTTTTTTCAATGGGAAATGGAATCATTACCGAAAAGGTATTTATTGCAAGCTGATACTTTATCTAATTTATGAAGCTGATCAAAACCAACTCACAATGGATTTTGAACCAACTACTAATTTTTCAGATTCTTTACAGGGTATGTCAGAAGTAAGAACAAAAAAAAATCGCTTTTTATGAGTAGCTATAGCTATAGCTAGGGACAATATTCAACATTTAAAAATTATTTTTATTTTAGAAATTTAAAATTTTAGTATTTTAATAGGTACCTAACATTTTTTGACATGCATGGATTTAAAAAAAACAAATGACGTCGTACTGCCAAGGTCACATTTAAAAAAATTTGAAGTGAGTGAAATATCATTTCAGGTCTTTGAAAGCGTAACTACTTATTTTTTCGATTGTACAGGGTGGAACAAAAAAATTCCACTTTCACCAAAAGCGCCATTTTCAAAAAATAATAACAGTAACATACAATACAAAAATAACAAGTTAACACGTAATAACACGTAAATCTTTTGTTGATAATTTTTTACAATTTAAAAAATAAGTAGGTACTTGCAAGTACTTGCAACCATGATTAATCATACCTACATGATTTTTCACATGACCATTGAATAAAATGTGTACTTTTGAAAGTACGACGCTATTTTCAAAATTTTTTACGTCATAAAGCAGTAGGAACCGGAATCATAAAAATCTATAATATATTATGATGGTTATTACATATTAAATTAAGATACATTATTTTTTGATTGGTTTTAAACCATATTTTCATTTAATCGACCAAGTACTATATTTTTTGGCTACTTATAAGTAGCCAAAAAATTCAAGGAACTTCGCGTTATTTCTTTCATCATGCTAGATGCAAAAGTAATTTTAAAATATGAAATTTGGTGTATTTTAATGTTTGAATTAAACTCATTGGTAAGGAAAAGTATACTGGATATATCCACTGATTTTATTGTTTAAAATAATCGGCGTCAATTTCAATTAATAGAATTTACTTACGTTATTTTACTCAATGTTTGAATTAACCATTTCAATCAATAAAAAATAAAAATTATGTTTGACTATTTCACTCATTGAAAATAAAAGTCCATTCATTGAAATTAGTTTAATTCAAACAATAAAATACAGTGAATTTCATACTTTGAAATTACTTTTGCATCTAGTTCGTCTAAATAATATGTATGGCAGATTTCTTATGTCAGTCTTACCTTACAAAGTGACCTTAAACTTATGTAATGGTATGACAGATTTCTTACGTCAGTCTTACGTAAGAAAGTGACCTAAAACGTATGTAATAGTATGACGTATTTCATACGTCAGCCTTACGTAAGAAAGTGACCTTACACTTAGGTAATATTATGACAGATTTATTACGTCAGTCTTACGTAAGACAGTGACCTAAAAGTTATGTAATATTATGACAGATTTCTTATGTCAGTCTTACGTAAGAAAAGTGACTTTAATATTACGTCACGATATGACTTTAATATTACATAAGATGTACGTAATATGTAAGTCATTTAATTACATCATATAAAAGTCACGTTTTGGGTCAGTATTATGTCACTATGACGTAAAAATTGTATTACCTAGATATGATCTACGTGTTACGTAAATTTTAGGTCATAAGTCACGGTTTGGTTCACTGGGTTGACATGACCAATCACAGTGCTTGTTATGGACATGCGCTGTAGGGTGACAGCGCATAGGCACAAAATATTTAAAATACATAGGACCGGTTTTTCAATCGTTGGTTAAGTTTATCTTACGGTTAACTTCCTTAGATACTATTGTTAACATAATGGTTTAGTATTATTTAAGATAGGTGTTCAGTTTATTAAATAATTTGTGTCTTTAATAAGATATTTAGATATTGTTTATGATCAATGTCTTTCATTTTTAGAAACGTTGCTTTGTAAAACCCCGTAGTTTCCCGGTCTTGGTAAAGTGGGCGATTCTTTTTTTCTTTTTTTTTCATTATACTGCCCTACTATGGAGAAAGGCAGTAACTACAAATGCGTTTTCTTGTGCTATGATAAAGCTATGGACATTTTGTATCTTAATTCAACAAAGAAATGCAGTAAACTATCTTTTAAGTTAAATAAATCAGTTAAATACCTACTGATTTTTATAAAAATGTAGTTTATGCTAATTTCCCACAAATTTCTTGTTTAGCAGTTACTGCCTTTCTCCATAGTTGGGCAGTATACAACAAGCTGCCTGGGCAATTAAAATTGTGATCACTGCACTAATATATAAATGATTATCTTTCATATTTACACACAATGGGTAAAACGCAGAATATAAACAAAAACAAATGTCAACCATTTTAGGTGTCATCGCGCATGGTTACGGAATTTTACACGGAAATCTATAAATTGACTTTTTACAAGACGCACAAATCGTACGGGCACGACTACGGGACGAAGGAAGGAAGGCAATCTATAATTCAGGCTTAAGAGATTACCAACTTTTATCTTCTTATTAAGAAGTTCTTAATGATAATGTTAATTTTTATTTCTTTTGAGCAGGTTGGCGACGCAATTTAAAAAAAACCGTGTCAGTATTACTGACTCAGTAATGCCAACATACCCGAAAATAAAATAAAAATTACTGCTGAATGATTTTTTGTTCAATGATTGTGTTATTTGGTTTATTCTTTGACGTGCAGTTCATAGTTTTCATTCATTTTACCTAACAGATGCTAAAACGGGGTTAAAACAAAATTCAAACAAACCAAAAATGTCAGATGTCAAAATTACTTTAACTTATACGCATGCTTAATTTGCCACTAATTTTGCTGTATAAAATGCCCACCTTAAATTAGCTTAATGTTAATGCGTGCTGCATAAATCCAGCAATATTTAGGTGGAGAAAAGTGACCAAAGATGGAATTGTATCCCCAATAATGGAATACCTTATATAGAAACACATTTCAAACAGTTAAAATTTCCGGAAAAATTGAGACGGTGAAAATAAACGGAAAAATTAACAAATTTTCATTTTGCATTTTTTATTTTATTTAAAGCGTAAATTAAAAAGTCAATTTTTATGAAAATGTCTAAATCTGTACACTGGTATCAAGAAAAAAGTGAATTTTTGACTTTGATTATAATTATATAAATTATAATTGATAATTATAATAATTATTCCTATTTTTATAATTCATTAAGAATCTTCTACCGGGGGGTCGCAAAAAAACTAATTCGGTGCTGTATTAACAAAACTATTATAGTTATCGATTTATAAAATTATAATTTTGTAATTTAACTTTTGAAAAACGTTTACGTTTATTTTCAAAAATAAATTCAATTCAATTCAATGTTTCGTTTTGTTTTTTTTCTGTAATAAATTTTTTATTCTTAAGAATATTTTTTTTAATTAATATATTTTTGTTGTTGATTGCTTTGTATATTTAGAAAAAAATCATTTTTTTCCGAAAAAGACAATTTTTCCAAGGCCTGGTAAAAAAACAGTTTTTTTCACCAATTTTTTCCGCCACTTTAAAGTGTTTTATTTTTCGACGATAGGTACATTCATGAATAAATTAACATTTTTTCGTATTACCCTTTAAATAAAATTTTAAAAATGAAAAAGTAAATTTTTCTGAAAATTTCCCAATTTTTCCGGTCTTTTTTCCGCCGGCTCAATTTTTCTGGACATTTTAAAACCCTATATGGGCACCTTTTTTATAATTGGCCATCTTATTGTAATTTAAATTTTTGGGCAATTTTTATGTTTTGATTTAATTAATAATTAATTTATAATTATAGTTAATGACCAAATTGTTTTTCCTTAAATAATAGAAATTTGCTTTAAAAATTAAATTAAATTGTACTTGCCTGATATGAAAGTTCCCGATCAAAAATTACGAAATACCCGATTTTACCCGCAATTTATTCAAAAGGTAACGCAAAAAAATGCATAACAATTTTTCTGAAAATTTACAAATTTTTATGGATGAATCCGTAAACTGAAATCGAGAAAAAAGTGAATTTCCGTGGCTGATTATAATCATATAATATTATGATTCTATTTTTTTTATCAGTCCGCAAAATCAATTCAAATTAATTCAATTCAATTTAAGTTAGGTTTTTTCTGTAATAATATTGTTTGCTACTTTTTTTAAAATGTGTACATTTTCCAAAAAATTAAACAATTTTTCCCAACAAAATTTTTCAAGGCCTGGGAAAAACGGTTTTTTCCCCAATTTTTCCGACACTTTAAAACCCTAGACATTAAAGCTATCTAGCTAAAACTTTAATTAAAACTGAACTATTTTTTTAACTTACCACATGGTTTTCTGGCTCATCCACCAATTTTTTGTTCACCACTCTGGGCTTGAAAGCCATAATAAACTGTAAAGTTCCACCCACATCTCTCTGGTGAATCCTAAACTTTAATACTGTCAATTGATCACTGGTTACATTTATAGCTATAGGTAGCACGGAATCCAGTTCGTCTTCGAGAACATAGGAAAAAACGAAACTGTCAGAACTGGAATCTCTCAGCAAACTGTATTCCTTAAAGCTAATTAATTCGGTAAGTTTATGTCTATTGTTCAGTTGCTTGAATAAAGTGTTGTTGTAGTAAATGATTTGTTCGGTTCTGTTGGGTAAGGTTTTGATTAAAACCTCCGTCTTGGTTTTTTGGATGCTGGAAAAGTATCTCACTTTAAATGACAGTGTGGACAAATCTTCAGACTTCGTTTTATTATTGTCGTTGGTGTTGTTGAAAATAAATTGCAAGTAGTGCCAAGAATCTTCCATCACTGGAAAGGCCAGCTCTCCAGTTTTGTTGTTTTTATCCAGATCTAACATTGCCAAAGTTTTATTTTTACTTGGTACAGTCAATGAGTTAACTCTTGTGATGAGTTGGTCAGTGTTTGGGGAAAATATTATTTCTCTTATTATCACTATAGCATGGTCTATGTCTTTTGGCACAAAGAATTTAAAGTATTTTGGTTTATTATTGGAACCTGCCATAACATATTCTTCCTCATCTGTGATTGTTTCAATATCTTTTACTTTTTTAATGTATACTTTTGACTCTAAGTAACACAGACAATCAGAACCCAAACCTAGAGTACAAAAGTTAATATATTTTTTAATAATAAATTTTAAATTTACCCTGTTGTTTAATAGGATCATACCTAGGATCAGTATATTCAAGAAATGTGGCTGCTATATACTGCCCAGGTAAAGGTGATGTTATGTTTATATAGTAAGGCTTATTATCACTCTTTAATTGAATATGGTAAATTTCGTTCCTTGATATATTCTTTAAACCTTTTGGTATTTTAGAATTGTCTGGGTTTAACAAAGGGGGAGCCTCATATTTCATGTATACATCTACATTTCTTGCTGAGCAACCTATGTAATAAAAAATCAATATGTAAATTAAATATATTTAGATATTGCTTTAAACAATTAATTAAAAACAAATAAACAAGTATTTATTTGCTGAACAACCTATGCAATAAAAAATCAATATGTACCTACCCACAATCCACTGTGTGGATTGTGTACCTACCTAAATTAAATATATTTAAATATTGTTTAAACAATTAATTAAAAACAAATAAACAAGTATTTTTGCTTAACCCCTTTAAAATCCTATTTTTGTTAATTGTACTGTATTAAAGCTAAAAATAAATTAATTATGTTTTACCATTCCTTTTATTTATTTATTTAAAATGTTATTTAAAACACCCAAACAAAATTGCTGCAAAAATAACATAATTTGGTCAATTAATTTACAAAATTTTTGTGTATTATACTTCTATGGATAGGGTGATTCCATTTATTAGCCACCAATGAGTGCACCTCATATACTCTAATTTTATTTCTTTTTTAACTGTAAATAGACATGGACCCAAGAAGTGAAAAAAACTTCCCTTTTCTTTTCTCCCCCTATCACCTATTTATACAGGGCTACGCAAAAGTTACTATGCAGACCTAACTTTAAAAATTTTTACTTTTTTTGCTAATAAAGCTATCGACATTAAACAAACTGTTAATTGTTAAGAAAATATTTCTCTTTTAAACCATATAGGACACATTTAGTTATTGATGCCCTAAATGGTCTTTGGGAATTTTTTTAAAAATGCAATTTTTTGGCAAAATTGTCTAATTTTATAAATTCATATATTCTTAGAACAACTTGCCAGCAAAAATTTTTTAATGTAGTTTGTTACCATAGATCTTACTCTATATAAAAGCAATGAAAACATTTTCAAATAATATTGGCTAAGAGTTCAAAAAAATATAATAAAAATCCATGTTTTCGAAAAATCACTATTTTCACCCATTTCCTGGTTTAAAAAGGCTATGTTTGAGTGAGTCGATTTAAACCAATTTATGCTTATCATCACATGCACTTATTGGCCTCCAATAACCATTAATAAAATTATTGTGTATTTTGCTTTTAACTGGGCTGTGGCTGTATGTACAGCCCAGCTATAAGCAAAATACACAATATGCCCACCTGACTTTCAGCCATTTCATGGTTTAAAAAGGCTATGTTTGAGTGAGTCGATTTAAACCAATTTATGCTTATCATCACAGGCACTTATTGGTCTCCAATAATCATGAATAAAATTATTATGTATTTTTCTTTTAGCTGAGCTGTGGATGTATACAGTGCTTGCAAATCCAAGTCCGACCGCACTGGAAAGGACGGCTGTTCAATACCCGCGTGAAAAGAACAAGGATAGAACGCCAAATAGAATTTGATTGGCCAGAGCCGGCAGGCTACGACAACGCATACCCATCGCGCACCTTGCAGCGTGCTTGCCTCGAGTCGAGGATATCAGAACGAGAACTGCAGTGGTGCCAGCAAGAGGTAGTAATTTTAGTAAAAAAGATTATTTAATTAAAAAATGTACACGTTGGAACAAAAAGTTCAGATTTTAATCTGGCACTTTGCTGGTAATTCTGAACGAGAAATTCAAAGATTATTTGCGGGAATGTTCGAGGCCAGACCAAACAGAGAAACAATTCGACGAAACGTTAATAATTTTCTCACGCACGGTTGTGTAGTTCCGATGCAGTTCCGACGGGAATTTTTATAATGGCTGCCTATGGGGGCTTGTTCGAACATTTAATTTAATTTTTGAGTTTATTTATTTTTATTATTTATTTTTAGAGTTTTATTTTTATTTAGAGTTTTATTTTTATTTATAGTTATTTTTATTCAGAATTATTTTTTATTTGAGAAATCTTTTTTATTAAGAATACTATTTTTGTTGTTGCCCTAGTTCTCAAGGAAAAAAATCAAACAATTTTATTTTTAGGATTCGGGTATAAAATATTTAAAAAGAAAATTAAAATGTGCATCTACACTCTAACGCAGTTTGCTTAACACTAAATCATTTAGTCTAAATGCAGCCAGACTGAGAGTTGACCTCGCTTACAATTCGCACGCATCCGGGGCTCTGGCCAATCAAATTCTATTTGGCGTTCTATCCTTGTTCTTTTCACGCGGGTATTGAACAGCCGTCCTTTCCAGTGCGGTCGGACTTGGATTTGCAAGCACTGTATGTCCACCTGTGACTATATCCATATTATTAACCATATATTATTAACCATATATTTCGAAAAAGCGTATTACATCTTTAAAATAACTTGACAGCCTTGAATTGACTTCTAATTCATTCTAAATAAAAATATAAAATATAAAAACCACATACAGTGGCGTCGAAAATTAACTACCCATTTATTTATTTTTTAAATTAAGAAAACATATATGTTATTATAATCAAATGTACAAAAAATTAATTAAATGAATAAAAGACATACTTTTCATAAACTTTATATTAAAACAAAATAAAACAGGTATTAAATCCTAAATTTGAATTAAACCTAACTGCATATAATTAAACTGAAGAAATCATATTCTTAACTTTTACAATCACCTAAAAAACCTATTTACTATTTTTTACCTCTAAAAAGTTATTTGAATCGGAAAATTTTCTTATGTGTATAATGTCTATCAAGAGGAATAAGTTAACGACTTATGGCCTTTAAAATTTAAAGTTTAAATGGATCGCAGCAGACTTCACCAAAAATGTGGTAAAATTATATAGATACTTTAATTTGTGATACCTACGTACAAATATCGGTTACAGTTGCATCCACTCGCCATTCCCTTCTTTTTAATAAAAATAAAGTTCTACTTTACTGCTGATTTCTTATACTTTACTGCCGATTGTTGACTACTTTCGGCAGATTTCGGATAAAAATATTTTTTGCGATTTTCCAAGATTGAATCTTGTACTAAGGAGGAAAACAAATAATAGAATGGCGAGTGGATGCAACTGTAACCGATATTTGTACGTAGGTATCACAAATTAAAGTATCTATATAATTTTACCAACATTTTTGGTGAAGTCTGCTGCAATCCATTTAAAGGCCATAAGTCGTTAATTTATTCCTCTTGATAGACATTATACACATAAGAAAATTTTCCGATTTATATAACTTTTTAGAGGTAAAAAATAGTAAATAGGTTTTTTAGGTGATTGTAAAAGTTAAGAATATGATTTCTTCAGTTTAATTATATGCAGTTAGGTTTAATTCAAATTTAGGATTTAATACCTGTTTTATTTTGTTTAAATATAAAGTTTATGAAAAGTATGTCTTTTAGTCATTTAATTAATTTTTGTACATTTGATTATGTTTTCTTAATTTAAAAAATAAATAAATGGGTAGCTAATTTTCGACGCCACTGTATGTGGTTTTTATATTTTATATTTTTATTTAGAATGAATTAGAATTCAAAGGCTGTCAAGTTATTTTAAAGATGTAATACGCGTTTTCGAAATATATGGTTAATAATATGGATATAGTCACAGGTGGACATATACATCCACAGCCCAGCTAAAAGAAAAATACATAATAATTTTATTCATGATTATTGGAGACCAATAAGTGCCTGTGATGATAAGCATAAATTGGTTTAAATCGACTCACTGAAACATAGCCTTTTTAAACCATGAAATGGCTGAAAGTCAGGTGGGTATATTGTGTATTTTGCTTATAGCTGGGCTGTACATACAGCCACAGCCCAGTTAAAAGCAAAATACACAATAATTTTATTAATGGTTATTGGAGGCTAATAAGTGCATGTGATGATAAGCATAAATTGGTTTAAATCGACTCACTCAAACATAGCCTTTTTAAACCATGAAATGGCTGAAAATAGTGATTTTTCGAAAACATGGATTTTTATTATATTTTTTTGAACTCTTAGCCAATATTATTTGAAAATGTTTTCATTGCTTTTATATAGAGTAAGATCTATGGTAACAAACTACATTAAAAAAATTTTGCTGGCAAGTTGTTCTAAGAATATATGAATTTATAAAATTAGACAATTTTGAGAAAAAATTGCATTTAAAAAAAAATCCCAAAGACCATTTAGGGCATCAATAACTAAATGTGTCCTATATGCTTTAAAAGAGAAATATTTTCTTAACAATTAACAGTTTGTTTAATGTCGATAGCTTTATTAGCAAAAAAAGTACAATTTTTTTAAGTTAGGTCTGCATAGTAACTTTTGCCTAGCCCTGTATAAATAGGTGATAGGGGGAGAAAAGAAAAGGGGAGTTTTTTTCACTTCTTGGGTCCATGTCTATTTACAGTTAAAAAAGAAATAAAATTAGAGTATATAAGGTGCACTCATTGGTGGCTAATAAATGGAATTACCCGATATATATATTTTTTTTAATTCGAAGGGCTACAAGGTTGGTTAAATTAGAGAAAGTTGTGTAATTACAAGCCTATTAACATGAAATTTATAAATTAAAAAAAGCCAAAGGTTCTCAAAATATTTGAACAAAACTAAAAACCTTTCAAAACCAAAAATTGTTATAACTTCTTTATTCCTGGGAATTAAAAAAAAGATAGTTTATTTATTTATTTATACACATTATTCTACATTTTTATTTAATTTTGTGGCTACTAAGTACCTATATTTTTTATCATTTATTGGGAAAAGCACTAATTGGGAAAAACATAATATTAATTTATTTCATCATTTTTTAAAATATTTTGATTTTCCATTATAAGTTTTAAATATTAAATTACAATTGATGGCTTAGCTGTTTGATAAATCAAATATTAGATACCTAGGTAGATTTATTAACAAAGTCTTTCATTATTAACTTACTTCCAAAAATGGACATATCCAGCTCCTCAGCAGTTAAATTGATAACAACATGGGAAATCTCCTTGGGAATATTTATAGCCAAAATAATAGCATCTGTGTAGGATTCATATTTTGATAGAACACTTGTTCGAGAGGTGGAAATTAATTTTAAATCTGAACATTCTGCCAAATTATTCAACAAAAAAATGAATATTACTTTTTCAATCATCTAAAATATTATATTAAATTATTTAAATAAGTAACAAAATAAAACTTACTTCTTTTAACAAAGTTTCAACTCATAAAAGGTCAATTATTAATCATCTTAAATTATAAATTGAAAAATTGCCCTGTGAACACATTGTTTAAGTTTTTTCATAATTTTGCTATCATCCAAAATGTATAAGTACCAAAATAAATACGACTCCGCCCTTTTCAATAAGATTGTTTAATTAAATCATAGTTTTAAATGAAATAAGAACATTTTCACTTTAATTTGGAGGTTATCGACAAACGTCAATAAAATATGTAAATATACAACGTTGCCAGCTGATTACAAACTTGCTGTCAAATTCAATTTTATTTTTTGTTATTTAATTTGTTTATATGGTGCCGTTTTTTATTTTTATTACCTAGGTAATTATAATAAAAATATAATAAAAAACTAATAATTCGTACCCGTATAATATTATTATTTTTTATTATTTAAATAATCATGGCTTGCTTATGCAAATTAATTTTTATGACGATATTTTCTATTATTCCAAAATAAAATTTACTTAAGTTAACGGAATAAACTAAAAAAATTAAAAACACGTTAAAATCGTTGTTATTGAAAACGCGAGAGAGTGGCTATCCGTGAGAATTTTAATAAGAAAACTAGTTTCATAATGAAAAACCTGTTCCAATTTTGCATAAATTTATCTTGTCGAAAAATTCCCATTGATAGAGGCTGCAAAAAATTAAGCATCCCCATTGTTGTGCTTGCAATTTCAAACTGGACGCGAGTTGCATGTGCAAAACCGGCTTGCGACAATTCAAAGGGTGATTTCTGGAATTTGGGGTTAGGTTTGCTCGGTTCTCAAGATTTATTTATTTTATTCTCAGTTGGAGTGTAAATTCTTAGCAGATATGTCGCACATAATCAAGGTATGTTATATTTGGCCTAATTTTGTTTTTTTACGCACTGTTACCTACGATTATTATTGTTTTAGCCTATTTTGTATTCTTATTGGAGAAGTTCATGTTCCTGGAGAGTTAGAATTGGTAATATATCTATTATTTTTTAATGAATAATTATATAAATTATTCATATTTTCAAAACTTAAATAAGTCATTTATTATCTATGTATGCTTATGTTATCAATTGTTTTTATTATATTTGTTAATTAAATTAATATTCAACATTTAACTAATTGAATTTTAAATTAAAATTTAAATAAATCTTAATACTTACTTTTATATTTTTCAAAACACATTTACGTGCGTTTTATTTCAAGGATATTTTATACTAATTATTGTAATAATAGTCACCCAATTTTACACATAATTACCTGTGTTTGGATCAGGTGGAATAATTAAAATTACATTTTTAATTTTTTTTATTAACTATAGAAATATTTCAGCCCTAAATTTAAAGGAAATTCCCTATGACATAAAACCAGTATCCCTGATAAAATCTGGTGGAGAACAACATTCAAATGAATTCAGAGACATAAACCCTATGGAACAGGTGCCAGCTATGCACATTGATGGTGTTACGTTAGTTGAATCGCTTAGTATAATGTATTATTTGGAAGAAACACGACCACAAAGGCCGTTATTGCCACCTGATTTTATAAAGAGAGCCAAAGTGAGGGAAATTTGTGAGGTTATAGCCTCTGGGATACAACCTTTGCAAAACTTGACGGTTTTGATACATGTCGGTGAGGAGAAAAAAAATGAATGGGCCAAGCACTGGATAAATAGAGGTTTTAGGGCTGTTGAGAAATTATTGTCATCTTCAGCTGGTAAATACTGTGTTGGTAAGTGAAAAATATATAAAAGTTTTATTTAAATAAAAAATTTTACTAACAATTTAAAAAAGCTAACAAAATTAGTTATTAGTTGGTGACTTTATGGCATTTTAGTCATGGGCTGAAGTTATCAGCATTGGCTTTCAGGCTGAAGTTGGTTTTAAGTAATTTGGCAGCTGTCAAATGTCATACAATTGTCAAAATAGTGCCCCTATGAAATAATACGAATATGTGGAAATTATTTTATTATCTCAATACAAAAATTAGTATATTATTATATGAGAGATAATGCAGGCTATTATTCACAAGGATGAGCCGTCAGGCGAGAGACGTAATTCATCTGAGTAAATAATGCGCATTATTTCGAGTGTAATACTACCTATGCTTTTTCTACTCCAATTAAGTGATTTTCATTTATAACAAAATTTATTATAACCTCACTTTTCCCCGATTTTAAAGATCATTATAGTCGCCCCTCGTATTTATAAACAAATATGACATCTGTTAACCTTACTTTTCCCAATTTAAAACCCGATTGGTTCAAATAACAGTGAATATTGAAATCAGCCAATCACTGTTGCCTAACAACGTGAATAATGAATTCATTTTTCACGTTGTTATGCCAGTCGGTTATATTGGTTACCATTATTTATGAAAAAAACACAAATAATGTCAATAATATGCAATAGGAGTAAAATTTTTACTAAAAAAAACATAATTATTAAAGATTCTTGACGCTAATCTTTGAAAAGTTTATTTGCACGTTTGTACTGACCTTTTTAAACTAGTATTCGCCCATGAAGCATTGAAATTTCAGGTGGTGTACCCATAAAAACGTCCTTGTAACTTAAACTATGAAAAACTGCTTAAATAACGCATTTAAACGGTTGTTAGTCCATTTTTAAGGAAGAAATTTCAATTTTATAGGATAATTCGACAAACTGACACTGGGGCATTCCACGTTACTCGGTAATTTTTGTCCCGCCCGTCACAATTAAAAATTGTGAGTAAAAACCACAAGTTATAAAATTAATATTTTATAATATTATTTTTATTGTGCTTATAACTTATTAAAAGCATAATAAAACAATATTTTTAAATAAATTTTATAACGTGTAGTTTTTACTCACAATTTTTAAGTGTGACGGGCGGGACAAAAATCCCCGAGTAACGTGGAATGACCCCACTGTAATGTTGACAGCCGGTAAAACAGATTCATATCATTCAATTTTGCAACAAATTTTGGTTACGGTTTTTGCATAGATGTCGCTTTATACTAAAATTTAAATTAATTCAGTTATAAATTACTATTTATAATATTTGTCGTAGAAAAAGTATAGTATACAACTTGTTTATGAACTTTTCTAGACACTCATGCTTGATAACATTATTTCCAAGTTTTAATTAAGTTTTTTTAACAATTGTTTAATTTAATAGTTTTAAGTAGACCATTTAAATTGAGTCAAATATCAAACCCAAGCAACAATTTTTACGTATATTGGACTATTGAAAACTAATTTGTTTTGCGACAGTAACCGGTCTCTTCATTACTAAGTTACAACTAAAGTGGGTACCTAACAATTATTGAGTTCCAAAAAGGTAACAAATATGTCACTAGCTATACACTTCTACTATTTGGAACGTAGCTGCTACGGTACTAGAACGTTCCAATATCGTTGCTAGAGCGTTATAATTACTTTTATTTATTTGTTTTTACTTCTATATTAACTGTCTTTGTCAAACTTATATTAGATTATACTATCCCTCCTTTTTTAAATGGAACCACTACGGACTTGGCTTTTCAATGTCGCCGTTTATTAAATATGTACTGGTAGTTTATAATTTCCAGAATAACAATATAATGTTTAATTAGGCAGGTACATTTATAAACCCTTTAAATTTTACTGAAGTTTTTGTAAAATAAATGCGCTTTATCAATATTTAAGTATAAACAAATTATTTATATAATAATGTTTATAAATTAAAAAATCTTAATATTTATTATTAATTTTTTATTTAATTATTAATACCGTCTATTACCAACAAAATTACTATTTATTAAAAAGTAAACAACCATTTACAAACAATTAAAATAATTTATACTTTACATTACCACATACAGTAAAAAATGACCGATAAGAAGCATTTTCCTTTGAAGTAGTTTTCGCTACTTCAAATTTTTTTGCCACCTTAATTTACTTTACGGTAGATAGTTTTGGTTTGTACCATAAACGTTCCAAATACTAAAATAATAACTTTTAAGTTATTAACTTTGTAGTTTTTAACTCATGTTCCAGTTTCGAGATTTTAACTTGCAAAGGGGCTACAAAGTAAAAATAATTATAATGTAACCTTTAGGTAGCAACCGAAAGTAACTGCTACAAATTAAATTTACTTGAAAGTTTTTTTTACTTATAACACCTTTTTTAAAGTTGCAAAATCTTCTTGGGGGCAACCAAGTTTTACTTAAATGTTTATTACTTTATAGTAACCCCATTTAATGAAAGAATGAAGTTTGTGTTACAAAATATTGCTATTTAAAAGTTAGAATTACTTTTAAGTAAAAATTAAAGTAGCTGTTTAGTATACTTAACTAATTTAAAGTTATCACCACTTTGGTAAGGGTTTTTGGAACCAAAAAGGCTGCTTGGGAAGATGAAAGGTCAAAAACAGTTTTTCTTGATTATCTATTGATTTTACATATTCAGATGTCAAAGTTGGACATATAAACAGCTCATGCTGATAGAGGAAAGGCTAGGCTAGTTTGTAGACCTATTTTATTAAATTTTAAATGACAATAAATAAAAAATGTTTTTTTAGGGGATGAAATAACATTGGCAGATTGTTGCCTGATACCACAAGTTTTTAATGCTAGAAGATTTCACGTGGATTTAAGGCCTTTCCCAATTATATTAAGGATAGATAGAGAACTGGAAAATCATCCATGTTTCAGGAGTGCCCACCCTAGCAATCAACCAGATTGCCCTCCTGAAGCTATTAAATAGGTATATTTTTAATTTATTATTTTGCTAATTGCTCCTGACCTATTTTAAGCCTTTTTTTAATTTAAAATTTTAAAATATAATGTGGTTACCACATTGTGGTACTTATATCTTATACACCAACAAAGCTTTAATATTACAAATTAAAATAATCATTTACTTACCTTAATATTGCTTTGGTCCAGGAGAAACTACGGCATTTTAAATTTTGTTTTAACAAATATTCTTTAATATACCTTAGTTAAAAAATTTAGCTTGTTTTATGATATTATAGAATATATTTAAAACCAATTTTAAAATAATAGTACAAATGTTAAATATATTTTTTATGTATATTTAGATATATTTTTGCTTTATTTCTACTCAATAATGCTTATTGTTACTTTTGCTTTATATTACTTTAATTTTGTTATTATTTGCAATTTTACCATGCTTTTTATGCTTTTGCTCTGCATCTGTAAGGAAAAATTTGCAATATTTTTTTAATTACCTATTCCTATGGATAAAGGCAGACTAATATAAAATGGTTTTTATATCATGTTTTTTGGAAAAAATATAAATTGTTAATGTTGTAGGGATTCAAAATTTTATTTCCTTACAGGATTTTGTAATGTCTATAAATATGTTAAGAACTTGAATATTAAATATTTTACTTTTTAAGAAAGTAGAGTATGCTTTTAATAAATGTTTTTTACACATTTACGAGTTGCGTTACTTACCTTATAATTTTTTGTTTTGATATCCAATATATTTTATAATCAATTATGTGAAATGTATAAAATTTAGAAAATAATTTGATTCAGCCTTATATTTATTAATATCATCTTTCTAAAAGGTACAATTAAAAATCGTTAGGTACATAATTTAATATAAATTAAAAATTCCTTACAAAAATTTTGACTAGAATAAAGTACTAAATGGACGGAGTTAAATTAAAAGTGAAAACCGTTAAGTGTAGGTACTAAATATAAATAATAAAAAACTGTTCTAATGAACGATATGCAAACACTGTACAAGCGAAACGTGACTTCAAAAAAGCTCATCATTAGTTGAAAATAAAACAGGAAGCAATGGGTATGGGTATCGAACGCCTCATTGGTAAATTAAATTTGAATATCACAGTTCTTAATTTGATTGTGCATATCAAGTGAGTATTTAAAAAAAAACCGCCGCAATCAACAGGTGGTCATTTGAGATGCGTTATTAAAATTGAATATTAAAGTAACACTATTATAGTTAACACGATTTTTGCAGAAAGTGGGTGATTCTTTTTGAAGGAACAAAATATTGATGTACATGTTAAGAAAAAACCTTGTCCTTGATATTTTGCTTGGGGAGTGACAAAAAATAAATGTTCTTTCAAAAGGAATCACTCTAGGAGACATACATGACATTTCACAGTGAATTCAACCCAGGGGTTGTTCCTTGATATTTTCTATGGAAAGTAAATTCTATAGGAATTGATTAACAAATTGGAGCTGTGATTTCATTATTTCCGATAGAAGCATTTATTTGAGAAACAATACAAACCCAGCAATATAAAGAATTCTTCATTCTAATTTTAATACTCAATTTTACGTGAAATATCATGTACCTAGGAACCACACATTTATATACTGCAAAATAAAACAATGTAGGCTAGTTTAACTGAAAAGAGTTTCTGCTAATAGTATTTTTTCTGCAAGAAAGACATAGGGAAGTATACTTGAGATAATGATGTTATAGGTATGATTATCACAGTAAAATCCAATGAGACGCCGTTTTATGCATGTCGATGTAAAAAATACGTATAAAGTAATGAGGAGAAATGAATAAATACGATACGATTATGGCACTATGGATTTTATTGAGTTAAAATGTGTTTGACAATGTAGTGTGACTAACTTATTTAAAAACCTGACGGTTTGCGACAGTGTTCTCAAAACCAAAACAAAAACCTTGGAAACTAGACATAACCCGTTTTACCAACCTTTAAAATATATATCACTGTGTACAACAAATTAGTGACTTACACGCATAAAAATGTTCTCGTCATTTTTATGCGTGTTTACATGTGTAACTTAAATTAATAAAATAATAACCCATTTACATAATTTTAAGTAAAATCTTCCTCAATGGTGCTGGTATGTCCCCAGTGAAGGGAAATTTAAATAGTGCAATTTTTTAACACGATTAACACATTTTTTTTTGGTAACTTATCTGTGCCAATTGGCCGCGTCATTCATAATCCATTCACGTCGTCACCTGAGTATTGGTTTGTGCTATCTCCATTTTTTACCATTTTGAGATTTATGCATTTTCGGAAAGTTGAAGTTAGTTTGTTCCATCTCCATAATAGTATTTTGATATAATTTTGTCAGTTTTTATTTTAGGTTAGTCTAAATCCGAGTTTTGTATAAAAGGTTTAAAATTGGTTTACTCTATCTCCAATATTTCGCTTACAGGCTTTCTTTTGCTCTATGTGTTTGTACAAATCTGAAAATAATTAGTATTTGTTTGTGCTATATCCATATGGAAAAAATATTTTATTACTGTTTTGTGCTATCTCCAAGTAAAGCTTCCTTATAAGTATAAAATTGTTTTGTTCTATGTCCTAAAACTTTGTTATATGTCCAACATTTTGTTTCTAAAATCCAAAAATAGCACTTTTTGTTTTATCTCCAAAACGTTTTTTCCAATATTGAGGCATAAATCCAAATTTGAGATAAGAGTTGCTCAATAGAACTAATTAAAGGCTAACCAAGAATATTGTTATTAATGTTTAATTCAGTTTTCATTAAAAAACAAATAAGATATTTATTGTAAAAGTTTTAAACCCGTTTATCTCGATTATAACATATTGGACATAGAACAAATCAATACTCAGGTGACGACGTAATAAGGTACCTTTAGCCCCCCTGATTTTACTTATCATCTACAAAATAATCAAGCTAAACTGTCTGCAACCTGTGCGATTCTCGACTACTAAAAATATCGTAGCAATAGGCCGGTCGCGATTTCCTTTTCTCGGAAATGAGAAAATCGCGCAAGTCACTGCAGCTCACCTTATTTAACATACTTAAAAACTAAAGACAGATGAAAGTGTCTAATTTGACAAATTATACACAAAAATAAACAAACAACCAATATGTATACAAAAATAAAATATTTACACTAATAATTAATAATGCGATAATAATAATATGTATGCGCATGAAATAAAATGAAAAACCGGACACATTTCACCATAAATATATAAATATCAACACCTATGCGGCGCGTTCCAGTTTTTCATAGCGACACCGCTTCAAAACGACTCGCAGATCCTCTAATGCCTGACAAAATGAACGTGGGCTCGAGTCTCCTCCCTGAGGCACACCTCGCAACTTTTTACCCGATTGAAAGGCCACAATTCATAGTCTACGTGTTTCAGATACCGCGTAAAGCGATGTGCACTTCATTGAGGGACATCTGCAGCGTGCATAATTTTCCACATGATGATTGAAATTGTTCTATATAGTAATAAAGTCTAGCTAAATTCTAGGCAACCGTTCGTACAACAACCACGCGCCCCTATGTTTTTATTACTAAATAATTAATTAATTAATGATGACAATATTGCACATGTTTTTTATAATTTAAGTGAACGGCTACCATACAGTGTGTATCACAGCAACAGTTTATGTTGTATATACAGCTATACACTAAGTGTAAGCCATAGTTTCCGACATCTTTAGATCCCTGCTGAAGGGCCATTTCAAGCCAAATCACAAAACTGTTTTCATAAAAAAAAATTGATAATTTATTATATGAAGGGTTGAGAAGCATTTTAGTATGGAAATTAAGTGCAGAATTGGGTGAAAATTGTACGAGTTATGCATAGGGTTTCAATATGTCGAAAAAAAAACCGAAAAAATTGGGGAAAAAACTTTTTTTTTTCCGTTTTTTTCCAGGTCTTGGAAAAAATGTCTTTTTTGAAAAAAATATATTTTTTTTGGAAAATATACAGGGTGTTATGTAATTAATGTTATATATTAAAATACTGAATACCTTTTGACATAAGGAATAAAGGAAAAATATTTAAAAAAACATTTTTCCAAAGATAAAGAAAAAATATGCATTAGAAGTTTTTTATATTTTTTGTGATACGCCACTGGTTACACACTTGTTTATCTCTGCACACCTGTATTTTGTGAGTACATAGATACCAACCAACAAAGTAGCTATGCGATGTAAAAAATTGTTACTAAAAATTTTTCTTGCAAAAAATAAATAAAAACTCAATAAATACAAAAGTTTTATGCCCTTAAAGCTCTAATACCCTTCTGTATTTATTTACTGATCCAGCTATTAGCTTAAGCAATGATTAGAAAATTTAGTACCTTTGAAATTTAAAATCCATAACCACAAAATTAATTTTTTCATCAGTTTTTTTCTCTGTTTACTCAGATGAAATTGGGACCAGTTCACAGGTTAAACTTTAAGGGACTGTCTACGTATCCTACTAGTAGGATGTATAGCCAGTTCGCTAAATATCCTACTAATAGGACAAATAGTACCAAAGCTAAATATCCTACCATTCAGCGTATTTCATAAACCATGATATCAAATAAGAAAAAAATTAAGCCAGCTAACTAAGTTTGTGTTAGTTTTAGTTTAAAAAAAGAACTAAAGGGAGCCTTAAGGCTCCCTATTCGGAATATAAAACCTGTCTTTGATTATTCACATTGGGTTTTTTACCAAATAATTTGTAATTTAAACATTATTTTAATCATCCTTAATATTATTTAAATAAATGAAAACATTTATATTCTAACATATTAGAACAGAGGAACAAAATCTTTTATTTAAATATATATTGAGTGTAAAATAACACATCCACTCTTAATTTAATTAATAATAAATCATCAATCAGTGGTCATTTAATTCCATTATAGAGATTAGGATTTTAAAGTGTCGAAAAAAAACCGGAAAAATTGGGGAAAAAATTTTATTGCCAAGGTTATGATGATTAGCTGTCATCTTGGTTATGCAGGTACACTACATTGTGCCATACCAAACCAACCCAAACTTAACAACCCAACCCAACCGACCCCGCCCCATTGGGCTCTCCCTCCCCATTGAGCAATAGAGGTATAATATATCTAAGGGCAGGGTCAGTTGGGTTAGGTTGTTAAGTTTGGGTTGTTTTGGTATGGCACAATGCAGTGTACCTGCGTAACCACAGTTACATTAAAA